TTTTACTATATTGATTAGGATCACAGATTATTAATAACTATTTATAATGATAGTGATGTAAGAGAAATAAAACTCATGAGTAATTAAACAAATATAGAATATATAAAAATGGTCTTATTAAGCTTTAGCTTGTATTTATGCACGAATCGGCATAATCATAAATGATAGTTATTTATGATTTATATATTATTATTTATTAAGATATTTATATAAGATTTATTTTCAGCCAGAAGCTACTACCAATATTTTGTTGAAAATCACTTGGAATAAAATGAATTATTTATATATGTGCAATATAAAGAAAGAAATATAATATATGCAAGAAAGATGTGCAATCTGCATGTGTGAATAAGTGAATAATTGATTGTCTTCACAAAAAAATACNTAAGTATAAAACTTTGATACGCTTGAGCGACCTCGAAATATGGGTTTATCTAAATTATATTTTTACCACAACCATTTAATAACATATAAATCAATATTATGAAGTAAGATTTTGGAAAAACAATTTTTTTTTTTTAGCTTATATAGTGAAGTGGCACCCTAGTGTATACAATATTCAACTCGTATAATATTGTAGTTTATTAATCTAAGTTACATACGGTGAAGAAATACTGTTATTTTCTGCTTACCTGGCCCGTCCCTGGCGCCGCCACTGCGATAAATCATTACTAACGATAACCGATTAGAGATTCGTTAATACATGATTCGTACAATTATTTTGTTTTATTTTAAATCTTTTTGGTGAGAACAAAATTGGGTTTTTGATTTACAAAGTTGGTTTTTTTGCAATTGAACAAAACCGAAAAAAAAAAACCAAGAATAATGGAAGAGTTAACAGAAATAATGGGTTCATTTTTTATTATTATTATTTTTTCTTTGTAATTCAGTTAATAAAATTCGTAGTCTTTAAATTCTAACAGATATCTTATACTTATTTGCCTTTTTTAGGCGTGGTAAAAGTAAAAAACGTTTGCATCATTTTTAAGCTATTTACAGGCATTTTATATTTGCACGTTTCTTTACCTAGTTTTTATTTGATAGGTACTTAGTATGTAGATAATATAATTGCTCGACTGAACAGAAATGCTTGTGAATTAACCAGAAGGTTGATTATAAGTTGTACTTAATGGTAAAAAAAAAACTAAGTCATTTTTTCATGGGGCTATGTCATGATTCTTTATTATTTCATACAGCATTGTCATATATCGTATTATTTTAGCTAAAAACCATTACATAGTATATCTTAAAATTTAATGTTCAAATGATTTACATCAGATACCTAAACTTATGTAAATAGGTACATTAATATAAACTGTAATATTTTGACGAAAAAATGTTTACCTATAGTAACATACTTACATCTACATTATTATTATAAGCAATACACAATCTATAAATTAAAATGTCTTTACAATAAATGTATGGGCCTAATATAAATGACATGAATAAACAAGAGAAAAAAACCATCCATCGTTGACATTTTTAAGGGTCGATATAAAAAAAAAAAAAAAAAATACTTTCATAATATTTATACAATACATATTATACTAATTTAATTTTAAAAAAAACTAATTTAATCGGTGGGAATCTATTTTATGTATCAAACGTTCATTAAATAAAATAAATAATAATGGATATGCAAACTTTTTAAAAACAATTTACATAAATTGAAATAAAATAGGTGATATATTATCAATCATCTTATCTTCCACTTTGAATAATCCATATTCATCTATTGGTCCATTTATTAGTTCACAAAGTGATGGTGATTTTATTGTTAGTACATATTTACATGTCCTTGGTTCAAACAAATAAAGTTCCACTGTATCTCCACTATCTGAAACTACTGTACATTTATACCGAACCTAAAAAAAAATGTAAGTCAATTACATATTATTAACATTAACTAGCAACAGATCATTAAGTTTTACAATGTATTATATTGTATTAATATTATAATTTTATTCATCATTTATATACCTATATACCTATATAGATATTTTTAATTGGTTATATTTTATTAATATTAATTAAAAAAGAGAATTGCCATTAATTTTATTATAAATAAATACATATAAACAATAAGTTAGATAATAATATTTACCTCAGTCACTCGTTGTTCACCAGTTTTTCCACAAACAGATCCAGAAGAGTAGAAGTGATGTATAACATTTCTAGTACCTTTTGCTTCAAGATTTGGCTTTTTTTTTTCATTTTCATTTATCCAATTAATATGGTCTTGCTTATTGAAAAAGCCCAAAAAAATAATTTCATCCTGTTTTCCTTTTTCCTTGTGCACTTGTTTTATATAATCATTGTAACAAATTTCAAATGTCCACCAACCAGAGCCCTGTAACACAAATATATTATCAAATACAAACCAAAACATTCTTTAAAATATAATTAGACTTACTCCATGTAAACATACATCTTCATACAAAAAATTATTTATTATTAAAGAAGACTTTTCTTTTGATGCAGTTGATTTTGTTTTTGAAGATGATTTAGTTTCTTTGGTCTTGAATAATAAATAAACAACAAAGTATAAGAAATAGAATTTTTTTTTTTTTTTTACAATATTACACTAAAAGTCAAGATGAAAATAAAACAAGCAAAAAACTAAAAAAATACTTATAATAAATAAACCATATCTATTGAAACTATTTTGAAGTTTTTATTTTTATTGAGAGGATCATTAAGATCATTGAAAGGTTTCATTAATTATAAACAGTGCTGTAATAATATATCTAGATACTTTTTTTGTATCTTGTATCTGTATATGTATCTTAGACACAAAATATTGTGTATCTTAATGAAATTATCTAAGATACTTTTTAAGATACAATTCTTACATTATACAAAATACAAAAATAAAACAAAAAATTCTAAAATTTAATTTTTTTAAATAAAAATATAAACAATTTATTTTGTATTTATTTATTATTATACATTATTATGTATGAGTGTAAAACTATTGTGCATTGACAAGACAAGTGGAGAATACCCATTATTTATTTTATATTTACCAATAATAAACCAATATTTTAATATTGTTATATATTATATATCATAACTGACAATGATTGTATTATAACTTATAAGTTTATGAGAATAAAATTTTATCTGAAAACTGACATAAAAGTGTAGATAAAAATGATTGTATTATAAATTATGTTCCCACTACTTGTTTTGTTATAATTTTGTAATTCTATATTATTAATGAATTAAATATTTATAAAAAAAAAAAAAAAAAATTATATCTTTTCTTAAATGTATCTTAAAATGTTTGTTAAGATATTCTTAAAGGAACTTGCATCTGTATCTGTATCTAGATACTGAATTAAAATATCTTATTACAACACTGGTTATAAAAACAAAAATAAAATATCTTATTAGTAAACACTCTGTATTTATTGCTGTTTCATTTTTTTTTAACTATAATCACTTAAACTTACAGTTTTCTTTTTCAATTTAGAAGTATCAGATTCAAGGACTTTTAAGTTATGAGGTTTACGTGGTGAATCGTTTACTGGCAGACAGTTAATGCTTAAATCATCACTATTTGGTGGTCTAAAAATAATATTCAATACACATAAAAAAAATAATTTATTTTATGAAGTTACTTTTCAATTAATAATATTTCAAAATTCTAATACTCACTTGTACCAAGGATGAGTACATAAAAGTGATGTTAAAATAATAACTTCATATTGACAAGTAGAAGTCTCTTTTACCGAAAGCACACTATGTTTATTTTGAGGGTAACAAACATACAACACATTTGCTTGTCGTGGATGGCCATTGATATCACAAACTGTACCATCAAATAAGTTCATTTCAAAATATGGTAAATTAACACCGTTAACTTTCTTTGACTTTGTAGGTTTATGATTATTTATATTTGTCAATATTTCCAGTTCTTCCTCTACAAATAAAGTCACAAAAAAAATTTAATATACATTTTATACGTGATTCAAATTTTATTCTATTATAAATTTCAATACAAAAATACAGTCAAATTTGTATTATTAGGTAAATATGTGTACTTATTAGTTTATTTATTCAGTTGATTACTTTACCTAATTCTAGACCTTCAGTTATCTTCCATCTACCCAAATAGTATTCTTGTTCGGTCTGTCTTTTTCCTTCACTCTCGTTATGATACTGTCGAACATATCGATAATGGCATACCTCATAAATCCAATAATTATCGACCTATTTAAATATAACAATAACATGAAGATATAAACTATAGCAAATAAAATATTTATAATAATAAGTATGTAATGTATTTACTTTGTAAGAACAAGTTTGTTTTGAGAATAATGGTGATAATAGTTCTAATGGGCTAGGTCCAGAATATGATGAATCAAATTCATCATTACCTTCATCTTGGTCAGGTGGTAGATAACAGCGATATGTTTCACCAATAGCTGTTTTCACAGTCATAGAATTCCCTTTGTGTTCCTAATGAAAAAATAATATCATAAAGAAATATGAAAATAGCATTAGATTTTTTAAACAGTTAAATATATTAAAATTAATACATTTTATTGCGACTATAAAACTAAAATATTAGTTTAAACAAAGTAAGACATTAGAGAAGAGATTTTTCTTAGGTACAACAAATATATTTACTTAAGTAAAATAACTGGTTCGCTTGCTATAGTTAATGTTCAATGTAATAATTTGTTTTATAAAATATAATATGTATATATATATATAAAGGTATTTCACTTCAAATTTCTCATTGTTTTAACTAACCTTCATAAATTTGTCGGCTTCCTCTTTACCTAGCCAATTTATTTTGTACTTAAAGGTGTCATCAAAACCATTGAACAATTGGGAGTGGCCAATATGAATAATAAACAACACAACCAGAAATTTCGATTTAATACTGTACGGAATCATAATTAATTATTCGTATAGGTTAAAATTAAATACAAGAATATATAAATGTTTAAATAAAATAGATGATTGCAAAAATAATTAAATTTCAATACATTATGTTAACACATTGCTAGTCATTTACAATAGTAGCAACGTTGCCGACAAGTATTACTGTGAAGTCGAATTCCAGGTACACCAACTTAGAAACATAATCTCCATAGTTTTTTTGCATGCTCATTCGTATTATTAGTGTTATCATTGTTGATGTTGATGTTCACGTTTACTTTTGAATTAGAATTAAAACTTAATATATTATTTTATTTCAAAATAAATACAAACTATGTAAAAGGTTTTACAGTTATAAATTATAAATTTAATTTCAAAATTTAATTACAATGGGTTCACGAATATATTATAGTTTACAAACTTTGTTCAAGTAATAATACATATTTTTGAATACGTAAGGATCTCGGGCCATCAGTTCGTTGGTATTAAAATCGTATAGGTACTAAAATTTTAATTTTAATAATTGCTACTTTTTTTGAGGTTATGTTTCATATAACCCGGAAACTAGAGAATATTATCAGGATTTCTCGGGGCTCGCCATTTACGGTCCACATCAAGGTTATGTAAAATAAAATAAATTGTTATCACGTCTTATCATAATAATTTATCATAATTTAATTGTTTTCACGATTATCAATGCATTGATGCAATGTGCATACTGTTTTAATGTTTAAAATAATAAATAAAATGCTAGGTTTTGTATTTAGAACCGCAGTAGTAGATTTAAATTAAATACCTTATTTTTATTTTATTTTTTTTTTCATAAACTTTTTAAGATCAACATATTACTTATTACCTATTACTAAATTTTACATTTAATATTTTTTAGTGAATACAGCCTAAATGATAACGTAATTCATACAATTTTAATGATAATGCGGAAAATCTGATATCGCTGTATCAGTTATTATTTTTTAAAAGGAGAAAAACCACAAACAATTATAAATGACTATAACAATGTACACTTACTTTCTAGTAATAAAATAAAAATAAAACCAAAATTGTATTTATCTTTCTCGGAAACCACAGAAACCACTTTTGAGACTCTATTAAACATTTACTTTCATCATAATTTTCACGAAATTTCGGGAGGCTCCTAAAACCCCCCTTGTACAGACGCCTGGATCCGTTACTCGGTTTGGGGTACCGGACATTAAAATATCGTACTGGAACGTTTTTCGGTACAACAAGCACACACGTTTGCGGTAGGATATTAAAAAAAAAAACTGATACTAAAGACGGGTGTAGGCATGCCGTCACTGTTTTAGGTGGGAAGGTAGAAGACATAGTTATTTAATTTTTGTCAGTCTGAAAAAATACATATATTTCGTATGACAAGTTAGAGCAATACAACATAAACAAACATATACAAATAATTTTAATAATTAACATATGCATACATAAATTTATTAGATTATATGTAATAAATTTAACATGACGTAGACATCAATAAGTAAATAAACTAAATAGAATAAAATAAGAGTAATTTTACGGAAATTAATCTAAGAAATTTAATAATATTAAGGACTAGCAGACCTATATGGTAACTACTATAGCTCGAAGATATATTGAACCATAAATTAATATCCAGTTTTTGTATCCTATCAAGTATATCTCTATTGGCTCTGTGAATATCATTTAGAGTGCCATTGAATGCGCGGATCGGGCATTCAATCGGTATAAAAGAAATTAATTGTGAATCATATTCACAGTCACATGAAGGGGTAGTAAGTAGTTTCTATTTGTACATCATGTGATTACACCTTCCATGGCCAGCCTGCGAACGATTTAAGGTCATTCAAATGTTCCCTAAAAGCCTGGTTGCTTGGTCGTTGGATTGGGAACAATGTTCTATCCATCAAGGTTTATTCAATCCTTGTTGGAATTTGGAATTTTCCTCGAAATTTTCTTGTACTAACTCCTTTGTAGTTATGTGTTTGGTGTCCTTTGTAGTTTAAGATACTTAAATTATTTAAATTAAGTCACAGTCTTCCCCCAATTGTTCTTAAATCCGTATGAATCGGAAGGTTCATATTAATAGCGATCTTAGTCCATGAGGGGTTGTTCTTTTCGGATCTTTAAGGATGTAGATTTGAATGATATCTCTATAATTTTTATTACTCAGTTGAGTTGGGTATGAAGTTTATAAATAATAATAATAAATTATAAATAACGTATAGTATTAATTGTTGTTATAGCTGTTGTATAGCTATAGAATGTGGTTTCCTACACAACTGACATGCCACATCAGTTGATTGAGTAGTAGTAGCAGCTAATACCATTTGGAATGGAGCATGACAAAGTTTCGAGTAGGCATATTTACTAGACTTCAGTCGTTTTGTAGAGTGCACTTTTGCAGCGCGCACATGGGTACACAGAAATTCAACGAACTCAACAATCTGAGGTTGATATCGACCTCCAATGAGAATTTCCCAATGGGCCCACCATTTATAATTCAGATGTCTTTCGAAAATATGAACAATTAACGGACTCCATTGGCGACAGTCATAAACTTCAAGTTATCTAGCGCTGCGTTATGTTTCAGTATTGTATTGTTGGCGGTCTTAATTAAGTTTGAATCATCGAATTTCACCATGCGAAGAATTAATAGAGAATCTAAATGAATCCTTGCAAGATCACGTTTATTTCCGTATCGAATACTGAGGATATCCTAGGAGCTACTGTAACTAGTAGAAGTGAGTGGAAGATGAGAATTAGGGAGAGAGGTTTTCAATTATTCAAAAAGTTCGACAGCGGGTATTCGGGAACATGTGACAAGGTGAATTGGAAGAGGTCTTCAAATCTCTGCCATTTGATAATTTTCTTAGAGACCGTCGGAAACTTGCGCTTCGGAAGGTGAAAAGTTGACGTGGGATTGAAAATAGACGAATTAATTCCCGGGGCAATGGTTGACGTAGTTTGTTCTATTTTGGGAATGAACGAGACTGAGTGAGTATCAGCGAATGCAGTAAAGTCGTAGTACATTTCGTCGAAGTAATCAATTAATAAATTACTACAAATATTTTCAGTGACCAAGACGGGTACTACTTTCGTGCTATATTCTAATTGCCCGTAGTTTCTAAAACTTGAAGGTCAGCTACGAAAAAACCGGCGAATCTCGTTCAATTCATTTAGTATCTATTCCACCTTGACACGTTTGACCATATTGTTCTAGTCGGTCAAATATTTGTTGGACGTCTGAAGAGGATGTCACACCGAAAGTGTAACGTATACAACGCTCGATAGATAGCGTTGCGCCGTATCGCCGCCGTCACGGCAAGCCGTAACCACGTCCACTACGGCTGGAAACGCACGGGCTGCAACAATTTGTACTTTGGAGCAAGTTTTCTGGTAGAATAGTTGTTCACAGGTGGACAAATATTACACACATAATTAAACCAATAGATCCTTCGTTACCATAGATGGTATTTAGTTCCAAGTCTTTGAATGGCAAAAATTATTCATAATTTACACATTTAAAATCAAAGTAAATATCAAATAAGTATATCAATTGACAGAAAGAAATAAAAATTAATTATTTATTTTCAACTCTTTAAATTTAATTTTAGATTTTCAGTTGATCGAAGAATATAATGGCTTTACAATGGTGTTTTTTTTCAGTGGACAACTTTTCTAGTAGACATTTTAGTCTGATTTTCAATTGTAGCACTTTTCATATCATTATATGACATTTATAATGCATTATAATGCATTTTTTGATTTTTCTAGCTGTTTTCATCATAACTGGAAAAAGCCGAAAAGAACAGGAAAACATACAAAATTTATTATTTTTACATCGTAAAATGTTATAGCTTTTTAAAATATGTGTAACCAAACTGTGCTCACAATTTTTTTTCAATTGCAAAGATTATCCGTTGCGTACAGATATGCATTAAATCCTCTCTATATTTTACTGTTCCAACTTCTCACCTACAACAGTGGCCCACCCATCATGCGAACTATGTGCATATCTTTTTTATTTACTTAATGCAAAACCATCTTTTGCATTTCAGACATCAGTTTTTGAATATTAGGCTCAATACTAGAAAGCTCTAATAGTAGTTTAGACATCGTAGTTTATGTTTTCTATTTGATTTCAAAACTTATTCTTAATAAAAACAAGGATGGAGAAGGTTTTTCATATGAAAATTTAGAGAAATGGAATTAAAACGTTGAGGACTCCACTTGATAATACTGGATAATTCTCTATTTATCATCAATAACCCTACAATTGAAAATAATATAGTTTAACAATAATGTAATATATAATTTAAAATAATTACTAAATAATTATTTAAAAACAGTAGGTTAGTTACCTACATAAGTAACTAACCATCCAGGTGAAGAAAATAATATAAAAAGCAATAATACCCAAAACTTAAAACCTAAATCCAATGTGTTGGAAAAAAAACCCATCAGAAATTGATGATGATTGGGGAAGATTGTATAAGGTATCGGAGAAAAAGAAATGTTGTATCCCAGGATGTAGTTGTTTAGCTAGACTGATTCAACCAATGTGTAACACTAAATATCTATTACAATAAAATTGTATAATAATATTATGTTAAAATGTATTTATTTTTTTTTGTTAAGTTTGTGTTTCCGATTTAATTATTTCAAAGACTGATAATTATGTAAACACAAAAATTTTAATTAATAGGTTAATCATTTTTGATAAATTAATGTCAACATATAAATAGGTACCTTGTATTATTTATTGAATGGTATATAATCTTGTGAGACTGCTTTGCTTGCATAGTTATTTTAATTTATGGAAATGTTAGTAATATTATAATATTTAAAATTTTGCTATTTTGCTATTTTCAGCTATTTTGCTCCAATGATAGCACTATTTGACTAGAGTGGTACTTTAGGGAGGTCATTTTTGATTTTCCCAAGAGCTTTCTCAATACATGGGAAAAACGCAGAAAAAACGGGAAAATAGGTATAATATTATACAAATATTATTAAAAAAAAAATATTTTATGCATATGTATTTATTTTACCGTAATTAACGTATATATTGTTGACAAAGCAACACGATTAACCGAACTCTACTCAGAATCTTTTTTTGTTAGCAATGGTTAATCAATGCGTACAGATATACATAAAATTTACCCTCCACCTTCTTAAATTCTCATCTATAACAGTGGCCCATCCACATGCTAATTATGTCAGTCTTTTCGAATGGCGTTTTTTCGGATTATGATGATGGTGTTTTGTCGAATGGTTCTTTGTCGTTATCTCAACTATCTGGTGGTTTTGCGTTGGGTGGCTTATTATGGTGTCATCCACGGATTAAGATATACTTGTAATATAGATATACGTAGATATACGTACGTAAACATATTGATTCGTAGTCACCTGAAAATTTATTGCAAGATATGAAGATTATTGCAGTTTAAATATGCAGTTTGGGAACCATTTGGATTCTCTTATCAAATATTGCTAGCGGAACGTACGTTATTATTTATTATCACCGAGCCACCGATTACAAAATCAATAATTGCTACAAACGACAGACCCTGTCAATGTTTTTAATTTTATATGATAACTTATAAATTCAGTGTACTGTAGTTAGGTACTCTTCAATATTTCTTTATAATTATTTGCCGCCAAAGGAGAAGATGATAGTAAATTTGGTCCAGCTGTACGAATATTCGCACAACTTTATATCCGGTATATTTGTCAACAATTCGTTTGTTTTCTCGACAGACAATGGTTTGTTAGCGTTTGTATGTATTATTATTTGTTTAAATACTAACCAAAAAGTATGTTAAACTTTTTAACTATTTCCTTTTTTCAGTCATTAGAGTCAGACTTATTTAGACAATCTGCCGACTACAAAGTGATTCGAAAAATACTCCCTTACCCAAATGAAAAACCCTTTGATGACAAGAACTTTAAAGAAATACGTCACCGAAGACCCGTAGTGTGTCTTGAACATAATTTAACAGTATTGCCAAATAGTAATGAGTAATTATAAGATTCTATTTAATATTTTAATATTATGTTCTTACCAACATTTATTAACAATGTTATGGGCTGTCGATGAACACTAAGTTCCAAATGAACTTATAACCAAGTCAAAGAATTAGTCACGATTTATATAAATATTTTTAATAAATCTCCAAAAAATGTCATGCACTTTATTAAATTTACAAAACAATCAGAATTTTCCTCAGTTTATCAATTCCCCAGTTGGTTAATATATAATTTGTCTTATGGGTAGTGTGCATGTGTCTACCTTGCTTTGGAATTCCTATTCTTCTTATTCTGGTTTTAGGAGAGAGATGGAACCCATAACAATAATTAGATAAGACATAAGGTATAATATGTGTACTTCTGTTATGTCTATTAACAAATGTATGTATTAATTATGCATGACAGCTGAATATGTCTTTATTTTTTTTTTCAGTCGCCATATCATTTATTTGGCAAACAACAGCAATATTGTGTTTTTAACAAAAAATAATGACGGATGGCTTGAAAAATTTAGTGACATACCACAAAATTGGTTTTTAGTATCATCTAAAACTCCTCATTTGTTAAAAGACCGACCAGATCATAAATCTTTTAAATTTAATAACCAAGTTTTTTATTATTGCCGTGAAAAAGAAAAATTGTTACAAATTAAAAGTAATAATGCTTCATTTAATTAGTAGTATTGATATCATAGAAATTAAAATAAATATATATGTAGGTACAAATATTATAGATATTACAAACTTTTTATTTTGAAACTCCTACTAAAAATTTTTAAAGTTAACTTATCCAATTTTAAATTTAAAAAAATATAGTCAATGTAAAATGTTGCATTATTTAGAATTAATTTTTTGATTTGATGGCAGAAGTTATTATATACATTGTACATTTTTACAAAATAACACCTAGTACCTACTCTAAAAGTAACTCAAAATAAATTCCAATTAATGTTTGATTTCTCCATTTATATTTTCGATCTTAACTATTTAGTATTTAGGTCAGTTGGACTATTTGCAGTTTTCAGTTTAAATTTCAATCAAATAGTTAATAAAATCATTCATTGTCTTAATGACAGTTAATCGATTAGATGGTTAACAGACATTTTTCAATAAACTTAAATATTTTACAGTGCACACACAGGCTACTCATCGGCCACTGGTTAAATTGTAAATTTAAAATGATTCAATTTATTCGTTATGGCGTTTATTGCATATTTTGGATATTATAAACTATTTTTGTATGTTTGATAGTCCTGTTAGGCACCACAATGAGTTTATCAGGATTGCATCATTAGGTAAATATTTTTTTCGAGATGGTCATCTTGACAGATAACAGAGAATGACGGTTCAACGAGTTTCTACTGTATTTGCAACTTTATGATATTCTGAATTTTTACTTTTAACATAATGAATAATTTTCAAATTTTTTTTATACTGAAGTGAATCATCAATATTCATAACTTATTTTAGGCAAAATTATTGTTTATTAATGAATTATTAATAGTAATAATAATAATTAATTCGTTGAAAAAAATTGTATGTTATTTGTATGACTGAAAAATATAATTATTATATTTTTAAGCATTTAATCACACATTTTGTTTTTATACAGGGTGCCCTACAGTGTTATCCTTATGCTAATAACGCTAATATCAATATAAATTGTTTTTATTCAATTTGGTTTTGAGCGAAGGGGACACATATGTAGATTAAAATCAAATTTTTATTTTCATTCCTTAATAACTGAAAAAAAATAACTCGTTATTTTTCAACTTTTAAAAATTTTCAAAGTAGCATTTTGTAAAATATATTATTTTAAAAGTTTTAATATATTATACATTAATATCTTATTAATAGGTTTTGTAGTTATAGTGGCTCTAATGTATAGAAAATAGGCATGAAAACAATTATATTCAATAGAAGATTAAGAATTACTGCGGGAACCATGTTATTCTAATACAAATTGTTTTCACCTTAATTTTCTAGAAATTACTGCTATTACTGATAAACTATTAATTGTATATGAATATATATATATTTAAATCTTTAGAATAATCTTTTACAAAATTGCTATTTTGAAAATTTTAAAACGTGATAATTAGGTTCAATATGTTCAATAATTAAGGGTTTAAGATAAAAATTTAATTTTTCTCTACATATAAGTCTCCACACAAAACCCAATTTAAAAAAAAAATGACTATTGAAATAATTATTAGCATAAACATAACACTGGAACATTCTGTATACTTAAACTTGTTTTATATGCATTCCTTAACATATAGATACATTGGATAAATCAATGATAGATGCATTAAACATTATTAGTTATAACATTTATTTATAATTATTTATTTATTTATTATATTGCAGATTTTGTTTTTACTCATATCTTGAAATATGAAAATGGACTTGCAGTTTATGGAATAATATGTTGTCACTTAAATAATGTATTGACATTTTGGTCAACTAAATTAGAAAAGTCTTTATTTTTAGCAGAGAATGATTTCCACAATAGTTCTATAAGACATATAAAATGGTTTCAAATTACTGATGAATTATGTAATTAAATAAAAAATATTTTTTTAAAATTATTTTCAAAAATTAAATGAATAAATAGTTTTAAATACATATTTTATGTATTTTTATTTATTTTTCATTAGCTTGGTTATTAGTTTTTTTGGGAAATGGTCAAGTTTATGTTTATGAAATATGCAATTATCCTCATGTACAGAATTCATTTAGTTTGTGGTTAGATGAAGATTTTGCTTGTGTGAAAAATATTTTATTACAAAATATTTCAAATAATCAATGTCTAATATTGTTTACAAAAATGGCATATGTTGTGATCATATTGTACTCATTAACTGAAAAAAAGATTGTTTCTACAAAAAGAGAAATGATACCTAAGACAGCCATTATACCAGGTAATTATTATTGTTTTTTTCTTTATAAATGAATCTAAATGATTAATTCTTATTTTACTGTATTGATAGGTTTTACATTTATAAAAGACAAACAGTTGCTGATTCTAGTGACAGATGTTGGTAAATTTGTTTGTATGTATTTATCTACCACTGAATCGGAAGTCAATTATACTATAAATATTGTAAGTCATAATTTTAATGATAAAGTAAAATATTTTACTTGCAATTCAGTGGTATTTTCAAAAAATCAATGCATGTGTGCTCTTACATTTCAGTAAGTTTAATTTATTGGCAATTTTTTGATTTTATATAATTTATAAAACAATATACTCTAGGTGCAACATGCCCAGATATAGTAAAAATGATGGTCATGTCAGAAACAAAGTAGTACTTTGTACAATTCCTGAAAATTTAGTGGAACTTGAGAGTAAAATTTTATTAGTGAACAACTATAATTATGGTGATGTTATTGATTGTATAGAAACTCTAAGGTAATTGATTCTTCTAACCATTTATTGTTATTACCTATTTTATTTACATTTTTTACAGAATCAATAAAATAAATGACAAATCAAATGAACTATATGAGGTTGATAGGTCATGGTTAGACAAATGCCCTATCCAGAATCTTAAACTTATTTACTGGAAAATAGTATTCAAAAGTAAGAAAAATGAACAGGATGAAACTATTTTACAAGAACTACAAATGTTACTTCATGTACGGTTTTTGACCAGTAATTGCAATGAGAAAAAAAAAATTAAAAATGAAGAACAGTATTATTATCGTATAATGTTATCAAATTATTCACAGAAGCTACCTGCAGAATATATTCTTGTTAAAACAGATGCTGCTAAATTTATTCGTTCATTTACCCAGGCCGACCATACTTACTTTTGTACTACATGTGAACAAATGATATTAACATTTACAGATTATACAATGTTTATTTGTGAATTTGAACATAAAGAACTTAGGTGTCCTGTTACTTTAGGACCACTTGGTATTCCATATTTAGTGTGTTCCATGTGTTTTACAATGGCTAATGTTACTGCAAGTAAGAATTTAATATAATATAGTTGCATTTAATTAATGTTAATATTAGGTTTTCAATATGGAAAATCTGTACCCTTCTTTATTCTTCATTATTTTCAATTGTGTACATTTGGTATGCATATAATAGCTAAATACTGCTATCTTATTACTTATAATACTTATATAATAAGTAATTGTGATTATTTTGTTACAGAAAATCAAAGCTGTGTTTGGTGTTTTGGAAAATATATACCTAATAAATTACTACATTAATTTAAATAAATTGTAAATAATTGTAAACTTTTTGTACATACAAAAAATGGTTTAGATAACTAATTGTAGTAACTCAAAAATAAATTACAAATTTTATAATTTATAATATATGTTTACTTTATTTAGTAGCACAAAGAATAAATAATTTTTAAATATATCAAAATGGGAAGGAGCCAATATAAAAGCAATATATAAGTGATAATTATTTATGAAGGTGAAAGAGTTCTAAGGGGAGAATGAGGGTGCTCAGCTTAATAATTATACTGCTGCTTTCCTCCTGATGCTTGGGGAAATTCTAAGAATGGTAATGAGATCAATAAATTATAAATATAATATTATTTTACCTACCCATGGTATTAGATCACTACCTGTAGATATCCTCCTATGATCCTGGATGGTAGTCACAATTCAACTAAAATATCCTAAGCATTTAACACAGTCAGATTACAAGTATTAATATTTAAATTAGGAAAACCAAAGGTTGAATTATTAAAGGAAATTAATAAAGAAATCAAAAAACAGTGATAAACTGTTAAAAAAGTCTGAGCTAGTTGGCTAGTTATTGGAGAGAGATTTTCAAAAAAGAGTTCTTGACAAGGTGATTGTCTAGGGATTTCTTGAGAGGTCAAGATGCTTGAGTTATTGTTAAAAACCCATTATATTTTATTTGAATTTTGTATGGGAATAATTATGAGAATACCTAATGTATGCAGTTCATATAAGCAGTGTAAGTGGTGCTTGTATTTTCAGTTATAAAATGTTTAGGTACATTTTTGAGTGAACAATTTAAGCCATGATCAAGTTCTAATACTGTAAAATTATACAAGTGATCAATCTATTTTTAGACACTCATTATCTCGGAAATTATTATCTTTTTTCGAAATTTGTATTACAGAAAATTTAAAAAACAAGCAATTTTGTAATTTTATAACGTATGCTATTTTTTATCACCCTTATTTTTAAAACATTTCAACATTAAAATTTATTTAAACTAATACTCATTTGTCAACATATTTGCCAAAAATACTAATAAATAAATAATGTCCTTCTTAGTTAATAATATAAAAACCGTTTCACTCTTTCTCTTTAGAACTTTGCTTATATAAAACCAAAGCTTTCCATGAAATTAAAATTGCATTAACTAGACTAAAAGAAAGATTAGATTAGGTTTTAAAAAATGTTGGTATCTTTATTAGTTGTAAATAAAAGCAGACATTTTTGATTACTTGTTTATGATATGGGAAACTTCTACTACGGTAGAACTTAAATCTTTCCATACAGGATTCGACTGATGAACAACGCACAAATCTTAATTAATGATACTTAATTTTATTTGTATTATATTTCCATTTATTTTCAACCTATGTCCATAAACCTCCTTTACTACAAATATTCACTAAAGCGCCTTTAGTAATAATTAATTATATATTTTTTAAAATATATTCCGTAGATAACATCATACCCTACAGTATTTATACAAGCTGTTTCAAAAGCCATCAAAATTTTCTCAACACCTCCTTTCAACTTGCCCTGCTCCCTAAATATACTGTTTTTCTCCTTTTAATGATATTGAAGTATTAAATAATTTGTATCTATCTGTGAACAATCCACTGATCCATCGCAACTCAATGACAGATATATTGTTTCCAAAATTAATTTATCAGAAATGTTTTTTTATAACTTAACATAATAAACATAGTTTAGAAGTTTACATTTTAAAATTATAATTATTAATTTACATTAATACCAATTTAATGACTAATGAGTAGGTAGGTATACATAAAATGATTTTTTTATTGAAAAAATTTAATAATAGTTTAACCTAATAATTAAACGAAGATATAAAAATCAAATGAAGCAATGCAGAGCATATTCTGGTGCTGATATCGATAGTGACTACAACTTAATCGTACTAGTGGCAAAACTTAAATTAAAAACTCTCAAGAAAAATAAAATACAAAACAGATTGAATTTAGATAAATTGAAGCAAGAAGACATCAGAACAAAGTTTGCTATAGAATGTAATAATGCAATAAACAATCACTGGCAAGATGGTAATAACAGTATGGAGAATAAATAGAACAAACTCAAATAGACGTCAAAGAAAATGTTAACAATATTTTAGGCGTTAAAAGGAAGAACCAATGGATAACAGAAGAAATCATAACATTAATGGAGCAGAGGAGAAAGTTTAAAAATTCTAATATTACTAGTAACCGGCATAATTATAATAAACTTAAGAATTTAATGCAGCGAAAAATAAAAATGACTAAATGGCATGAATTCATGTCAAGAAATTGGAAAATATATTAAACAAGGACAGATCTAGCATTCACACAAATACGAAAATTCTTTCAAGAAGAGAGTAAAAAGGTATAAATACCTTGATGAGCAGAGATGGAAAAATACTCATGTGAACAGAACAGAAAGTAAAACGATGGAAGGAATATGTGGAAGAATTATACAACGGAAATCTGAATGAAAGCGTGCTGGAAAAGGAAGAAATTGTAAAAAAAGACGATAAAGGTGAGTAAATTCTTCAGCCAGAATTCGATGCAGCGGTTGAATATACTAAAAACAATTAAGTTAGTGGTATAGACGAAATACCCATAGAGCTAATTAAAAATGGAAGTTAATCTACGAAGATTAAGTTATATGAGACGTATAAAATAAGAGTGATGATGAATTACTTTAAACACGGTTTAGTCGTAACGTTACCAAAAAAAGAAAGGAACAATGAAATGTAAAGAGCATAGATCAATTAATATCACTTCACACGCTTCCAAGATTTTGTATAGAGTAATCAAAACACGAATAAAATTGTTTTAAATCTAGAAAATTACCAAATTGGTTTTAGAAAAAATATAGGTACCAGAGCGTCGTAATTTTATCATTGAGAATCCTAATAGGAAAACAAATACGAGTAAATAAAGATATTGTAATAGCTTTTAACAATGTAAATTGGCACAAAATGTTTTATGTACCTATTAAAAAGACTAGGAATAAAATATAATGACCGTAGAGTTATATACAACGTATACAAAAACCAAGTGATCCGAAACCGACTAGATGGAGTAGAATAAGTAGCAAGAATTGGTAAAGGAGTAAGGCAAGTACGCATTCTGTCCCCTATTTTGTTTAATATGTATACTGGAGAAGTTATAAAAGAAATAAAAGATGAAATACTACTCTATTATTATAAGGTCTATGGTTGATTCTAGGATGTTTCGTCCTTCCCATAGAGTATTATAATACCACAGATTATATATGAAACTGTTTTATATAATCTGTGACAATACTAAGCATAAGGCGTTATACTAGTATAAGGTTAATGAGTAATATATAACCATAGACAAATAGGTAATAGAATAATATATACTATTATATGAAAATTATATCTATGAATATAACCGTGATATTAACGGTATCTCGGTGACAATGGTTTAAAATGGTAGCAAACAATAACTTATTTGATAACCAATGTCAAATTTACAAATGATAATTGATTATAAGTGCAAATTGTTTCATGTTTTAGGGTAGAAAACTACGAACTAGAAAATTAATTGTATTTAATTTATTAGGAATTTTAACGTGTAGACTCTAAGAAGTTATTAATTTCCAATTTTCGTTGACCTGATTAACTTACATTCAAGTGTGAAGTGACTAATAAAGAATTCACGAAAACCTTTAATGTAAAATATGTGCATATTTCCAAACCAAATTAATTAGCGATATTTTCAAATTTAGAATATTTCTTTTTAATTTATTTGTAATTTAGAACTGATACTATCTATACATGCCAAAAGTACAATAAGTATAATGGATTTTTCTTTTAAATTGTGTAATATAGTAGCTTAAGTAATTTGAGGGAAGAACCAACCAGTGAAGGCTTTGGTGTTAATAAGTTTAGTAGTTTATAAGGTCTAAAGGCTATTGCCGCTTGTCTTCTGGAGGGGAGGATTTCCAGGGGTGGAGATAGAAATTAGCTTTTTAACATGAGGGAGATGGAGTAATTTTGAAGGTGATTTCTGAATTTAGAGTAGTAGTTTGGGTGGTTCAGTAAATTTAGAAATATGAAGTCCTATGTGAAGGGTGTGGTTTGGGATGTAAGGAGTATTTATTACGAATCTGTATACCGTACAGCCAGATTGGCCTAAGAATATTGTAGGTATGAATTTTGGTTTAGAGAACTTACTGTGGATGGATCTTAGGGAGTAGAGTCATTTGTTTCATTTTTATGCGTGAATGAGTTTAGTCCAGGTCAGTTTGTCTAAAATCAACTCTAGGTTTTTGGCTGTCAGAGGTATGTATGGGCTGTATATGTTTGTTGTTTATATTTACTGGAGGAAGTTGTCTGTGTCGAAGAACAAAGGTAGTGTGTACAGATTTCTTTTCATTAAATTTGATGCGCCAAAGTACCAGTGTGATAAGCCATTCAGGTGATTTGGAGAGAAGTTGAAACTAAGTCATGGTCGGTGTGGTTGGAATATATCACTTTGTTGTTGGCAATAAATTTAGAATATAAAAAAAAATTATTTCAGATTGAGATAGTTGCCTAATTGGTTGTGAAATGATGTTTCTTTTTTATTTTATGAACACTGTTTTAGAAATCTTGCTCAAAAGTACCTAGTCTAGATCTCTTTCTGAAAGATAATTTTATCCATTTGGTATTATAGACTAATTTTTTTTTATTTTCAAAGCAGTATTCAAAATAAATGTGATTTAGCGGGAAAAATACAATTTCACGATTTATTGCGATATTTCAAAATATGTAAAACCAAATTTTGCACAAACTCGTCTTTCTTTCGTTTGCAATGGTTTATCATTGCTTACAGATATAAATCAAATAACTTTATGTATCCTACCTTCCCAACTTCCCATCTACAACAGTAACTGCATCCATCCCGGGAATCTTCTTTTTATATGAATATGTATTCAGGCAAAAAAAAAAAAGCAGCAACTAAAGGAAAGAGTTCATTTTTTAAGTAACAGGTTCCTTTTATGAATGTGGAACAGAAACTAATTTTTTTTTTGCAGTAAAAACGGGAACAAATTTCTTTTTAAAACTAACTTCCCCAACATTGACTAAAACCATATACTATTATCTTGGTCTGTGATTATAAATTTTAACCTGAAATTGGTCAGAACATAATTACAGAGTACCAAAATCAAGAATTTAAACTGTTTTTTTTTTTTTTTTACAAAATTTGATTTCTCGATATATCAATTATAATTATAATTTACATAACACTGTATAATTCAATCCTATTATACAACATAACATGTGGAAAAACACTAATAGAACAGACATTAATTTATGACTCACTATTAAAAATATTATTGTTAAGTAGCATAATCCCTTCAATTAAAATTCCCATCAGTGGAATAATTCAACTATACAACTATCATATCTGTTTATAAACTATACCTACATTAAGCAAATTCTAAAAAAATCCATTCAAAACCACACACATTTAACACTATAGATATAACAAACAGAATATCAGGAAAATATATTATACCATCATTTACATTATTAACTAGTTCCAGAACCTCCCCAAATCACATGAGTAAAGCTATATTCAATAATTTAAATATCAATAAAGTCTAATAAAAACTGTATGTGAAAGTCAATCTAATAATAACAATGATATAATCAATAAAAATGGCAAACAATAAATAGTTAAGAAACTTAATGAGAATGTTTATTAATGATACAGGTAATAGAGAAAAAACAAAATTATTAAATGGTTAATACTCTGTAAACAAATAAATATTCAGTTGTTTTATTTTACAATGAATTTTTTATTTGAAACCAGTTATACAATACACATTTCATAATACTCCACATATATATTATTATATTAGGTATATACTATGATATACCTAATGATGAATTTTTAACTCGAAACTGGCCGTATAATACACTTATCATAATACTCCAGGCCACACATTCATTCATTTATTTTTTATTTCTATACATACATTTTTTACTATATTTACAAGTATTAATCATTATAATAATGTGTTATTTATTACGCTAAAATAAAAAACAAATAAATAAAAGCAAGGACAGAAATTATAATTTTAGATTTTAAGAGAAGCGAGGAATGTATTAGTTTTACAATAATGTTAATTCATTTTTTTATCTGTGAACAACTTTTCTACCAGCAGTTTTGCTCATATTTAAAATAATAAGACTTTTTTTGGAGGAAAATCTGACTTGGGAGGAACTTTAGAGGGGTTATCTTTTGATTTTTCCAAGAGGAAAACCGGGAAAAACATAGGAAACCCTAAAAAGGATACAATACTAAACAAATAGATATGCAATAATTTTACCATACAATGGCATTATATATATTGTTGACAAGGCAACACAATCAACCAAACTTCACTTGGAATTGATTTTTGGTTACCTATGGTTAATCAGTGTGTACACATATATACATTGAAGTCCTGTATATATCTTACCTTCCCAACTTCCCACCTACAATAGTGGATGCACTTGTCCCCATTATCCTAAAAAGACAGTCTTTTTTTTCATTCAGATGATTTAAAAATTGTATCTATTACAAGATACAGAGAAACATATATTATATTCTTTTAGAGAATATTATATAAAATGTGTTATAATCAAAGGGTTATAAACAAAAATGACAGTCAACTAATTAAGTTTACGGAAATTGTATCTGTTACATATATTTAAATGAAAAAAACCAAACATGATTATTAATTATAAAAAGATCTAATAATAATATAATATCAATTAAATGTTTCAAACCAAGACTAAATATATTTTAGAACATTTTGAATAACTAAAATGTATAAGATTATTTTTAAAAATTTTTTCATCCTTTCATTGTTGTTAACACACACAAAAAATAGTCAGTGAATATTAAAAAAAAAAATAAAATTATGTAAGTAAAGGAATTTAAATCTTAAGCTATAACTATGTATTATTCTAATATTTATTAAATGTAATAGAGAATATTATATAAAATGTATTATAATCAAAGGGTTATAAACAAAAATGACAGTCAACTAATTAAGTTTACAGGAATAATTTTGAAATTTAATTGAATAATAATAATATTTAGTTCTATTAAATAGAAGCAATATTATTATTAGATACTGAGAGAATAAAAAGTACCGGCGGATTTAGCCTCAACCATACGATTATAACATTTAATAGGTAACCCAAGTTCCTTTAGTTCTTCTCTGGTAGATGCTACCATCTGATCTTTGAAATAAAAAACTACAGCTTCCCAACAAATAACTTCTAACTTGGGTATCACCATCCAACCAGTTGTTATGTTATTTGTAAAACCATCAGTAACAGAATCACCATCAAATCTGCCTCCATAACAGCATAGGCGCCCATTAGTGGATACAGCCATTGAATGAGAGTTGAATATAGCTACAGGCATAATACACTTTGGAAGATACTTCCATTGTATAGTGTTTAAATCCAATAGCCACATATCATATAAAGCTTTCTGACTATTGTGACCACCACATAAATACACAAAATTTTTGTTTTTCGGACATTGAACACAGTTCTGGCCATTTCGATTAATGGGATAACCTGCAAGTGGTGCACTGTAATCCGGCTTGGCTGGAAAAATTTCCCATTCATTTGTCATCAAATCAAATGTATGTATTTTCTGAGAACAAATGATTATCAATAGTAATATAAATATCAAAATAATTCAAGTCAGGTAATTAGAAATACTGGGATGATACATCATTGAAAAATAAGAGTCTATACACTTTATGCATAAAAAATATAATTAAATAATTAATAACCAATAATTAAAAATAATAAAATCATATTTTTTTTAAATCTTCTACTAGTAATTATTGAAGAAATCAAGTAATAGTGTTTACCTTATTATACTGATATGCAAAAAAAAATGTTCATTATTAGGGCTTGGAAGTGGTTACATTAGCAACTTTTTTTTTTATTGTCCAGATTTATTGCTAAGTTTTAAATCGGTTTCATGCAAGAAAAAATTAAAATCTAAACATTTTTAGCAAAACTGTTTGCAATTTTATTTATAATACAATTTTTGATACTTTTAAATATGATTCGCTCAATTTAATTATTTTACATAAGAAATAAAAAAAAACAGGTGCCTTATTAGATATAAATGTGTCAGAATAATATAATAATTGATGTGTTATGTGCCCAAATACCCTTTCTTTAAGAGATGTGTGGTAGTACTTACCATACACGAAACTCAATACCTACTCGATGTAGTAGGCTTATTAAGTATACAACACAGAAATATAGGTCTTAACATAATATAAACATGTTATAATACTAATATTGATATAATAACAATACATATGTAATTTTGGTTTTGACCCAAAATCCAGGGCAGCATACACAGAGCATACAAAATGCATCCGAAACATCATCGAATCAGAGTCAAAGCAACTTTTCGTCACTCTGTTTTATGAATTATTTTGGACTTGTAATATTTCTGTGTGAAATTAAATTGGACTTAAAATATGTTTCGATGTTTGTGAATTTATTTATTGGACTTGTAGTTTGTTGTGTGGAAAATATTAATTATTTATAAACTCAAGTTGAAGTTTGTTTTATTTCAAACATTTTTCCTCCAAGTCCTATTCCTATGTTGGGTCCGTTACAGATGGTTATCTGAAGCTTTGTGAATGATAATAGAAATATTACTTATTAACACAATGCACTCCATTGCATGTACACAATTATTATTACCCCCCAAAACATAAGAGTATTTTTATATTCGTTTGATATATAAAATAATTTTTTATAATTATTAAGTGTTATTTTAGATATTTTTATACCAATAATAATAATAATAATAATGCAACTTTTAAGTACAATTTTGGATATTATTTTTAATGCTTTTTTTAGTGCAATAACTTTGTTCGTTTTCGTTTTTTCCAATTATTTTATGAAAATCACTAGGAAAATCAAAAATTGAATTACTTCCACAGCAAACAAACTAAAAATGGTTTTTAAGTTTTTTTTTTTTTTGATTAAAGCAATATTCCCGGTAGTAAACATAGTTTTCAAAAATTTAAACAATGAAATCAGTAAATATTGTAAATATTTACCATTATTGCCAATTCTTCCCAATTGTTAAGAAAGCTCTTTGGAAAATTAAAAAAATCATTTTCCTCAATGCACTAATTAGATAAAATTTCCTTTTAGAAAAGGTGTTACACTTAAAAATTAGATCAAGATTTCTGGTAGAGAAGTTGTCCACAGAAAAAAAAAAGAAAAACATTACTAAGAACTATAAGCTTCTTTGCTCCACTCAGAATCTAAAAAGTGTTTTATTGGATGTGCAAACTTAGGCGTGAAGCGAAAATTAAAACTATTGAGTCTAGTGATGCCGAAAATATAATTGAAGAACACTGCTTAATACTTGAACATTGTCATGAGCCAGGCCTGATCTGTATCTGTTGAAGTCAAGAAAATTAAAAAAATATAAAATTTATCACACATAAATTCTAATCAAAAAAAAAATCTATTAAATTTACCAAACAGCAATTGGCACTTCAAGTATCTAGTTCAATAAACAAAGAATCAATTAAACTAATTGTTATATGACAAAGAAAACCTATTTCAGAGTATAAAGAACTACAATTTTTCAAAAAAAATTAATCAACCTTTATGATTATGTAATACACTGTGTGACACAATTTTGATAAAAAAAACTAAAGATATTTTACTATTTACAACAATTTATAATTGTAAGATTTTCCAAGAATCCAACTGCTAGTTGGGATCGTTTAAATTATTTCTCAAAACTTTTTTATCAGTTTATGTTTTACATGCTTAGACAGATGAAATATTTATTTCTCTAGTATTTTCCTTAAGGACTGGGGGAAAAATCAAGAATTACATAAGCAAATGTTTTCTTTAAATAATGAGTACTATACAAAAAATAATATAAATGTATTTGGATGATATGATATAATGTATATGGATATATGATGGATTTTGAAAACGCAGCTAAAAATTCCACTGATTCTATTTGCAATTTATTCAACATTTTTTTTTCACTTTTCTCAAAATATTTATCGAAAAATTCAAGAACTTGACCTTTCAGCAAAATATACAAATAATACTGAATTTATTTTACTTGCCAGAAATTTACCAGCTATGGAATTTACTATTAGTATGGTATGCATAGGTTATAGCAGTGGTTCTCAACCTTTTTTGTATGACGACACCCTAATTTTGATCCATAAAAATGGTGACACACTTAATAAAAAGAATGAATTTTTGAAAAAGTAAAAATTACAAATCTTTGTATACTAATACATTTGTATGTTAACATTTTATTAAAAAAAAAAAAAAAAACAAAAAATTTAAATATATTAATTAAAATTTAAACAGTTCGAAGAAAGTATTTATAAAAAAGTATTGGAAAATAAAGGAAATTAGTCCAATACCTGTGATTGGCGAACTGAACATAAGTCTTCGATTCGTGGGCGAATGGTTGACAAACTTATGCGTAATTCACTTTCAATATCTTAAAGCGTAGACCTTTTTTTTGTTTTTGTTATTTCCAATGCTGTTTTGCTCTCTCATTTTGCAGAAAAATCCAAAATGAATCATTTTCAGACATATAAAATTTAGATTTTAACGTTGTATTTGATATTTCTAACAAATGTTCTTTTTCTGTAGAAGTTGGGTTGCATTTTTAATATTTTCTTCTCTACACAGACCATATAATGAAACTACCCTAATGTATATCAGTTGTTGAAAGTGATGGAAAATAATTCTTTAAATTTCGAGAAAGTGTCAACAAATGTTCGCATATTATATTTTTCAATTCTTTTTTTTGATTATCTATTTTTAAATACATTATTAATTCTTCGACTAAAGAAAAGCATGAAAAATCATCTTTTTTTTATGTATGATAACCATAAATTAATTTTTTTTTAAAAAACTTTCCATCTTATCACTAGTAGAAATTATAGTTTCTTTACGACCTTGCATACTCGAATTTAAAATATTCAGTTTTTGAAAAATGTCAGCAAGGTAAGCTAATTTAGTACACCACATTTCATCATCAATTTCATTTAAATAATTATTTATGTTTTCAGATTCAAAAAAAATTTGTAATTGATCTTGAAGTTCTAGTACACGATTTTATATTTTATCTCTTGAAAGCCATCGTATCTCAGTATGAAACAACAGAGAAGTGTGTTCTGTACTGATATTTTTACTTAGTTCTTCGAATATTCTACATTTTACTGGTCGTTTTTTTTTATGTATTTTATCATTTCAATTACAGTTTTGAGAACATCACTTAATTCTCCCTCATCCAAACTTTTTACCATCAGAACTTCACAAAGTATAAAGTGAGTTGTAATTAAATTATAATTTTTATTTTTTGCAAGATTAAGAAATCCTTTAAATCGGCCAGTCATGGCCGCTGCACCATCTGTGCAAATTGAAATGCAGTTTGACCAAAGTAAATTATTTTCTTCAAAAAAATAATTAACAGCATTACAATATCGACTCCTGTTGTTGTAGTTTGTAATTCACAGCAAAATAAAAATTGTTCAATTATTTAATTTCATTGACAAATAGTATGAAAGAAATGAGTTGAGATTTACCAGAAACATTGGTACTTTTATCAAATTGTAATGCAAACTCTTTATCTTTTTGTAATAAATCATTTACATTTATTACAATATCTTCTGACATTGTTAATATCCTAACAGTATCATTTGACAACGGTATGTTTGAAATTTGTTTAGTTGTTACTTTACCAAACATAATATCAACAATTTTTGCTGGTAAAATCAATTCTTCTCCAATGGTTGTGGTTTTTTTTTTCTTTGCTATTAACTCGGAGATTTTAAAAGAACATAAAAGAGATTTATCAGATATTTTTAAACATTTCCCATGAACAAATTTTTTTTGTGATGACATTAAATGCATAAAATATTCAGAACTTTTTTTACTAATATGACGATGGTTTTGCTTTAAATGTCTTTATAATTTATTTGGTACCATTGACTCGTTTGATAAAGTTACGCCACACACAATACATTGAGGTATTTGATTATTTTGATCACCAGTAAACGTAAATCCAAAATTCAAATAGTCGTTGTTATACTTGGGACGCTTTAATGTTGTTTTGTCATTAATTTGTATTTTATTACTAAAATTAGAAGTTTGTGATGAAGACAGTAACGGTGAATTAATAGAACTATCGATGCTTGTATTAACCGAAGTTGAGATTTTTTTAATTATAAATTTATCCATACTTATTGTAGTTCCTTTAATATGAAATTTCTAAAAAAATATGAAAATATACCGCACTAAAATTATATAACACGCACAAAACCACTGTGGCACTGAGGACAATGACATGTTTATTTACATAGGTTACGCTTACAATTATTTTTCTTATTTGTGGTTTTTACTATTTCATCATAATGCCGAAATAATATATGTTACAATGGAAGCATACAATTCCTCATAGTTGGTTTTGTTATCTGTGGTTTTACTATTTGATGATAATGATGAAATATTATGAATCACAATGTAATTATGATTTAGAGGTAATAATATAATATAATATAATTCTCAATAATATATTAAAATCAATATTTAAATTTAAACTAATAATATTTTAAGGACACACTCCACAGTAATATTCGACACACCGGTTGAGAACCATGAGGTTATATTGTATAGATAAAATATTATAGAAAGTAAAATATGCATTATTATAGATTATTTTGTTTTAATCTCTTGGTTAGATATAAAAAAAATTGGATAATTTTAAAACCACTTTTTGGAGACACTAATGAGGAAAAAAAACTGTTAAAATATTTTATAGAAAAAATAGAAATGTGTTTGAGAGGAAATCCCAGAAGAGACAATTACAACTGACCACTCTCCAGAAAGGTAGACAGTGTCAGAACAATTAATCCAAGATTAACCTGAAAAGGCAAATACAGCAATACATGACACAAATAAATAAAATATCGCCTCATCCTGGTACAAATATTTGATAACTTATTTAAACGCATGCGGTTCCTAATTATTTTTGATTTTAGGTTAACATAAATTCATAAAACAATTGTGATAATATAATATAATATTAGTGATGATATAAATGCTAATTTGTAGATAACCAAAGAAAAACATAAAAAAATAAACATTGAATTCAAGATTGAAATTCATGCAGTATTGTTTTAAACAAAAATTAGGATAAATTAAAATATTTACATTCAATCCTTCATAATTAATATCTGTAATATATGACTTTATTTATGAATGATAAAATATTTAATTAGATTTAGAATTTAGATTCTGAGTGGAGCGAAGAAGCTTATGGTTTTACAAACATGTTTATTTTTTATTTGTGGACAACTTTTCTATCAGAGGCCTTGCTCCGATTCTTACATGCAACACCTTTTCTGATAGGAAATCAGTGTAGGGAGGTATCCTAAAGAGGTCATTTTTCAATTTTCTCAAGAGTTTTAACATCGAAATTATGCATTTTTCAAATATGTATCTTAGTAAAAATATGCATCAACCAATTATATAATAATATAATACAGGATATCTATCCTGTAGTGTTATCCTTAAGCTAATATAACTTTACCAATATTAATTGTGATTTATATGATGGGGGGATACATATGATGTAACGAAAATTTTGATATTTTATTTTACTCTCCTAATCACTGATAAAAATAATTTTTTATGCTTCCACTTTTAAAATTTTCAAAATAGTAATATATAAATATATTATTCTAAAAATTTGAATGTAAAATAAATTCATATCAGATTTATAGTTTTCAAATGCGTAAAATTAAAAAAAAAAAAACCAGGAAAACATACAAAATATATTTGTATAATATATGATTTTTATTTTCTGAGGACAAATTTTCTACTACCAATTTCATTTCAACATAAAGTAATAGCAATTTTTTTTAAAGGAAAATTCACTGAGGAGTTACTTTAAGATAGGTTGCTATTCAATTTTTTCTGGAGTTTTCTCAACAAATGTAAAAACCAAAAAAATAAATAAGAAAAGGTAAGAAACATAGATGTATTAGCTAAAAATATTATTGCCTTTTCTTTCATGTGAACAAATTTTCTACCAACAATTTTGCTCCAACTTTTAATGATAGCAATATTTCTAATGGGAAAATTCACAAGAAAGGTATTTAAAGTTTACTAGAGAGGTCATTTTTTTAATTTTCGCAAGAATTCCCAGCAAATGTGAAAAACCAGGATAAAACATGGAAAAATGTAGGAAAACTGGGAAAATCGGTAAAACATTAAACAAATATTATTAAAGAAAACATATAGAGCCTAATTAATTATTTTACTTAATATGGTATATATATTGTTGACAAAGCATTACTACCAACTGAACTTAACCCAGAATCGTTTTTTTGGTAAGTAATGGGTTTAACATTGCTTACAAGGTATACATTTAATTACCTATAACAGTGGCTGCACCCGTCTCTGTTATCTTAGGATCATAATACTTAAATTTAAATTTGTAAATAAGTATCTAATGTTTAACTTTTCATTTTTATGAATGATAAAAATACATTTATTTCAATATTTTTATATTTAAAACACTCAATCTTTCTCTTTCGTACACAAAACATTTCTAACATGACCATTTAGTCAGTTTATATTCGAACTAATAACCTTCAAACAGACCATATTCTGACTGGTTAACACCCTCCTGTTATTAATATTTTAATTTGAATAAAACATAGGTTTATTATAGATACGGAATTTAAAAATACAATCAACATTTTATACTAACCGAAAAATTGTAAGGAACATCATTGGTAGATGGCCTGCTATTGAACATGAATAATCTGTCGTTGTAAAATACTATTTGGTGAGAATCTCTTACTAGATCGCTTTCCTCATATGCGCTATAGAGTTGAATCCAGCTTTTATTGACCAGATCCAGTTGAAACACGTCCAATTCAGTTTCATTACCCGGTGCACCGCCAACTACAAATATATTCTTACCATCCAGCACAACACCTTGAGCACATTCCTTTCTAGGCTCTGGAAGAGAACCACATATTTCTATCTCTTTCATGGCCATTTCCACTGGTTTATTTTCATGATCCAAATTCCCTGGAATTATAAATTATAATTTTAATTAAGTTTATTACAATATTTAAATTTATTTCCAAAAAGTTTACCACAGTACACGCGGTTGTTACTGACTGGAGCATGTGGAATACCATATAATATAATCAAACTACCAGACAGTAAAACAGAAAAAGACGATAATTCCTGTGGAACACCTTTGCATCTTACCCTCCTCCATTTAGATGAATCAAAGAAAAACTTCCAAATATTAACACTCTAATAAACAAAATTCAACATTAATATTAAATATAATTATCGAAAGAAAGAATATTATAAATAAATAAAGTGATGCTCAGTAAAATCAATTTCCTCTATTATTTTTCAAATTGTAGTAAATAAAATTTGAAACAATTAAATTTGAATAAAAGTTTTCTTACACTTTTTAGAGCGCTAGAACCTTCATAAGTAATCAAATAGTTATCAGTACACACTATACCATCAGTGATACCTATTGGTAATGTGAATACTTCATTACTTGAATGTATAGTTTGAAATTTGAAAGGTTGAAATACATACTGTTTTAAACTCATTTTTGTAGAGAACTACCTGTAAAATTAAATAATCATTAATTAAATTGATATAGATGTTTGAAGAATGTTGCATGAATAGTGAATTGTTCTATAATAACAGTTTCTCTGATCAAAAAAGAACTTCAAGCATAATGAAAGAAAATGATCATAATATTATTAAAAATCTAGATTGAGTAAAATAAGACGATACTAACCAAAAATATATGTAATTCAATTGAATAGTCAGATGTAAAATTTACTGCGGTGTTGAACAACTGAATTCTGAAAAATAAAATACAAAGTAAACAAAAACACGATTTGAGAAAATTAAACAATTTTTAGCACTAAAGATTTTGTTGCAATTACGTTAAAAATATATTTCCGTCAATAGTATAATTTGCGACTAGTGTTAGAATCACATTAGGTGAATTACCAATGTAGATGATAAATTTATTTGTTAGAAGCAAACAAAACAATTATTACAGAACTACCAACATTCATTTGCAATGAATACCCTAGCACAGTTATCGATAAACCGTGAACATGGTCACGACCGTATACCACAGTGTACTTCCACAATTGTGTACCTATCACAAATTCATCACCGGTCATAAATTGATAATAAACCATAGTGAGATGTACGGTTAAAATTTATAGACATTCGTTTAACTATTAGTATAGTTTACTCCCTCGTTCCCCTCCTATTAATGCAAAATAATAAGAGAATAATTTTGTATAACAGATAACTTAACAACCACTGAGTAATATAGTGATGCCGTTCGATTTTTAATTGTAACGAAAGAGGTTTACTTCCATTGTGACAAGATGACAAAGAACAAAACTATTATTTAATTTTGTCTTTTACAAATAACAATACACATATTAAGGTTCAAGGTATTTGTTGTATATTGTAAATTTATGATTTAAGAGTGAATGGCCTAACATTGGTCTTCACAACAGTTGTACTGCCGAGATACGATACAGCAACTCTATATTACTCAATGCTAACAACTAAAATGGATACGATAATAATAATAACAGACGACGTATCGATGGTTTAAAGAGGAGAAATAATAATTCTGAAGGGGATGATGGAAAGTCACTGTCTATCCGAGATGGTCACAAAATTTTATGACCGATTTGTAACCAGTAAAACTAAACGAATTTAATTTTATAACCGATTACAATTTTGAGGGAAAATAATCACTGGTTACTCTCAACGAATTTGTGGCTATTTTTCAACATTTAAATTTATTAATAATCAACTCTCATGCTGGTATGTCAGTTCATCACACCATTAATGAGAGGAAGAAAAGGAGCAGTTACTAGCATATTTTTAGAGGCGGCCAACACTTTTAGATATTGCTCCTTTAGATATAAACTGTCTATGAGTGATTTAATTAATATATTGAATAAACTTTGTAAAAATATATAATAAATACTTAACAAATTGACCAACAGATCAGTTGTATAATAATTTTAAAGAATTACTTGATGGTAATATAACAACTATTGATTGAAGAGACTTAATTGTACAAATCTACAAGCATATACTTATGCTTAGAATATAGAGAACCCTAAGAACAATATTATTATTCATTATTAAGTTTTTTAGTTATTGTTTATAACTGTAATTTGGTACTTACATTAAATTTCCAATTTAAGAATCTTGACATGATATAGGTAATCGTAGTGACGCTTATGCAAATAATAACCTTTTATTGTTTCACTTATATTTTTTGTGTGACTATTGTCTGTGAGAAAATTGAAAAATACAATTTCTCTAAATGTTAAATATTGTACATTACAAAACGTACATCTTTATTGGAAACATTTATTAAGTTAACCAATAGATTTTTAAAATAATTGATGACAAATGTTGATGAATTTCTTTTGTTAAGTTTTGAGTTCTTTTTACTACATGAGATTAGAATACAACCAACATCTTACCAGATAACAGAGAGCTTCACTTAAAATCATTTTTTGATTGCAATGATTTATCATTGCTTTTAGATTATATTCTATATATATTAGCTATGTATTATTAAATTGATTCATTATTTATTATAGATATTTATTTTTTACCAAAACAACTGTCAATTAACTATTAAATTCTATTTTATAATTATTAACGGCATGTTTATGATATTGGACTCTGAAAAATAAAATTAACAATTTTTAATTTAAAGAAATAAAAAAAAAAAACATGTTTTTTATAAAGGTCATTGACAATAATTTTGCCCTACAACAATAAGATAAAAAGGCAATGAGCATTTTGTAATATTGCATATCTAATTATAATTACCAAACTCTTAACTATTTCAATGTATTTAAAACTATATACTATTCGTATTTAAAGTAGATTAACTCAGAAACTTTTTTTTCAAATTTCAATAGAAATACCTTAATATTTTCAAAAAGATTATTTGATTCATAATTTGCATTAAAACATGTTGGTTCTCATAGGAAAAACTGAAGTTTCTATCGTCTCATTGCGGTACCTCTAAAACAAGTACTGTGAAAAATTTAAATATTTAATTACACTTAAAAATTCCAAAACCAGAATTTGAATATAGGTATGCAGAATTCAGTAACGAATTTACAGATGGAGTTCAGAGTGTCTGGACACCTCCACCCTCTACCAGACAATAAGTTTCAATAAAATGTCCAAAAAAAAAAGTCATCTATTAATAAATATACCTTTTAAATTGCTTATGATTTTTCAGGACTCTTCTCAAAAAAATGTTGAAAATTCGCTACTGGCAGAATTGAACCATACAAATGGGATGAGCATGACTGAAAAAATCATCTGTACTTACATAACATTGTGTATTACGCGTAAATAGTAACGCCATTAAAGTCTCAGAGTATTTTGCTGGCACATAGTACGCAATATATTATTATTATTGTCATAGCCGTCCCAAGCTTTTGGGGTCAGGGGCAAATTAATTCGGAGCAATTTCGGAATCATTATAATACGATTAAATGATAAACAAATACTACGACCGAGATTTGCAAAATGTTATCATAGTTAGCTATAGTTTTCAAATCGCTCAACCAATCAAGGTCGTTCATGTACTGCGTATTATATCATATTCAATAAACTCTTAGCAATATATGGGTAGGCAATTATTATCTCATTTATTAAAAATGCGATTTATTCCTACACCTAAAAATATTTGTATGTATCCGTATTGGCCGGACATGCTGACTCCCCAGTATATAATTTAAAAATATCAAGAATATAATAAACTAACATGGGTAATCATAGTGAATCTGGATCACGCAGGAATATGGCAAGGCTGCATAACATTAAAAAACGGATGCAGAGCGCGGACCGTCAGAACAGTGTGGGAGTTTCTTTTCGGGTTCCAAGACGGTATCACGACACGACGGTACAAAAATCCTGAAAGGAAAGAACAATTTACGTACCGTTCTTTTTATCATCCAACAGCGTTTATAGTACCAATGGAATTAATAATCCGATAAATAAAAAAACTAGGTCAATGAAAAGGTAAATGAAATTGAAACGAAAAAACTGGGGGAAATGGCCATATTATATTGTACGAAACTTTACAATAAAAAATTGTTATCAATATAATACAGTTCAATACTATAGTAAATCATGGCTACGGCCAAGCACTCAGGCCGTACAGTCGAGTCGCCGGTCGGACGGAGGGGGAAAAAAATCTACTGCCGCGCACAAAGCACTTACGCGTAATATTCGGACGTTGGCGCAAGCGCAGCTCAGTGTACGTACGCGCGCGAATGCAATTGTTGTTATTATTATTTACCGTATGGTGTGCTAACTGCATTTGTATTTCTTATCACGACCCGATATTAATAATAAAATGATAATAACAATAATATGCCCACCTTAACCCAATATTTTTTTTTTTTCCCCCCGTTCAGTTAACAAACGATTAAACGAATTAACGCTTTGATTTTTCTCTCCTTTTGTTCGACACTACAATAACGATATGATTATAATATAACACGGCTCGCGTACTCCCGTGAATTATATAGTAACCTATACCCACCGACCTATCGTTTTAATTGAATTAGGCGCGTCATTTTTCGCACTCGCACCACTTCGTTTCCATGTAAAGTTATTGTCATATTTTGTCCACGGCCACAGAAGGACGTTTATTATCGTCGTTTGCAAACGCCATGTCAACGTTTATACGCGGAAGAGGTGGTATTATCGTCGATCGTCGTGGAAAGTAAACATAAAAAAAACCATACTCGACACTTAGACATTAAAATGAAATAATAATAATATTAATATATTATGTTTCTAATTTTTGGGCGTTCGCCGCGCGCGAATACTAACATACATCACCGTCTCCCCGTTAATACACATCGTATAGGTTCTCAGTTTACCGGCACCGATGATCTAAGCTGCAATTGGTAATGTTCTGTGCAACGATCGTGGACACGGTGATGGTATTAAATTCATCTGTTGCATGAATACTGCCTACTACTGCTTATTGCTAAGGGCGAACTGCACTCTACGTCTATTTGGACGTGATAGTGACTGTCTTGCTGTAAGTATAAGATTTTTTTTTGTTGTCGCGCTTTTTACAATATGTGCAGGTATCTACCTGTGTACATAGGGTGCTTGTGTTGTACAAATACAATAATTATTGTCTTGTAGCGTTTCTGATTGATTAATGAACTTTTTTTCTTTGGCAATTTTTTTACTATGATGTTTCTATATATCTACTATTTAATTTCCTATCAATTATGATTCGCATGATGGGAAGTTTGATGTTAATCATCATAATAGTTTTATAAAAATTGAATATATATTATTTTAAATCTTGTTGTTATCGGTTAAATATTGACAAACATCTCTGCTTGTATAATATATTACTATGTAACTATTATGATAGCTAACTAATTGGAATGCATTACAAGGCCATGTCAATTTTAAAAAAACTTCTCTTCTCTTAAGATTCAAATATTAACAAGAATTATTAATTCATATTTGTTTTAGTCTAAAACATAATAATTATATTCTGTTAAAAATAAAATATTACTAATATACTAAATATTGGGCATGTTGTATGTGCATGTGTTTTATACCTACTTAATTTATTGGAAAATAAAGTTAGTCTATTTAATTATTAAAATTGTTAGTACAGGGAACAATATTTTATCACCTATTTTAAAAATAAATAGTACATGAGATAAGACCTCTTCAGGTGTAGGTATGACAAGTATTTTTCATTGAATGTCTATAAGGACACATATGGATAAAAAACAGTCACTTTCTAATTTGTTCTAATTTGTTTAGCATTCAATTGTTTCAATATTGAATTGTGCAAAAACTATGTTATAAAATATAATTTAAAACACTGTATTTTACCCATATGTGTCCTTAGACATTAAATGAAAGGTACTTGTCATATCTACACCTGGAGAGGTTTATCTCATGTGTTAGTTATATACCAATTTATTTATATTATAAACTAGTAACTAGTACTTAACTAAGTAAATTGTTAGGTAAGTACTAAGAATTAATTTTATGGAGAAGTGAATCATGAATAAATAATGTTTTTCTAACAGAGTGAAATCTACTATTTGTACATATTTGTATTTTTAATGGATATATCAATGCATTTTAATATTTCCTTAAATAATGATAATTGAATTAAATTTTAATAATTAGCATACAATTTATTGATATACAGGATGGAACTGGCCTATTTGACATTTTCACATGTAACTACAATGTAAAAATGTCAAATAGTCACGTCCTTGATAAGGTACTTTTAAATGTATTGTATAAAAAAAATATTATTAATACCCTATGGCTTAAATGATTAATTTTTGAATAACTGGAAAAACAAATTAATATTTTAGTTTTGATACCTAAAATTAGAATTAGATTATTATAGGTACCTACTTACTACCTACATACAAAATTATTTGACCCTTCTATTTACCTATTTTATACTCAATAATATTTAATATATTCATAATATCTAGTTGTTTTAAATAACTGGATTAATATGGAAAAGTATTTAAGTAGATACTAAGAAAACTGAAGAAAATTAGTTTTGGATTCTTGGAATTTTACCCAATAAACATACAATTTTGTTGCTAAGTCTAAAGTTAAAGTGTGAGAAATCCAGGGAATTAATGAAATTTCATATGAAAGTAAAATCCGATTTTAATTCTATATAATCCACTGAAAATTTTAGCAGGTTAATATTTTTTATGAACAAAAGGGTCATCAACATTTTTGAGCTGTTGGACATATCATGAATTATTTAAAAATTTAAGTGTCTTCATTCAAATAAAATAGCGTATTAATTAAACTTATACATAATTGCTTAATTTACAATTTTATTTAATACTAAAATTTTTTTCTTAATTTTCTGTGATCAACTTCTAATCTGGCACAAGGTATCTTTGTAAATTATCAACATGATTGTAATTTTATTACAGTTTAAAATATTTTATAACATACAATTTAAAATGTTCAAAATAAATAGTGAATATGTATTATTGTAGGTGGTAAGTTTAGAAGGTATTAGATATAATATAATTTAGGTTTTGTAATATATTAAAAGTAACGAAAAACCATTGCAATCACCACATGATTTAATCACAGCTCAGTGATGTAACACAAAAATCAATTATTATTATTATTATTATTATTATTAGTTGTTAGACTTTTTTTGGTAAAGTATGATAGGAATTTTCGAAAAGATGGTTTAAATACATTATTAACAAGGGGTTACCGTGGCATTTTAATAAGCCAAGTGTTTTTTGAAAAAAAAAAAAAAAAAAACTAAAACTAAAATAACAGTAGGTAATTAGAATATTAAATTAAAACCATAATTTTCTTGATTTAATACTACTAAATAGTCTTGAGAGATTTTTTTATAGATTTGGTTAATACAAGTAAACAAACACATATTATAATTTTAAATGTATAGATTATTTATTTTGGTAATCAAATTATTAAGTATGAGATAATGAACTTTTTAAATAAATTATTATTTAAAAATAAAAATATAATAAAATAATAAAGTAAAAACAAAAATATTAAAATGGTTAATACTTATTAATAAATATAAAAATAATAAATGTATGTATAAAAAAAATAATTAATTAATGTGTCACCTGGAATATTATGAGTAGTATAATAACATATTTATATTATTTATTTTTTATTTTAGATATTGAGTGCAGTGAGGAATGTATTGGTTTTACAACGTTTTTTTTTTTTCTATTAGAAAGCATACTCCAATTATATATTTTATTATATTAAGTATATCACTTTTTCTGAAAAGAAAATGTCTCTGGGTGGTACTTTAGAGAGATTATTTTTTGAAATTCTCATTAATATTCAAGATAATGAGGAATATCTTGGTCTTAAGCCTAAAAAAGATTGAAAGATTAAAAATAAGATTATCGTAGGCAATTGTTTTTAGAGTTTGATTTAAAGGCGGTTTCTAGCATTGTTCATTTTTAGGCCTGAGTGTAATGTTTAATTAGATACCATTTATATGGTGTAATTATTTTACCAAAATATGATATATACCATATAGTGTATTGCTGACAAAGTAACATCAACTGAATTTAGTTTAGAATTGTTTTTTGTTAGCAATAGTTTATCGTTGCTTACAGATATACATTAAATTCCTGTCTGTAGCCTACCTACCCAACTTCCAACTTACAACAGTGGCTGCAACCACATGGGAAGTATGTCCGTCCTTTTTATACATACATTTTATATTTTTATATTTATTTACTATATTTAAAAATTTAACCCTGTACAGTCAATTTCAGACCATATTAATCAAAATACCAACATATTTTAATCAAACCTAGGTTCAGAGTTGATATTGATATTAAAAAAAAAAAAGATAATATTTTAGTAGATAGGTATTAATATATATTATGTACACTCATTAAGGTCATACTCCTGAAGTACACAATATTATTATACTCTAATAATTTTAATACTATTAGAAGAAATAAATAAATAAAATATTAAGAGGATGTATACCCACATCTACTGTCTTAGTCTATCAGGTAACATGCAAAAACAATGCTTACATAGAATAAGTAAAACTATCTTAAGTTTGATTTTAGAGTAAAAGTACCTATTAAGACATTTGTAGAGAAAAATATTTTGGAGGGAATGTTATAGGTCTTTTTTGAATTATGAACTATTAAAAAAGTTAATTATTTTTAAAAAAAAAAAGGTTCTTGTAATTTTGAATAATACAAAATCCCTAAAACAATCCCTCCAAAATATTGTTCTTTATGAATTTCATAATAGGTACTTTTACTTTAAAATTAAATTTAAGCTAGTATTACTTATTCTGTGTAAGCATTGTCTTTTCATGTTACCCAATAGTAGGACCGAAACAGTAATTGCAGGTATCTTAATGTCCTCTTAATGTAGATTAATAGAATGTGATAGGTACCAAATAAAAATCTTAAAAAAAGTTTAAAAATTAGATGCTATGTCTTTCCTATTTAAGGGGTTTTATATTGGTAATTTCCTTAAAATTTTATCAACTTTAAAATAATAAAATTCACTTTTAAAATATATATTTAAGAACAAGTCATCTCATGTAATTATCATATGTATTTATTGTGAAATTCAGAAATTAAAAAAAGATGTTAATGAAGAAACAATTTCATACGGACAAGAACTACTCTAGTTTTAGACTTTATTAAGAAACCAAATTTTTACCATAATAAAAAGAGAACCTCGACTGTGTAACCTTGGTATTAAATTTTTGATATCATTACTATGAAAATTATTATTCGAGTTTGAAAAATTTTAATTTATCAGATTTTAAAACAATAAGAACTTTTTTTATGGTAAAAATTAGATTTCTTAATTAAATCTATAGTTCAAGTAGTTTTTGTCCACAAAACTGTTTTTACAGTAGAATTGTAAGTGGTAGGTATTCACCATCTTAATTTTCTTATGTTATTATTATATGAACCAACATGTTTACTACTAAATACTGTTAAACCCGAGATTAAACCATTATATTTCATATTATTAACCTATTGAGTAAATAGAATCTTAATATAGTACCTAATCATAAGTTAAAGATAGTATATTATGCTTCTTGCTTATGCATACATATTAGTATACAGGGTATCCCACAAAGATTACCTATTGTAATATCTCCGAAGATGATAAAATTCTGTTTTTTTTTTTTTAATATACATTACTCAGAGATAAGTACTATAAATATTTATATCACAATTAATTTTTTATGTTTTGATAAGAAAATTAAAAAATATAATCATTAAGATCATAGACATATAATAAAATTGTATGTCTGCGATTAAGATAGCCGTTTATAGTTTATTCTTCTGGAAATTTTGAGGTATCAACTTTTAATTTTCATTAAATGTGCAAAATGTAGGTAGGTATTAATACAAAATAATAAGTCTTTTTTTTTCCCCAGTATACTACTTTTCTACCAGCAATTTTGCTCCAATTTACAATATTAAAATATAAGTCATTCCAAGAAAAAGCTACAATATTTCGATATTATCGTCAAAAAAATGACAACAATGGCGCGATGGAACTACATCAAGATTGGACTGGCCCGGGCTGAACAGTAATATAATCAGTGTTAAATCTAGCCAATTTCTCTTGAGGGGGGGGATTACTAAAATTATAGTAATGACTTTTTTTTTCTTATCTACTCTTACTAAAACCAGTCAAATTTGTTTAATTATAATTATTTATTTACCCACATTTAACAGACGACAAACAAAATTCCAGGTGGGCTGTTGCCCCTCTGTTATATATCTGGATTAAACACTAAACATAATCAATTTATGAAACCAGCCCCATTACCAAATTATAGACCAGGGCCGTCCAACCCTGTACTACACATAATGTATGATTTGATCAAAAATTCAGAAAGAACTGAAGAAATTCAATTCATAAAAATTAAATTTGATTAGGTATCTAATAAATGGCTCTTTAAAAATTAATACCTACCCAATAACTGATTACTATTAAACATTTTCAAAATGTAGAGAGTTATTTTGTTTGTGTATAATTTTTTCAAAAGGAAAAGTGACAACCCGATCAAAACTGTTTAAAATTAAAATAATACTGGAAATGAAGTCAAAATGTTAAAAGTGGCTGGGCTCGTTTCGATGGAAAAATACAAGGATGTGCAAAACCTTAAATTAAATTACTAGTAATGATAATAATATTCTAAAATGTCCGAAAACAGCAGTATTCCGTCGACAACGACAAACGTCAAAATGATAAATAATATTGATATATTTTACTCATGCAGTTGCGATTGTCGGTTTATAATATTGTATTCTAAATTCATGTATAAACGAACAAAAGTAATTTTATGAAATTATCTGATGCGATATGACACTTTTAACGTTGGTTAACATTAATATTATTACTATCATTGACCACACAGCTATTTTTTGTTTTATTACTTTTACAAATGTTATTAAGCCATAATGAATGTAGGAATGTCAATTTTGTCATAGAAATTATAGGTTATAATATTATGTAGTTAGGTATAATGTATGCTGCATAGTATAAACAAGCAGCGTCAAAAGAGCAAATACGAAACATAACGTCACAATACGCGAGCTCAAAGGTTAATTTAATTAAGTGTTTAAGTGCATGAATAAATAAAAATAATTGGCTATGAAGACCGAACGTTAAATCATTGGATTAAACAACTCTGTAAACCATATTTATTTCAGAAAAAAAATAATTAAAATCTATTATAATCAGTGCTGTAACTGGGAAAATTTAATTAGAGGAGCTCCTTCCCCTACGCCCATCCTCCCCTCCAAATCAAGCAATGATTATAACATAATAAAATGTATCATAAGTTTAAATTGATTAAATTAATTAAATTTTAATACATCATTATAGTACTCACCCAATTTTGACGAGAGAATTTGAGTATTGAACACAACGCTGCGACTGTTTCAATGAAAATGATATCGTGCATTTGTGATTCAGTTTCATTCGTGTGTTTTATGCTTATCAATTGAACGCAAACATTGGGCAAAACCCACGATTGCCAAACAATTTTTCCTTATCAAGACTATATTTATTATACTTATATTATTATTACTCATATTTTTTAGTTGTAAATAATATTTAAAAATTCATGAAAATAATGTGTCCGTTCAGATACGACAGTGTACGCAAACTATGAATCGATTTTTATATAATTTATAAAATATGGTATAGTTATTAATATTATTTAAATACGGTAACCATATTGATACTGTGTATCATAGTTAATATTGCACCCAAATAATCGACAGTGCTTTCGTGTGTAATCGAGAATTAAATACATCACCAGTTCACGGAATGTTTATCAAAACGAATACGTTTTCGACCTCGGTGTACACCGAGTACAAAAAGTGCATTGAATTGAAAACGCTATAACGCTACTTAAAGTAGTCTTGCTCTTTTGGTGTTTTTTTGAGGTTTTATACAATAAAATATCTTACGAGTAATATGACATATTAGACTAAAATGATAAGTACACATTTAAGTATTTAGTTTGACGGATTTTATTTTTGAAAACAGATTTTGATTGAATAACAAGTATACTATCTTATAACTGGGGTAATTATAAATATCTATTATTTTTCTATTTATTTTCTATGGTAATACGTATAATTTTTAGAATATTTAAAATTATCTCTGTCTAACTTAGTAAACTTATTAATCAATCCAAATCTATTCACAAACAAAATTTGTCTTACTAAAATCCTACATTTTTTTTTCTAATTTGTTTGTCTAAATACCATATTTTTCAATAATTGCAATCCTCTTAATACAATTATTATTTTCCGTATATTATGTTGTAAAATTTTTGTAGAGTTAATTAAGTTTTTTGTTTATGTATGGTTAATATTGTGTGTATTATTAATTTGTTTAATTATATTTATCATATAGACATGCATGGACTGGAAGCAAATGATTCAAAAACACAGTCGTAAGATCTTGAATAGGTTTAGTATGGATTTGATGTTAGAAGCTTATTTGACACACGAATCAAGTCTCATGGATTTGGATGATATACCACAAACAGTTGATCCTGTATGGATACTAGGAAAAAAATATAGTACAATTATTGGTAAATAAATACTTAAAATAAAAATAGTGCTTCATTTTTTGAATTTTAATACTTTTTATTTGTAAATGTTGTGATATCAGCACTGTTTTTATAATTAAAATACTTATTTTTTAAATTATCTACATTAATTATTTATTTTATTCTGTAGAAATAATATTGTTTTATATACATATTTATTGTTTTCAGATTTACAACAAATACGAGAAGATGTTCTATCCAGATTATGGTTTACTTATAGGAAAGGTTTTGTTCAAATTGGAAATACAAATTTTACTTCAGATAAGGGTTGGGGATGTATGTTGCGATGTGGTCAAATGGTCATTGGCCAAGCTCTAATCTTTTTACACTTAGGTGAGGGATCATAATTTTGTATTATATGCTATATATACTGGAGTTTGGTATTTTGTTCCAAATGTTTATTATAACATTGAATTATTTTATAGAAATATTCTACATGTGTTTGAATAATGGACCATTGTTCATTTCCAAACTATATTTTTATAGTTAGCATACATATTTTTGGGGGCCCTAGTTTAATGTATTTCTGAGTGTGAATTATAACTACACTGGTATTAGTCATAGTACAAATATTACTAATGGCAATGTAGTTATTATACAAATGGAGAAATACATTAAATCAAGTCCCAAAATAGTGTATGCAAACTGAAAAGTATCCAAAGTATAATAGTAGAATGGACCCATGGACACAGCTCTAATAATTACTCATTCAACAATACCATTCAGTTGTAAATTTAAATTTGTGAATAAATTATACATTTCTTCAATCATCATAATAATTACCTATTAAGTATATTTAAATGTATAGAACACGAGTAGTCAAATATTTTAATTTTTATCATAAATTAAATAAATAAAACCATAATCAATGAACAATAGTCTATATAATACACATTTTTAGAAATTTAAATGAAGTAAATTGTATCATTTTTAACTTCTAAAGTTGTAACCATATATATTTTTGAAATTGATAAAATCTTTAATGTTCCAAGTATTTTTTTAAAGAATGGTATTAATATATCAATACTTTATTTATGTACTAGTTAAATATTTATTAATATTATCTTATAAACATGTATGAATTAAACAGGTAGAGATTGGCGATGGGATCCAGATAAGAGGGACATTGATTATCTAAAAATACTAAGAATGTTCGAGGACAAAAAAAATGCACCTTATTCAATTCATCAAATAGCTCTAATGGGCGTATCTTATGGTAAACAAGTAGGTGAATGGTTTGGTCCAAATACAATAGCTCAAGTGTTAAAGTGAGTTTGAATTTTATAAACCAAAAATAATAATCATACAATTTTATAATATATAAAAATATGTATGTATTATTATTTTACAGGAAATTAGCCACTATGGATGAATTAAATTCGCTTGTGTTTCATGTAGCATTAGACAACACACTAGTCATTAATGAAGTCAGTATGTACACATTTGTATGACCAAAAACTTGTCTTATTTATTATCAAAAGTACATAAGTTATTTGTTTTTTTCAGACACACTATGTACACTTATAGAACAAACTCCAAAACCTAATTGTAGTAAAAAAAAATGGAAGCCATTAGTATTGGTAATACCATTACGTTTAGGGATCAGTGCAATCAATCCTGCTTATGTTCAAGGTGTTAAAGTAAGTCCTTCCATTTCATTGATCTAGGTATAATCTTTTATATTTATTTTGAAAATTAAAACTGTGTTTAAAAGAGGGAAAGATTCCTATTTGAGTATGTACTTACTTATGGCATATGGAGAAGGGTTAATAATTAAAAATGGTTTTAAAGTAAAGTTTAAACGATTCCATAATGATGAGAAAAGACAGATATCAAATTCACTTAAAAAAACTAAGATAATTGCTGGTTCATGATAAACCCTGCATTCCAAATTTATGTTACTGCCATTATATAATGTAAATATTCAAACTAGAAAAAATTGTATAGTTCCAAAAATATAATTTGGATTAATATAAAATAAATTTCACTGTCTTTTTTTGAGGGGAGAGGTTAGGGATCAATTTTTGAAATTCAGATAGTTTAATTTAAGTCTACATTAAAAGTTCCATAATTAGACTGAGTTTAAATACATTTGTATGTTGTTAAGTATGATGTTCAATTATTTAAACTAATACTGCATCTATTTATGGAATTTTAGATTAGGTTCTATTCAAATTTCAAAAATTGACTATCAAAACCAAAAAAAAGTCAACATTATTTTAGATGTTTATAGTGTGAAAAACTTTTGTATTACATATTTTTTTTTATTTTTTTTATTATTTTTACGATAAAATGGCTTTAACATACATTTTGAATCACTCTGTATGTAGAAAAAAAAAATTATTAAATGGGACGGTAATGGAGTTTACACTAGAGTTTAATTTTTATCAGACATTGAATAAAAATAAATAACGCACAAAATGATACATTTCAAACAATTTTGTGTAATCTTGTTGCGATTGAAATAAAGTTACTATTCTAAAATAATATATATCTTCAATTTTAATAAGATTTTCATGTCAATTTGAAATAATCTTTAACTGTTTAATTACAATAAATAAATAAAATTGACTACTGTTATTTTATATATACAGGATGATTTACTAAGAGTGCCATTTTTTGTTAAATTTTGCATGCATTCAAATTCTAACTTTTGGAGAGTAGTAGAGTGTCTTTATGTAGCAGCACAGCTGCACATTTTATTAGTACTCTACTACTCTCTCCCCTACTTAAATTTAAAAATGAAATATCTCCTCAACAGGTTGATGGAAACCAAATTTTCAACACTAAAATTTGTTTAAATAATATTCCATTTATTTCATGAAGTTTTAATATTGGTTCTCATTTGAAAAATTAAAGTTGGTATCACCACAGGATAATCCTTACATGTTACGAAAAATCTAAGTATTCGATAATATTGGCATTAGCTATAATTATAAATTCCAAAAATTAAAATTTTAATATATGTAAAATCTAACCAAAAAAATTGGGTGACATGCTTAGTAAGTCACTTTGTATATATATTTTATTATTTTTATTAATAGAATAACCTACAATACCTACTATTAGAATTGTATTGTAATGTGAACTTAAATTTTGTTATTAAATATTGATTTTTATTTCAAAATAAAATAATTTGTTTGAAATTTAAAATTGTATTTTTTATAATTGGGATGTTAGCATAAAAGTTAATTTATACTATATACCAGCTCTGTAAATATAAAACCGGAATTGGCCTATAGAGTGCGCTATTTGTCAATTTATTTACCGGCAAAGTAGATTATTGGCGGCACTTTCTTTCTTTGAAATCTAACAAACATTTTTAAATTAAAACAATACAAGTTTCTTTTAACAGCATATTTTTTACTAGCGTTGAACATGTCGAGTTTTGTGCCTACTAACTACGATTTGCGGACAGCATTAATTTTCTGTTACCATTTAAAGAAAACTGTTGCAGAATCACATTGAATACTTGTGGAAGCTTACGGTAAACATGTTCTTGGTAAATCACAATGCTTTAAGTGGTTTAAAAAATTTAAAAGCTGCGATTTTGACGTGAGAAATGAAAAACGTGGAATACCACTGAAAAAGTTTGAAGACTGCGAATTGCAAGCATTGCTGGATGAGGATGACGCCCAAACCCAACAAGAACTTGCGGATCAATTAAATGTGACACGAGAATCCATCTCCATACGTTCAAAAGTCATGGGAAAGATCCAGAAAATGGAAAAATGGGTTCCACATGAACTCGGTGAAAGACAGCAAGAAAATCGAAAAACCACTTGTGAAATGCTGCTCGCTAGGTACCAAAAAAAGTAATTTCTCCATCGAATTGTGACAGGGGATGAAAAATGGATATATTTTGAAAATCCTAAACGAAAAAAGTCATAAGTAACTCCAGGCGAACCAACATCAACTGCTAGGCCAAATTGCTATGGAAAGAAAATAATGCTCCGTGTTTGGTGGGATCAAAAGGCTGTGATCTATTATGAGCTTCTAAAGCCTGGTAAAACAGTTAATACTGAACACTACCAACAGTAAATGATTCAATTGAATCAGGTTTTACATATAAAACGACCAAAATATCAAAAACAGCAACACAAAGTTATTTTGCTTCACGATAATGCGCCTTCACACACAGCAAAACAAATCAAAGAAAATATGAAGGCATTTAATTGGGAAAAAATTGCGCATGTGGCGTATTCACCAGACCTTGCTCTATTGGATTATTATTTGTTTGCATTTGCCCAGCAACGCTTCACTTCTAACGAAAATGTAAGAAAATGGCTTGATGACTGGTTTGTCTCAAAAGAACAGTTTTTTTGGTGTGGCATTCATAAAGTGCCAGAGAGATGGGAAAAATGTATAGTTAACGGTGGACAATATTTCGAATAAAATATTTTTTATCATTTTCATACAATAAATGTGTATTTTCTAATAAAAAATTCCGGTTTCATATTTACACACCTGGTAGGTTATCCCTTTAGTATAAATTAAAAATAATACATTATATATAGATACCATATTATATAGTAGATACCATAAATACAATTTTCAATTTTGGAATAAAATGTCAAAGGTTCAAGAGTTAACGACTGTTTGATATAATTTGATAGTTTAGCTGTTGTAAATATAATTTTTATAACTTTCAAAATTTTTTACCTAATACATTTCAAAAAATTAATATATTTTTTGTTTCAGATGTGTTTTACATTCTCACAGTCCTTGGGAATTATTGGTGGAAGACCAAACCATGCTTTATATTTTATAGGTTTCGTAGGTACATACAAAATTAATTAACTATGCCAATAATTTGTTGAATATTGATCTTTAATACACTTAAATGATCAGCAATTTTAGTATAGTTTTTTTTTTCTATAATTAGGGGATGATGTAATTTTTTTGGATCCACATACAACACAGCAAATTGGAATGTTGCCAAACAAGGATATTGATACTGAACATAAAATTGATCATTCTTATCATTGTCAACAAATTAACCGATTACCCATTCTTAATATGGACCCATCAATTGCTGCTGTAAGTGATGTTGTTATGTTTACACTATTATTCATCAATTATTGTTTTATTAGTTTGCCATTGCTGAAATAGTAATCTCAAACATTATATATTTATTTAAATCAAGTAAAATACTTTTATATATTGAATATTTGTTTACAATAAAAAAGGACAAGACAAAAATTTTGAGTATATAGTATTTTGAAATACCATTATTACTCTATTGAATACATAATATTCTTAAGAAATTAAAATTGTTTATTGAAGCATTACAGCTTGACCAGCTATATTAGCTACATATTATATGTATAATAAGCATGTTTTTGGTTTTCAGTGTTTTTTGTGTCAGACTGAAAATGATTTCAAGGAGCTTTGCCATGAATTGAAAGAACACTTAGTTCAATCTAATCAGACACCATCACAATCACTGATCACTATATGCGAAGAACGGCCATCTGACTGGAAATTGGATAGCTCTAGTAATCTATCTTCATCATCTGATAATGTTGCAGTTTCACTGTCAGGTAGGTTGTTTTTGTATTTTTTTTGTGCAACTGCAGTATCTGAAAATTACTTTTGTTCTATACAAAAATTTGTCACTTTCCTTTGGTGAAAAAAATAATTTATTAAATTATTAATCAAAAAGGAGGGCATACTTCCACGTGGGTAGTTCACTGTTGTAGTGAAAAGTTGTGTAGGTAAAGGGTAAATTTAATATATATATATATATATATATGCAACAATTAATCATTGCTAATAAATAAAATTATTTTGAGTGGAATTCAGTTGAAAGTGTTGCTTTACCAATAATATATAAATGACATATTATGATAAAATAATAACATATGCATTATTTATTTTCTTTAATAATATTTGTTTAATATTGTACCTATTTTCCTAGTTTTCCTATTTATTGAGAACTCTTAGAAAAATCAAAAAATGGCCTCCTTAAAATACCACCTCAATTAGATTTCGTTTCAAAAATAATGTTATCATTGAAAATTGGAGTTAAATTAGTAGTAGATAAGTTATCCACAGAAAAAAAAAAATTAAAAAATCCAGAATTAAAAATTGAATTTTTTGTCCACAGTTGTATTGTGTACCTAAAACATTTTTTTTTTTCCAAATTTTTTTTATGTTGGCAAACTATTTTACTATTCAAACCATATCCAATTTATGTAGTATTGTCACCAGATTTTTGTTTCTTAAAATATTGTATTGTTGAAATATTCTTTCATATTATAAAATATTGTGTATTTACAATACTGATTTTTGCTACAGAAATACTGATACATTTGGTTATAACATTTTATGGTTAGTTCTTAATATAAAACTTATAAATTTTATTGGAATAAATTGTACCAGAATATATACAAATTATACCAATTATTAATCATAAAAACCATGATCTCAAAATGAATATAGTAAATAACAAAAAGTTGTAACAATCTCTAAAATCATGGTACATTAATTTTTTTTCAGACTTAGAATTGACCGATAGAAAATTTCTAACAGATTCAGATGATGACTTTGAACTATTGTGATATAGACAATTCAAAACAATTTTGTTATAGTCCTGTCCTGAGACTATATTTGTGCATACATTCAATTATGCAAATGTTGTACAAAGTATATTGCATTGACAAGGAATAAAATAATGTGTTTTTAAAGAGATGGCGGTCAATATTGGTGGACATTACAATGTTATAATAACTCTAATCATGCATCTTTAAATTAACATTTTATTTATAATTTGTGTTATTATTATTATTTTTTTTGTTGTTTAAACAAATTATATTATTTTGTATTGTTAAAATTAATTTCATTTTTATTAATGAAAAGTTAAAAAAAAAATATTGTTATATTTACTAAACAATTAACAAACTCTGGAGTTTTTGTTACTACATCAGTAGATGGGGACATTATATTTTTTGCATAACAATATGTGTTCTATAATCATTGTTAAATTTATTTACCATTTATTTAGTTTTCACATTTTTTTCAATTAGTCTATTGCAACAAATTAATTTCTAGTTATATATTACATATTATTGGATCAAATAATTTTCTATGCCCAAAAGAGTTATTTTTATTTATATTAATTTGTCCTTAATCAGTCTTATAATTTGTATGCTGTTTGGTTGTACCTATGTATTGTCAAATATTATCTGTGCCAATTAACTGCTGTTTATTGATAACACATTCACTATTCAGCTATTTTAATACAAATAATATTTAATACCTAAGAATAACCTGTTAAATTTGTAAATACTTAAAAAAATAAATTGAATATATTTTATTTAAGTTTTTTTAATTGTTTTAATTCTTGTGATATACCTTGTATAAAATGTTCTATACTACTATTTACCTCAAGGCAGAATAAAACAAAATAACAATGTACTTTAATATTTTTTGATTCAAATACAAGAACAAGTAGTTACAAAATGTTTGCTGATTAAAAATGATTTCCAATATAACAGATTATGGCTTTTGGATAACCAATACAACTAAATGATAATATTTAATTTTTATTTAATAAATAATAGCTGTAATTTATAAAACATTGTATAATCCAAACACAAAACATTCATTGGATTTTAGGGTTTACTAATGATGGGCATGATCATGTCAATCATTATTGGGCTGTTTGTCGACTACTGAACTATTCAACTGTCAAAAAACCATTTGGCAGACAAATTAGTTTTGTTAATTAAAGGTTTTCGCATTAGTTATTTATAATTCAAATATAACAGTTACAAAGATACAAATTCAGTTATACATATATTTGTATATATTTTTTTCTAGTTATAAAATATAGTTCAATTTTTATCAAGCTATATCAATAAATGTTTATTTTCACCTGAAATTTTGTATTAAAAATTGTTTTTTTTTTTTTTTTTTTGAAATCGCTTTTTTAGTTAAACCAATGCTCTGGTCTTTTCACACAGTAGGTACTTAAATAAATTCAGACTTTCAATAAAGTGGTAGGTACTTGATGACAATTTTAAATATTTTCAACAGTTCATCTCCTGTTCACCCATTTAGATTTTCTTCTCAGAAAATCAATTTTCAACCAGACTTCCTACTTTTAGTAGACTTTCTAAGAAGAATAAAAAACTTAATAGAACCTTTCTTATATCATTTTGGTCTCTTGTTAATACAAGAGACCAAAATGTAATGAATCATTATTAGATGGGTAATGTTTTAAAATTCTGTTAAAATATATAGTACAATTTAACATTTAAAAATTGTTTAAGTTTTAGTCTTATAAATGTATACTACCTAATATCTTTATAGTATTTATTTTTGTTTTTAGAAAATATTATGTATTGATAAAAAAATCTTAATGTTGAAATAACCTCATTACTCAATGAATAAAAGTAATGGACAATTATATTAATAAAATTGCTATTGACATAGACATTAATATAATTTTCCAAATTTATATTAACTTCTGCAAATAGAGCTTACAATTACGGTAAGCTCAGCAAATGTAATGTGAGCTCAGCTCAGTAATGTGTGATGTTCATTGTTGGTAATACAGTGAATAAAAACAAAGGTTAGAAATGTTATGGCCAATGAGAGAGTTTTAAATTTATGAAACATATTAAATAATATTAATCCTTTTAATATTAAATAAGTACTTATTAATACTTAAAAAAAGTCTATGGTTAAACTTAATTTTATAATTTATTTGTAATTCTTAGTTCTTACGGTCTAACTTCTTGTACTGTTAAAACATATTTATTCTTAAAAATATGAAACCAGCATCTAAATGAATCGGTGAATTATAGCTTTACTATGATGTGTGGCATCAAATTTTATTTAGTTGGAGCATTAAGGGGATTACTTTTTAGATTTTATTTATTGTACTTATAAGAACCTATAGTTATCTTCATAATTGGGAAGAAAAAATGGAACAATTTACACAATAACTATTATTTTTAATTAATTTTTTTTTGGATTTAATTTGGTTAAACATAATAAAAACGAATAAAAATATTTCCTAATACTATGTACTTACCTACTTTATTTTATAATTACAAATATTTATTTATCTTGTTTATGTAAATGCTCCTTTGGTATTTATACAATTTTGAATAACCTACTATAGATAACAATAATTATATTTTAGTAAATATATTTTCTTTAAATCAAAAATTCTTGATACAATAAGGTGTGGCAAATATCTGAATGACTGGAAACATATGCAAAAAAAAAACATATCAAATACTTACTTATAGTATACCTATACTAACTGTACTGTGCTTGGGCACACTCTAATACTTTAATGTTTAATAAAAATATTACCCCGGATATAATTATAAATGTCACTCTAAAGATTTGGTACCTACTTAGTTTACAAAATATCAAATTTTCATATACATATAATATTGTTTGGAAATTAAATCCACTTAAATCGTTTCAACTATTTGTACCAATGTAAACTATGTGATGGTTTAGAAATGATTTGTCTGGATTTAATTAAATGTATAGGTAATATTTGGAATAATTGTATATTAGATTATTAGAATAATATTATGTTCATGGTATATACTATCTACAACGTTAAATGATACGATTATTATCTTAGTAAAATGGTAAGTACTACGTACCTACCTACTGGCTAGAACTAACCACAAATATTAATGCTTTAAACGTTATTGAAAAATTTAAAAATATATTGTAGGTACCCACCATTTCAAAGACATTTATTAGTTATTGATATAAAATAGAAATAAAAACAATTTTAGTTTTCAATGAATTATAATACAAACTAGACGCTCCGCGCCTAGTCGGGGGCTCCATCACCAAACCTCCGGTTCGGTCGGGGAGGCTTCGCCGCCTCGGCTCGCCACCCCTACCTCGCAGTAACGCATGAGCGGATACAGTCTGCGGGTGGGCAGTCCACCTGAGATATAGGAGTGGTAGGTAGGAACGTCTAGACGCCAGTATTTTCGGAAGCACGTACAGTCGGCCAGGATACAGAAGTCGGGAGTAATGCTTCGAATGTCGGCACCACTGCTGAAACCACGAGAACGATATCTACTACGGCGAATAGGGTTCTGAGGGATGAGGAACCGGAGAAGTCGGTTGACATACGTGAACAGACAAAAAAATCTCGAAATTAGTTTTTGAAGAGCCTATACATTCGGTTGGTGAGTGCAGTAAAACGGATAGGATACAGAGGAAATTAAGATATATGAGTGATAATGCATAGGGATTCGGGAATGTCTATTTTTTTTTTTTTTTATAGACGTCAGTATTAAATGATACTCTACAGCAGTACAACGGAAATCGATATATGTAGGGATTGAATTCACTATGACTATATGCTGTATAACTTCTTTATGTACACATATTCATATACCTATCGGGGTTGCGACTTGTCTAGATGTCAGTATTCTCGGACGTGTATATAGGCGATGGGTGCAGTGTAGCGTGTAGAATACGGGGGAAATTGAGAAACGAAGAGATTCGGGAAATGTCTACATGTCGGTACTTGGTTTGCCGCAGTTTTTTGAGAGCGAATACAGCCGGAATACGTACGCTCGGCGAAGGAGGACGTCACGACCAATAACGGTTGTTTGAGAACGGCCGATTGGATTGAAAAAGTAAAACGGAACGAGTCTAGCTGCTGGTCGAAATATTTATTAGGATATAAGAAAATGTCTAGATGCCAGTATTTTCGGAAGCGGATACAGTCGGTAGGTGGGCAGTGAAGCGTGTTTGATACAGGGAAAATTAAGATATAGGAGTGGTAATACATAGAGATTCGGGGAATGCCTAGACGTTAAGATATTGGATGTGTAAAGAAGATATGAAGGGATTCGGACGTCTAGATGTAAGTTTTCTCAGAAGCGGATACAGTCGGTTTACTTATAGGTACCTATATCGGGAGTAATGCTTGTGGCGGTGGGTGCAGTATAACGTGTTTGATACAGGGGAAATTGAGGTATGAAAAAATTCGGGATATGTCTAGATGTCAGTGTTTTGTGTTTGTATCCAGTAAAAAAGGGGGCGAATAAAAAAGTATCAGAAAAGTTATTACATCTATACCCATAAAAGAGTTTTTTTTAATAAGCCAAAATAGTAGACAACGTTTTAAACGTCTTAAACGTCCTATTCCTACCTATCGATATCTACATCATTTGTTGAAGAACCCGATTGTTTTACGGGTATATAAGCGGAGTGCCGAACAGAAAAATATCGGAATTTTACTCGTAAACGATAGAAAAAAAAAACGATATCGCGCGACGGCGAAATAAAACGGGCGCTTCGGGAACGCTAAGCCGAAGAAAACGAAAAAATCGTCGATAACCGCGAAACACGGCGACCCGTAGCATAGTACAGTATACTTACCGGATACGATAACGAATGACGTCACGACCGAACGCGGCGAGCGACGAAGCGCCGGACAACGACCGGCCGGTCCATCCAATAGAGCGAAACACGATAACGAACGATAACGGAGCACGTTTTCGGAAAACGAAAACCGCTCGTCCGGGGGCCGCGGAACATATTGAAATACGTTTAAATGAGTTTTATAATTGGAAATGATTTATTATTTATTTTTAAGTCTCATGGCCACTCTTCTTTTTACCCCCAATTCGAGTACTTCAAAAATTCGTGTTAACACTATAATAACAGTCAGAGAAAAACAAGCACAAAAACAAATACACAGTCTAGTCTCGTCAAGTTTTTGACTATCCCATGCACACGCTTAGTATACGACAATAGGTACTTACGAGGGCTAATCAAAAAGTATCAAGACTGGTAGTATCATTCGGAAAAGGAGCATCGAAGAGCAGTAGGATTGGTATCACTTGCTTCTATGACTTTTTCTGAGTACATTTGTTTTTATTGCTTCTCTATAAAATTCTTCGGTTTGATTTCACTGACATTTTTGTAAAATATATTTTTCGAGTTTGGCGATTTTGTAATAAACCCAAAAGAAGAGTAACTTGACAGATTTGGAGATTTTAAAACATTTTTCTGCATTTTTTTCCAGTTTCAGAGGGATGCAACATTTCATGGTTTTTGCCATTAAATATCAATTGAAAAACTGAAAATGTGCCCTCGAGTGGCAGCGAGTTCCGCTTCTTTTGGATTCATTACTAAATCGCCAAACGTGAAAAACAAATTTTCGAAAAATATCGTCAAATCAAAACGAAGAAGTTTATAGAGATTTTATACGAATAGATGTGCTCAGTATAAGTCATAGAAGCTAGGTTTACAAATCGTTTTGCTCTTCAACGCTCGGTTTCCGAGTAATATTATCAGTCTCGATACTTTTTGATTAGCCCTCGTATATAAAATATTAAAATGACATATCAAAAGTAAAAATATATTAATTTATATTAATGTATCTAATTATAAAGAATCTGAAAAAATAGTTTCAACCAAATAGATAACGTAGTTATCGAGTTTTAATGTGTAAAGAAATAGTGGGGATGGGGAAAATTGAAACTTTCTATAAGGAAATCCTTGACAAGAATACCATTTATAAATAATTAAAGAAAAATTATAGTCCTGTTACCATAACGAATCTGTAAGGACTATGGAAATTAAAAGCCGCAAACTATTTCCCATGAATATATGTAATTTGTAGGTACACAAACTTGGTTAAGGAGAAGTTTAAAATTTGTAACCTTAAAAGGCACATACTTACACTATGCGTATACAATAGTTCATCTACCTAGCTTTATTTGGGTCTGTAGGATAAGACAAATTGCATAATAATACATAATATACATTTCTAACCGACACAATGCAAACAAAATGGGGTCGCCGGCATAAAATTCTATCGAAGTATGCATATAGTTCTAAACAAGACTTTGTTGGATTATATTGGAATATTAAACAAATATTATTAAAGAAAATGTTTAATGCACACGTAATTATTTTACCATAATATGACGTACATATTGTTGAAAAAGCAACACTATCAACCGAATTCCGCTCAGATCGTTTTTTCGATAGCAATGGTTTATCGTTGTTTAAATATATGAATTCAATTTCCTTTCTACTATCTTTCCAACTTCTCACCTATAACAATGGTTGCACTCACGTACGAAGTATTTCCGTCTTTTTTTCTCCTGTGAACAACTTTTCTACCGGAAATTTTACTCCGATTTTTCAGTTTTTGTTTTGCTTCGAAATCCGAGGTCTAGTAATCTAAATATCAATATATATATATATATATGGATACCAAACATAAAATAAAAAAATCGTCCGTAATATATTATCGTTATCATTTATATTAACACAACACACCTAACGGCGTATTCGGTGCATTAAACTTACGCTATAATAACATGATCTATATTAAAATACAAATTAATAGGTAGTAATCAAGTATTGTGTAACGAACAACATTTCAGTATACGTAGGTACAGTACTGGATTCGAAAATAATAATAATAATAATATGTAAGGGGTAGTGTTTTTGGAAAAACTCCCGATCGGGCGCTCGGGGACATGGACGACCGCGGTGTTCAAGATCAACGGGGCGAATACAGCTCGGAATGGTCACCGTCGTAGGCCTCTGCTCCCTCGTCCTGATATGCGGACTGCGCTTCGTTGCCGTCGGACTGATGAGCCGCCCCGTCTTCGGGCTGCAGTTCCACGGACTTTTCGATTTCGTAACCGGCCGTTTCTTCGGCTTTGTGTTGCGGTTCGATCCTTTTGACTTCGGCCGTGAACCCGTTAACGTCGTCCGCCGCGTACTCCACAACCCTGGTAGAACCGTCCGGCTCGACGAGGCTGTAATGGCCGCGGACACCTCCGTGCCCGTCACCTACTTCGTTCTGGCTCTTCACGTCCCCGGTCGCCGGGTCGTTTACGGCGTACTGGAAGTGATAAGTCCGAGGCGCGGAGACGGCGTCGGTGTCGGAGTTCGATTCGTCGTGCTGGTCCAGCTGCTGAAACTCATACGCCTTATTCTGCTGCTGTTGCTGGTGATCGTCTTCGGGATACGACAACGGTGCCGACGAAGACGTGGCGAACGGATACCCGGCGGTCAGGCACGCGCACGCAACCACGACAACGGCGACCGCGCTGCAAATCTACGCGGGAATGCGTACGGAATTATACATACGAAATATCATAACTTATAATATTTCACATTTGTTACATAGACTGAGATGCTGGCAACTACAATGGGGAGTCTTAAACATTTTGTGGCATATAAAACCGCGGGGAAAACTTCCCCACACCCCAATTGTTATAATACAGTTAAAAATGTTGGTAGACACATGCAATTATGATAGAAAACGTATATGTTTGCTGTTTCTGGACGCAGTAAAATTGTAAAACCATTTGAGCCCTTTTTGAGCTATTTGTAGGCATTTTAATATGGAAAGTTTTTTTTGTATAATTTGTGTTTGGTAGGTAAAGATATTCCGTGAATAGTCCCCAGCATTAGCTCTTTTCAGTTTGTTTTCGAAATCGGTATTTTTTTTCTACAAAGTTTTTCGGTTCTAATCTTTTTAGTTATCAATATATAATTAAATATCAGTAACATAATATAGGTACTCCACTTCAACAATCCGACGTCACTTAAGTCACCCCATCGCACCCATCAATTTTATCGATTTGGTATCGATCCACGTCACACCCACAAAGTTATATAGAGAACGTCTTCCTTTTTGGAAACACGTTAGGTGTAAACTAAAAATCAAAAAAAAGGCATTTGAAAGACGCTTTAAAAATTACCTTAATAATGGCGGCCATAATGTTATTCTAATGTTGTTGTACTACACTATCGCTGGTGTTCTCGAATGTTGAGCCCGCCGTACGTCTGTTACCGCTGTTTGTTGAAGACTGGATGACCGTATACACTTTGCTCGCCGTATTTATACCAACAGATTACCCGCATACCGCATACAAATCATTTGTACCATCTCCGATAATTACTAGACACGTACAGATAAATTCTTCTCAGTCGGCGCGATTTCCCTCGCGGACAGGACGGTGACCGTGTCGGCACTCCTCGGCCAATTAACACGATACACAATACGCACATAATAGATTATACAGTACATAACATAGATTTGCGCTGTCCACACGTAACATTATACGTATACAGGGTGATGAATATCGAAACACCCGTATTATCTCGCGAAAAGTGAATTTAGTTTTTTCGGTATTTTCTTTTTCCAAGTGGTTTTAAATTGTATGGACATTGTCCATTATATTAGTGACGAACGTATTTTGCAGGTTTTACTATGTCTGCACAACAATGATCTGTAAATGATTTTTCGACAAGAAGAATCATGCTTCTATCAATAATTTTTTATGCATTTTTTGTAGAAAATATTGTTTACTTGTATCAATAACGGTGTCTGTTGATTTTGAATTTGTTTTAGATTTAGAGTGTATCGAGGAATGTATTGCTTTTATACAGAGGTTTTTTTTTTTTTTAAATTTAGGAACAACTGTTTAACTAGAAATCATGTTCCAATATTTTCAAGTGTATTATTTTACTGAAAAGAAATTTCATCTTACTTTAAGGAGGTCATTTTTTGATTTTCCCAGTGGTTTTTATAAGAACTAGGAAAAACGGGGGGAAAGGTAGGAAAACGGGAATATTTTACAAAATGAATTATTTTCAATTTTGTTGTGATTTAGTTAAAATGTTCGTAAAAACTTGAAATTTGAACAGAAATCTTATACTTACCTTTTCTAGACGTAGTATGGTTTGTAAAACAATTTTTTATTTAAAGACATTTTAATTTTACTAGTTTATCACGTAATTTTTATTCGGTAAGTGTACCTTCTCATTTTCTTTTTTTTACTTGGCGGTCCGTTAAGGAACGTTGCTGACTTCGAGTGACCTCACCGTCCATTTCTATTATAATTCGATTCAAAGGTCACATTCTGGTATACCTCTCTCAGGTTTTTGGTTATTACATTAATTCACCGGGTTCTTGGTCTTCCTAGTTAGTTAATTAGGGGTCTTGTTTTGTTTATTTTTTCCACGAGTACTTTTTTTTATTAGTTGCCCATCTGCTCTCTAAGTGAGTCCGAACCACTCTAACAGTTTATATCTGATAAACGCTAATATATTTGGTTTGTTGTACAATTTCTGTACAATTCATCATTTTTTCTGAGGTACCTACTCTATGGATAAAATTGTTAGACCAAACAGAAATTTATTAAAAATTAATAGGAGGTTCATTATAAATAGTACTTAGTGGCCAATAAGAAAAAATGTGAGTTTAATATAGTATTTTTTTTTTATATACAATTTTGAAGAAAATCGTGAATTCTACGGCCCTTAAACGACGTATAACTGAACTCCGCTCAGAATAATTTTTTTGTTAACAGTGATAACCGAACTCTGCTCAAAATCATTTTTTTGTTAGCAGTGATTAATATTTGCGGATACAAATGTAAATTACATTCCTCTTTATATCCCAACTTCTCACCTAGGATAACAGTGGCCCACCCATCGTACTATGCATATCGGTCGTTTTTATTGGTTTAAATTCAGGGGAAAATAATCATAGATACTCGGAACATGAATTCCAACGAACTTTAGTGTATAGTGTTATTAGAATACAGAACATTCGTCGTTAAAAAAATATAAGGGCCCTGTTAGATCTATCGTATTATTGTTATAATAAACATTGTAAAACCTGCACTTTGAAATTTTTATGATTTTGCAAAGTAACGCGCCCTGCACATGGTCCGGACTCCGCCGCACATCATTGATTCGCGTCACTCTGTATATGACGTACAATTTTATACTGCTGTAATGTATGTCTGCCTATAATGTGTGACCGCGGTTGCAGTTCTTACTTCGCGGCTAAGACCAGACGGACGCGGAAAGATGAATTTAATTATGCGTGTGTCCGTATATAATAATAATATTATATATAACACATTATACCTACCATTATATTATGAAGGTATACTTCTGTTACCGGCCGTACCCAGTACCGTTCACGGATTTAAACACGCGCGCGTTTTTATCATTAAGATTGCCAGATTATCAGTAAAAGTATCTTGTTCCGTTGCGCTGCACGCGTATTATGCCTACATAATATTATTATGCGTGATGTTATATAGATAAACCTAATATTATAATGTGTTTAGGGTATACTCACACATAATTCCACGGCAATTTTGTCGAAATTACGCTAGTGCCTAAAATCGTGAATACAAACCGTTCGGCAAACACTATTCAGATTTAATATATAGCGTAATATAAGTTAGGGTGTCCTTTATAGTTATAGAGATCCGTTTTTTTTCTGTTTCTACCTCACGTCCTTAAAGCTGATAGTGGTGTTTCTTAGATTTTTAAATCGGACGTAGCTTTAAGCTGTCAGTACATACAAAATTGATACCTATTAATACACATTTTTCGTACAATCGGACAATTTTATCTAGTTGGTGTATTAAAAATGAGATTTGTTTGATTTTCCAATGGATTTTCAAAATAATTGGAAAAAACCGAAAAGAAAATTCGGTAAACCGGTGTACTTTAGGTAAAACTGTTAAAATTTACGGCACGCCGCGTCTTGACATTACCGTTTTCATTGTTTTTTTTTTAAATTGTATGCAATGTTTTCTGCCAAGAATATTGCACCAATAGAAAAATGATAAGAAAACTTTTTCGTTGCATTTTTAATCTAGTTGATGAGTGAGAAAGTTATTTTTTGGATTCTGGGCAAGATAACGGGGAGGGGGACGATTTTAAAATGCAAAAAATACAGATGATGCATTAATTTTGGTTAGTGGTACCTCGAAGAATTTAGTTAATAAATTAACTATACTCACCTTAGAAATAACTCATAGCTGGTTCAAATATAATCTAATGGAACTTAATATTAAAAAATTAAAGTATATGATGTAGTTTGAAATTTATAACAATAAAAACTTATTATAAAATCCACTAGTTATTCACTACTCAAATTGTAATAAGTCCTTAAATTCTTGTAAATGTGATAAGCTTGAAAAAGCAGATTCAGTTAAATACCTTTTAGGGGTGATATTTGATAGAAATTTGAGGTGGATTCTTCATACAAACCATGCAGTAAGTATGATACGAAAGTTGTTTTAGAAATTTAAATTGTTAAAAGATATCCTCAACATCAAGACCTTGCGTACAGTATATTTAACTCTTGTACAGTATATTATTAACTATATGGTATTGTTATTTGGGGAAATGGATCTATGTTTGCCTTAAATACATTTACTTTATTATTGAACTCGCTGTTGAGATTTATACTATCGAAACCGTATGATTTTCATATAAATGATCTTTACAGTACCTTTAATGTACGAAATGTCAATGGTTTATATACATAAAGTATACTTAATTATATTTTTAATATTGACTTACCATTAACACTAGAATAGCATTAAAAATTTAATTTCTCCTTTAATCGTTTTATTTTATACATAATACATAATATAGATGATAATTAAATATATATTTTTTTTGTTACAAAAATTATATAATGTTGTTTTTGTTTTTGAACTTACTGCACCCTCCATTAGCTATTGATTTTGGGGCAGCGTCAAAATCTGTATTTTATTTACATTTCTGTATCTATATATAATCATATATTTTTGGAAATAAACTTCACTTATTATTCTATAATGAACGTATTTTTGACGAGCTAAATGCTGAATCAAGCTATAGGAGTATAGCTTTAATACAGCTAAGAGTATATTGGAGAATGAACATAGGGGTCATCGCCCCTATCGCACTCTCTGGATCTGCTCCTGATGTTGTAGGTAGGAAGTTGGGAAGGAAGAATATATATTTTATGAAAGTCATTTAATTTATATTTGTACGTGACGATAAACCATTGTTAGCGAAAAACCATTCAGAGCGAAATTCGGTAAGACATATTTTAAAATGCCGTAATTTTTACGTCTTTCGTTAAAATTTGATCTTAAAACGTTTATGGGAAAAAAAACTAATCCATTAAATTCAAATTTGTTTTTAGACTACTAAGTACAACTTATAATATAACTTGAGTAGTTGTGTTAAACTTAAAGCATTTATTTTAAGTCATATAATTTTAATAACAGATACCTACCAAATAAAAATACATATAAAAACATAAAAATACCAAACACCTATAAATAAATATATAAATACTTCTAAATAGCTAAACTGTTTAGAACATTTTATCATATCAAAAAAAGGCTAGTATAAACATTTTGTGAAAAAAAAAATTAATGCTGTACACTTTGCTGTATTATTCACGTAATTCCTGGTTTTTCGTAATTATTAGGAAAACTATTCGGTAAATCAAACAAAGACTTTCTTACTCACAAATTAGACAAAACTTTCTTTCGGAAAATATACTTTTCTTGAAATGCGTTGAATGTTGTGTCGTAATAAATTCGAAAAATTGTATTTTTCGTCTTTTTTGGTTTTTCCCAATTGTTTTATGAAAACTGCTTTAGATCACAAAAAATGACTTTCTTCGAGATTCTTCTTGTTAGATTGGAACAATATTTATGATGGCAAATAATTGAAAACAATGATAACGATTACTTTTCACCTAACCTAACGCGGTTGAGCGCCGTAAATACTTATCGTTTTACCGATTTTTCTTATTTTTCTATTATGAAAACCATTAGAAAATCAAAAAATGATCTGTTCAATGCACCAACTAGATAAAATTTAATTTTAAAAAAGGTACTACACTTGATACATTTGAACAAGATTTCTGGTAGAAAAATTTCTCATGGATAAAAAAAAAAAACTTAAAAAAACTCATCATAGTAAAACTAATTTATCCCTTTCTACAGAAAGGGATATACAGTAAATACAGATACTTTGAGAGGAAGTATTTAAAATACTTTATTCAAGTACTTTTTTGAAAATATTTAAAACACATATTTGAGTCTTTAATAAGTATCTGAAAAATTTTTACTCAAGTACTTTCTAAAACTGACAAGGTACAATACAATTTTACATATTATACCGTTACTTATTATCACTATTATTTTTAGTGGTGAATTATCTTTGATTATCAAATAGTGACCTACATTAAAAATAGAATAAATAAGTGAAATGTAAGTTAAATTAAATGTTAATGTTTATATTTTTAATTTCTATCAATTCGTTGACGAGATATTCCATTTGTAAGTTAGTCGTTTTGTGGATAGAAGAAGACTACTATACAAAGGCCGTGCATTGCCACACATGATGCTCCACTATATAATGTACTAATACTATCCTCCTACTCAAACTTAAAAATGGAATATCTCATCGAAGGATTGACGGAAATTATAAATTTCAACATAACAATTTAATAGTCAATTTTTTTTCAAATAATATTGTTATAAAATATTCTTATACTATCAAAGAAACGGTAAAGCTGGGGCCACGTTTTTTTATTTCCGCATGTTTCTATAGGTATGCTTCTTGGCATATAGTTTTTACAGTATTCCCAGTCATATTAATAATATTATGTTCTAATGACAATTTATTATTACGCCGGAATATGAAAAATTCCTTTTTTTCTACTTTCAACGTTTCAACTCGTACAACATTCATATCGAGACGTGACAATTTCCGTTTTACTTACCGGAAGTGAGATATGTTTATATGAAATATGTACATTTTAAAAACTAGAGTTCTGTCATGTATAAGAAAATTTTGCTTTTTATTTTTATTAATCCAATACGAAAACTTTGTTTCCTACCATGCCGTATACCGTAGGATTAATACACAAAATTGTATAACGAATTTCTGTAGTTTTTTTTTTATAAATCTAAATGCAACGAGGATTGTACTGGTTGTACAATATAATGTGTGAGTATTTTTTTCTGTCTATGAACTTAGTTTCTACCAGAAATCTTGCTCCGATTTTCAAGTGTAGTGTTTATTTTGAAAAAAAATGTTTAAATTTTGAGTACCGCACGCAATTGAGTAATTTGGAGAAAAACCGCAGTAAAATTTAAATGGTATCGATAATTTCATTATTATTTTTATTGTAATATGGAGTTAGGGTTCAATTTCCCTTTTCTCTTCCCAACTTTTCATCTACAACAGTGGCCCACCCACGTGCGAAATATGTCTGTTTTTTTTCTGCTTAAAAACAAGGCTTTTTACGTGGCTAGTTTTGAGGATCCCATGGAATTGGGAAAACCTAGCGCCCATGGTTGGCACAGATAATATCCGTGCCATTCGTAAGTTTAAGTCAGTCAAACTGTTTGATAATTCATCAATTTACTCGAATATTAAAATGGATAGCGCAAAGATGCCTCCGCTGAACACTGAAAATTGACGTTTGTAAGACGGAAATAGCACGTGCGAGTCGTGTGATCTACCTATTTGAACTATATGAAAAGTTAATATTTATTTTTATATCGCATTGCGTCACAAGGAACGGATCAAATCGGTTTTAATCTTGTATAATACTGTTTAATTTATCTGTGCATGTATACATATGTACAATAATATGTAGGTATACATGATCCGGATAAGAAATTACGTATTAGCTATATTACTGTAATTGTTGCAATATATTAAATAGATACACGTTCTATAAGTCTTAGGTCGTTTCATTTTTCATTAAGTATTTCTTATTAGATTATATTTTTTTGATTACATTTTGTTCGTATTTATTGCGTTACAACAATAAATACTGTGGTAGTGTAATGATACTTATGTGTATCAATACACTACTACTATATGCAGTGTACACAGAGTGTATCACTGTCTCAAGGAGATCTGACAAATGCAATAACTTTTGTTCTGGTTAATATTTAAAAAGTTATTTTCCTTGTAATAATTACTAGAGCCTTGCACTATGATGTGTACTAGTTTATATATATATACATATTTAAAATTAAAATAAAACATTGTTTTTTACAAAATCCAAGATAGCAACATAACTACATTGTATTTTAATATTTTAACACTATGAATATTTACTATCGATAAATCATTAATTTTCTACAATTTATGTGAAGTTTATGATAGTTTAAATAATTGTTCTCATTGTTATTACTAAAAAATATTAATCGGTTCACCAATTTGTCCAAACATTTTGTTTCATAAATCGAAACAAATTCTTAAATTTTGTAAAAAAAAATGTTTTGTTTAAACAAAATATATGAATCACAGTGCAAGAATCTAGTAATTATTATAAGGAAAATTTCCCTCACGAACAACTTAAATATATATAACAGTACAAATAACTTATTGCATTGTTACACATGCGAAACACTCTGTAAGTAGTAAGATTATAAAAAAAACTAAAAAAATAAAAATATTTAAAAATATATAATATAATATGAAAATATGAATAATATTTAAAAATATAACAATTATTATTACGCGTATACATTATAAAAATTTATTACATAAGTACCGGATCAAAATATGAATATTATTCAGATAATGGATTCAAATATACCCATGTTATAAATATGTATTTTACATTTGAATCTATGATAATATTGATTTTACGTGGGTTATTATCTTATACAATGAGATATGTATTTAGGTAAATTATTCAAAAAAAATCGTCATAACTCATAACAGTCATAACATACTCTTACTGTATATTTTCCTCGTGAAACGTATACGAAAAGTACAAACATTTTCTAAAACAATATAATAATTTACAATGAATAACAATATGTTTAATGTGTATTATGCGCCACACGATCATCATCATTATCCGGATATTAATCGTGGGCGTTTTTAGCATTGATCGTGACGATGAGCTGGAAAAAAAACAAATAGAATGTACAAGTCTATCATATAATAGAAGTACATAAATATGTAAGTAGGTATTATAATGATATAATATGTTATTCGTCAAATCGTCCACATGAAAACGTTCGCGAGGAGCAGAGCTCCGTCACTAGAGGAGTCGAATTCCCCCCCCCCCTCCCTACCTATGACGGTGACAATAAGTTATCACCGTCACATTATTTCAATTTTCGGATTCTGAGCGAAGTGACGAGTGTATTGGTTTTACTATAATGCGTATGTTTTTGTTTTAAATAATATACTTTTTTTTGTCTGTAAACCATTTTTCTATCAAAAAATGTCAATAGACAATATTTGTTGCATTTTTGATCTAGTATGGATAAAAACGTATCTAGTATCTAAAAACGCGTGACATGGCTTTATTGATTTCATTATTTTATTTTGTACGATTTATGTTTTCTACGGAAAATCTTGCTTTAATCAAAAAATTACGAGATACCTTTTTTTTTTGTGTATAATTAATCTAACATAGTTATTGTTGTCACAGTTCTATTATCTACGTTTTACTCTTTACGATTGGGGATAAAATCCGATATTTCCTGTGAAACCATGAAATACGAATGTACAAATAGTTCGAGAAGTCGTTGAAAGTTAAAATTATCAAAAGAAACATCCATATATACATTATACATATACCATGCATATTGCATATATATTATGTTCTATATGAAATAGCATCTCATGGTGCAACGACATGGTGAATTTCATAGTACAATTCAACCAAAATATTATCACTTCAATACGCCTATAAAACAATTCTAATTCCCGAGTTTGAGCTCTATTGGTCCATAAGGCAGACGCTGAAATAAGTAGTGAGAAAAAGACGTTCAACAATCTACTTGTATAGTAATAGTATCTACTCGGAGTTCAAGGCAAGGGCGTCATTTCAGTTTTCGGGTGTGCGTGGTTTTAAGCAGACCGTTTTAAATATTTCACCAGGCAATATAAAAATATACACACATACCTGTGTATATTATCCTGATTTTAATTATTTCAATAAATTATGAATGACAACAAACACAAATAGTAAAAAGCTATTTAAAATCTAAAAAATAATAAATAGGTAATTGATACTTTACCTGTGAAAACCAATAAGTAACGCGCACAAACATTGACGATAATAAATACAGTGAAAAAAGAAATAAAGTAAATCACATTATTATTAATTGTTACGTATCCATAACTTTTGTACATTCAGAACGTTTAAAAAAAATAAATAAATTGTATTTATATAAAAGGATACCAGTATTTTTTTAAGTCCAACAAATACATCAACAGATTTTTCTAAATCGATATTATTGAAGACTTTTTCTATTTCAAAATTTATCACCATAAATTATATCATCATTTAGCTTTTAATCATAACTCACGGAAGTGCGTAAATATGATTTTATATTTTTAAACAATGAAAAAGTCTTTCATTTGATGCCAATTTTTAATGTTTCCTTAAAAGCGACCGTTAACCGTTCAACAGCGAAGTTATCCAACTTTTGACAGTATGATTAGACTAGGTTCCTTATCTATACCTGTATTTTGTAGGTATCAGGTATGTTCGGTAGATTACAAAATACACTATACATTTATTGCTTACTCAATTACTTGATAACAAAATTACATGATATTTGTTTATTGCCAGTAAAATACCAATATTATTAACAAAAAAAAATATAGTTTTATTTTAATTAAGTATATAAAAATGGTGCATTATTTCTACAGACTATTTGGGACTATTTTAAAAGTAAGGGGTGCAATTGCATACTCTACTCTCCCCAAATGCGTTTCTGGTTCAAAGTAGTACGTAGTAGTATTATTATATAGGTATATTAAAGTTCGGAATTATTTTATTTTTTAGATTCCAAGCGTAGCGAAAGAGCTATTGGTTTTACAATGCTGTTTATTTTTTCTTCTTTTTCTTTGTTCTAGTCTGTGGATATATTTTTTCGTTGTCTTAATTATACTATACTACTACTAGAGAGGTCATTTTTTGATTTTCGACACAATTTTTTAAATAAAAGCATTTAAGTGGGAAAAAACGTAGAAAAACATACAATTCCACGATATCATTATTTTATAAAAACATTGACGACGTTTTCTACCAGAAAAAATGATTTAATTGAAAAACTACAAATACCTTTTTTGTTGACTTTTTGATTTACTTTCTTACGGTATTATTGCCAAAACTTTTTAATCACTTTTAAGCTTTTAAGAAATTTTAATTTTTGGGAGTTTTTTGCTGTAATTTGGTTATAAATTTATGTAAAGACTTAAAATTTAGTAATAATACTTATATTGGACTTGCCTAGAAATGGTAAAATTTCCAAAATAATCAGATCACTTTTTTTTTTTTAATTAGCGTTTTGAAATCAAATTTGAACGGAAATCGCAAAAAAAATTACAGCACTTCAAATTATGTATTACCGAACTGCGCTTGCAATCGTCTTTCGTCAAGCAATGTCTTATCGTTGGTTACAGATATAAATGAAATAACCTTATGTATCCTACTTTCCCAACTTCTCACCTACAACAGTGGCCGCTCTCATCTCCAGTATCAGCTTTTTACTTCTTAATAGTACAATATTATGAAAAGCAGTTAGCAACAATAAGATGAAATTGTAAACTACGTAATCCTGAACTCGGGATGTTATTAATAAATTATTGTATGTGTAAGCACCGGTATGCGCAATGCGATTGCGATCAGATATAGCCAAATTATTTTTACATAGGTACCTATATATTATAATAATTTCACCGACCGTAAGCATAATAATATTTGCATTCTCGTTTTTGAGTCAGGAATTTTATATAGATAAAAAGAGTTATTATTATTTTTATAGTAGCTACATTTTTTGTTGTAGGTACATAAACAAAAAAAAATATGTGATTGCAAAGTCTGTAACAATAATTTAAATGTACATTATTAAAGGAGTATTTCTGTCTCAAGTTCAAGTAATCGTTATATTAGCAATATTATTTAACATTATACATTTATTTTGAGTTTTTTAATGGCATTAAATGCAATTGTATACGTCTTTCTGTTTATTTTTGTTTACAAATAATTAAATATTTCTTTATTATTTATACTAATGTCACGTTATTAAACTAACGTTATACTATATTCAAAATACTTAAATTGTTGAACCTACATTTTATTTTAGTATTATTTTTGTGCGTATGGAGTGCAGAATGTATTTAATAATATGGTGTAAAAAATTGTTTTGAAAAATTTGTTGAATAGTTTCGTGAAAATTACTTATATAATCAATTTCATTATCATAAATATTATGGATATACTCTTAAGCAGTATTATAACTTATATAAGAAATAAAATATATAAAATAAAAATATACTTTTTAGACATTCCAATGACCCTAAAAACAGATACATAAGAGAAATCACAAAACATGTGTACGCCAACTACAGCTCGTCACGTTATATGTGATTTTCGGATAACGGAATATTATTTCATTAACGCTTTTATAGGTATTAGCAGTATTCCTGCCGATAAATTGACAGAAAATATCAACAATAGTAAAAAAAAAAAAAATTGTCAAAACATACGGGAGAAAAATCGGAACTAATGGAAACTATGAGTATAAAATTCATGAGTATTCAAATTCAATAAATGAGTATAAAATAGTATTCCTGAGGAATTAAAATATTACGAGTATTCTTAAGTAAAACACAATTAAAAAAAATTGTTTAATTGAATTCATCACTCACCTCGATTAATACTATTTATTGTATTTATATTTATTTATTATCACTGTAAAAAATATGTAACTGTTTTATATTCCTACCTTAAAATCCTAGCTCTATTAATTACTTACCTGATATCATAATATTTTCCCATCTATTGCGCACATAAGATGTGCACTATAATTATACAGGATAAGCCATTTATCATGAACCAGCAACTTGATTGGAGGATTTTAAACTAATTCGTTTTCTGTTTTTTATTTCAATCATTATATTAAATCGTTTAAGGTTTATTTTAACACTAATGATTTTCGTATATAGTAACCCCGTTTAAACATGCATTCGAATGGGAAATATTAATACGAATAACACTATTTAGTGTTAAAATTTTAGACCGGAGGCTTAATATAATATTACCAATGTATTGTCCAAAATATTGGATATGATTAATTTATTATCTTCCTGGGAATCTGTGTTTGAAATGGGCAGTTCATATTTGAAAATCAAGTGTATTTTGATTTAAAAAGGTACAACATTTAAAACAATGTTAAAATAAAGCTTATTCCATAATGATTGAAAAAAGACGTATAAACGAATCCACTTAAAATCCTTCGATAAAATCGACGGTTTATTGATTACCCTGTATACATGAACTATTGTTTGATCTCTAATCAATATACCTACATCCCTATCTAATTAAATGTACAAGTGATTTATAAATTTAAGTGTATACGTGTATAATACAATATGATTAATTTAATTTGTTTTAGCTACGAAAATCTATAAACCAATTACAATTATGAATGTACCTATTCGTAATTATAGGTACTTATAAAAGAATCAAAGAACAAATAATCTCATGGCTAGAAAAAAGAAAAAAAAACATGATAGTGAATATGCATTCTAAAGCCGAATAATATTAAAATTAATTATGGAATTATATATATATATATTTTTTTACTAATAAGATGTGTTTTTTTTTCGGAAAACAATTTTTCGGCAAACGAACTGTTCAAATATTTTCGCGTAAAATTTTAAAAGATGCGGAAGTTCCTGCATGATGTACTTTATTTGAAACATTTGATGAAATGTTAACAATTCACTCCCTAGATTCTTTTTTTCTCAAAAAACACTTTTTTCGATTGGTGATTTATTTTTGTTGAATTTTCTCTGAAAAAAGAAACTATTGCACTGTATTTTGTCTATAATATATATAAATAGATATCTTATTCTCGTTTCTTTAGCACACCACTAGTGACTTTCTCTGGACCAAATCACCTCATACTAGGGAATTAAAGTTGTTTTATAGGTGGATTGAAATATTTAAAATCCGGAAGAATTTCACAATGAATTTTACTATGTCATTGCGGGTAGAGATTGTTGTCCTAACTTTATATATTCCTAAAGACTCCCATATTAATCTATGGGATATAATTTTGTACATGCATAGCGTTATAGTATCAAGGATATGACTTTGGGAGTTTCAATTTTTAACTCCCCCCTTATAATTTGTGTATTCAAATTTCTTAATTTGTTTGTAAGTAGTATAATTTTCTTATATATTATTATAGTGATCGGTTATTTATTGTTTTGAAAAGTTCTATAACACAAAATAGAGGGAAGGGAAATTCAATTTAGTGATGGGTGTAGTTTTTTTTTTTAGATACAAATTTATGAAATATTAGATTGTGTTTTTTTATTGTTATGATTTATCGTTACTCTTGTATAAACTAAATATTACCAACCCTATATACTTATTTTGCTATGTCTATACCTACGTTTCGAATATCACATTTAAAACAGTGACAAACGCGTAGTGGAATGTCCAGATTATTTTTTTTATAACAATAATTGTTTCCCCGTTAAATTTTTACTATACTAAATTACAATAATACCATTCAGATGCATTATCTGCATGCTTGTATTATGTAAACTAGTATTGTGTATAAATATATTATATTGTATTATGATAAATATTACTCCTAATTAATTGATTTCTGCAATATTTAATCAATAATGGAAATAATAAATGTATTGTTAATTACAATTATTATTTAAACATGTATTTTTCTCACTTAATTGTATACTTTTATAATATTAATTGCTATAATAATCAAAATTACATCATTTAATACATACTATAATATTGATAACATTGTAAGGTTTTTTCGTCTCGGTTAGGTATATAATTTTTCTATTCTATTTTTCTTTAAACTTTTTTAAACTATACTATTTCATATATAATATATATGTTAGGTTAATGTCGTTTTATTTATACTTTTTGTAAAAAAAAAAAACCGATTTTATGCTGTTTTAGTTTTAATACTGTAGAGTAAATGAGTCTATAATCAAACTTAAAGGTAAGCATATTGTCTGTTTTTGTACGTTAGTTTTTCTCGGTGTTTTAATTTTCAAGTGAGTTACAAACACGTGAAATATTCCAAATTAAAAATCATCTAATCTGGATTAAAAATTATAATATCGACAAAAACCTACGTACAAACACAAACAACATGCTTACCCTTAAATTAGGTAATAGGCCAATGCACTCCAATATTAAAACGAACAGCATAAAATAGGTTAAAGTTTATAATTATAACGACTGATTTTACAACATTAACCTTAACATATGTATAATACTGGAACAAGCCCGCGGTAGTTTATATAAAACAATATTAATTCAATATAACGTTTGTGTAATACAATTATCATATTGTTGGGCACTATTCTCAGAAAAAAAAAATAACGTTTAGATTTATTTATACGTGTGAAAAATCGTCTGTCTTCTTCCAATCTGAAATGTTCTAAATTCTATAATCATCTAGACGACCGGACAGAAATATTATAACAAACCGATAAGGTACCTATCTACTAATATTGAATTTTAACTTTTTATACTAGGTACATTTATTAGACCTTATCTGAACAAATATAATTATTAAAAGATAATATAAATAAATAAACATCAACAGTATAATGTATATTTAAGTAAGTAACAAAACTTAATAAAATGTACGAATTAAAACACATAAATTACCAGGTTTTAAAACAAAATTAAAATTTGTTTCTGTTGAATTTTCCTTGAAATCAGAGTCTATAATTAGTACTGTATCTTTGTCCTGTTACTTTTTGACAATTTTAGTAGCTTCTTCTGGACCTAATGTGCTTAAACTCATGAATATTAGAATTATTTTATAGGCAGATAAAAGTGATATAAGTTTGGTTAAACATTACAATACATTTTCGCGGAAGTAGAATGTTATTGTTCGCTACAGATTCTTCAAATAAGTAAGATAGATGAAATATGCATTTCAATATATGATTCATTACATCCACACAATTCATTACATGTTTCATTTTTTAACTAACCCACTTATGATTTTTTAATCAAATTTCACCATTTTTTTGAAAGTAGTATAATAATATTGTTATTCATAAGTAGTTATTTTATATTATTATCATTTTTATTGTTTTACAAAGAATATTACTGAAATAAATAATAGGGGCAACAGACCAAATCATCAGGTGGGGCAAACCAAATTTTAGGGGGACCTCGCCTACTAGACCATAACATATAACTACATATACACATTTATAACTTGTTGGAGGGCAACGATTAGGTCAAGAAAGGGGGAATTCTCCTTTTGTCTTCCGTAGGTATGGGCCTGGGGAGTAATCCAACTCATATAGTATCGGAGTTGTATTGCTCCCTGATGCTCCAAAACAATTCAAGTTCCACAACGAGTTTTCCTTTTCCCATGGAAAAAATCTGATTTCTCAATATTAATAGGCAAGACTATTATAGCTCGAGTGGTTCTTGTCGGTTCGAAATGGATTTAAAAACAATTTGATGAACCCATAGGTTTAAATATCACAAATGTTTTCAAGGGGGTGCCTAAATCCCCCTACCTGTGCCAATAGTTCCAGTGTTTAATTTTGTTTGTTTTAATTTCTGATCGAAGCAAGGAATGTATTGGTTTAACATTGCTGTTTATTATTTTTTTTTTTTTTTATACTGTGACGAAAATTCTACCAGAAATTTTGCTCTGATTTTCTAGTGTAGCACTTTTTCTGAAATTATATTTTCCTGGAATGATACTTTAAGAAAGTAATTTTTTGATTTTCTTTGTTGTTTCAAAATAATTTGGAAAAAACGTGGGAAAAACCGAATAATTAACGAAAATAAGGTTTTTATTATTTTCAATTTGTTTTTTTGTTGTACTGCAGTTGAAAATATTCTTAGAGACTGTAAATATTGATAGAAAATTCATGTTTGCCGTTTCTAGACGTGGTAAAATTTTAAAACCATTTAAGGCTTTTTTTGAGCTTTTTATAGGCATTTTAATATGACAAGTTTTTTTTTACATAATTTTTATTTGAAATGTATTCTGTGGATAGAATTGTCAGTTCAAATAGAAGCGCTTGAAAATTTAACAGGAGGTTCTTTATAATATTTATAAAAAGTTAACTTTAATGTCATATTTTTTTTTGTTCATAAGCATGTTTTATTTTAAATTTTGACGAAAATTGTAAATATTATGGCCTTTTAAAATACATATAAGGTATAACCGAACTCCGTTCAGAACCGTTTTTTGTTAGCAATGATTAATCTTCGCGTAAATATGTATATTAATTTCCCCTTTATATCCTACATTTCTAACTTCTCATCTTCAACAATTGCCCACCTATTGTGCGAAGTATGTCCGTCTTTTTATGATTTAGTTTTGTTAACTATCGAAATACTTGGTTAGAGAAAATACATAGACGGCTTATAAGCAATTAAACCACTCATTACTAGCTGATACTGTTTTACTGCTGATGGATGTGTTACTATTGTAAATGGAAAGTTGAAAAGGTAAGATACATATATAATTATTTATTTTATATCTGTGCATAACTATATAAATCATTACTAACGAATTACGGTTCTGACAGAAGTTAACCTCTTAAAAAGCTCATATAAAAAACTACTACATTGCGTCCAAATTCTCTTTAGTAAAACTTATGATGAACTTCACGATGAATGAATTTCTGATTGGCCAAAATAATTTCACTCATATTAAACCATATAATAACTAAAAAATAATTTAAAATACCAATAGGTTGCATACAAATTTTCATTATTTTTTCAACATTTTAACACACTCAGGAAGAGCTTATTAAAGCAATGCGACTTATTTTTAACCAAATTACAATTTATAACAAAAACCGAAATCGATAACAATGAAACTATTAGATAAATCAAAATACTACGTCCTAATTATGCACTAACTAGACAACATTTTCTTTCAGAAAATGTACCAGGCCTACTAAGGATGTACCTAATCTACCTACTTTGAAATTTAGAGAAAAATGTCTAGGAGAAAAAAATTTGATAAATTAATCTTTTATTGGCGTATTTTGTCCGTTTTTCCCGGTTTTTCCGATTGTTAATAAATGGCAGGGGAAATCAAATTGACCTCTCGATACAGTCACTAGATCAGAAATTCTATATAAAAAAAAGCCTTCCAGGTGATTTTTTTTATTAAATACATTTTAAAAAATGCATAAAAAAATTGTTCACATACATTAAAATGTATGGGCACTATGTGTAGGCACTATTATAGAGAGAATCGACGAATTGAGATTTTTATAAAAATAAAACGATATGGTATACTATTCAATATAGAATTTACAAGTGCCTATACATATATTATGTTGTTTTATTTCTGTTTATTTTAATGTTTCTTGTATATACCTATGACTATCAGCTTTTATGTATATATTTTATCGAAACGTAAAATGTTGAACTCTTGACTTAGACGCAGGTTAAAAACGAAACAATATTGTTTCAACCTCGTAAAATAATTAAAATAATATTATTATAATATTGGCACCGACATTATATAATATAAGGTATATTCACATACGCAGTTTTTTGAGTCCCGGAACCCAAGTCAGTGGGTGGATGTGTGGGTATTGGTATAATGGTACAGGAGTGTAGGACTTGATAGTGGAATGTAGATGATTAGATAGGTTTTCAAACTATAGGTTAGATTAGCAATAGATTAGTATAATAATAAATAAAATCTTAACGGGACTCATGAAATAAATTATGTCAAGCCACTATAGTGGTGGGTATTTATAATTTAATATACCACATTAAAGATTATAAGAATAGATACCAACCCCATCGTACCATTTTTATTTATCTGTTTGTATTTAGTCTTTGGTATAGGTTTTTTTTCGTTTTTTAGATTCGGAGTGAAGCGAATGATCGAAAGATCGTGTAAAAACGAACTTCGCTCTAAATCTTGTTCCGTTGACAATGATTTATTTTTGCTTACAAGTATAAATTAAAACACTTTATGTATCCTACCTTCCCAAATTCCCATCTTTATAGATGGACGCGTGTTACTGTTATCAGTGGCACGTGCGTGTCTAGTATCAGCTCTTTTTAAAATATGAATGTATAGAAGAATTTATTAGTTTTACTAAAGTGTTTTTTTTATGTAATATTCATTTATTTATTTGAAATTTGTTTTCAAAATTCTTATTAATTTTTCAACAAACATTTTTTAAACCCTTTTTTATTAAGTACAACGCTCCAATTTTCTTATGCAGTACTTTAAAATATGTGAATTACCGATATACTTCCCTAAATTTTTTTGGGAAGAGAATTTAAAAACAATTCACCCTCCAGATATAGGTTCTTGTTTTGGTTTTTATCTTAAGAAAAATGTTTTCAGTTAGTAAAAAAATTGTTCTACATTTTTTATGTCGTATTTTTAAAAGTGCGATTTTTTTTACCGATTTTTTGCGAATTTTGATTTGTAAACATTTTTTAAATTCTTAACAGTTTTTTAAAAAAAAATAAATTTAATTAACTAGTATCAAATGTATATATATATCTTAGTTATATTTTTGTCAATTTTTGAAGGCTTACCTCGGATACACGTGGAAAAAACATAACAGAACTTCGCTCAGAATCGATTTTTTGTATGCAACGATTTAGCTTTGTTTTTATTGCATACACTTAATCATATTATATTCTATACCTTCCAAACTTTCCGTATTCTTAAAAGGTTATATGAGGTTAAGTAAGTACTCATAAAAAACTAAAAATATACTCACTCAGTACTTGTAATACGAATAGAACGCAGAACCCAAACATTATGGCAAATACGTGCGAGAATCCTGGCTGTTTGTGTCTGGCCAGTACTTCGAAAAAAACGACGTACAAAAGAGTACCTCCGGCCAGCCCCTGCAGGGTGATAGCTACTCGTCCGGAGGAGCTGGACTGTTCGTCGCTGTCGAACTGACTGAGCACCATGCCGATGAAGATACCCACGGGCGTGACGACGGCGAACGTGGCCACGCACAAGACGATCACCGATCTCCGGGTCTTGGAATAAGCGAGTTCCAAGCCGATGCAGAAGGCGATGACCAGCTTGTGGGTGGCCACGGCGATGGGCAAATACCAAATTTTATCGACGCACTTCTCCAGACCGATGGCTATGCCCTCGAAAATTTCGTGGAATGACAGCGCAATCACGGTCAACAGGCAGTGGAACGAGTGTTCGTCATGATTGCGATGGAAGTCCTCGCTGCCCCGCAGGTCCATCTGTTCTTCAGCATCATCGCCGCAGCTCAACTGTACGTGCTGGAACGGCTGGTCACTGTGGCTCAGATCGTCGCCCAACGCAGCCATCGTATGCGTCGTCTGGTATCGCTTCTCCTTGCCGGCATTGTTGAACAGCTCCTTGATGCTGACCGAGGACTTGACGGCGCCGTTTTTGAATTCGAGTGTCGAGTTTGGCGATTCGTTTATCGCGTAAGAATGCGACATGGATGATATGGTCCGTCGGCGCAGGCTCATAGACCGGTGTAGCACGTCTTCGGCCGAGCTTTGGTCAACGTTAATGGCCAGGTACCGATCCACTACCAAGTGCACGATCTCGTCCACGAGAAACACCAAGAAAAACCCGGCGCAGAATATCATGTCGCCCAAGTGTTCGGTGCCTTGGCCCGTGGGCAGCTTTCCGGCCGTCTGCAACCGTTTGACGCCTTCACGGACTTCGGGCTGCAGGTGCAAAAGCGTGGTGAACAGCAACACGCCACCGCCGAAGCACAGCAACAGCGACTTTACCCGTGACCCGGCGTTGTTCGGGTCACCGCCGTCGTGATCCGAATGACGCGAATGGCTGCGTGCTGGCGATGTCGTCGGCATCGCCATGATGTCAGCGGTGGCACTAGTGGCCGACCATTTTCCACACCATTCGGTAAGTTTCATGGGCAAGACGCCCAACATAAACGATCCGAAACCCAAGACGGACATGATGCACGTCTTGTACACGATCATCTCCGTCGTCGGCATACCGATCGGTGGGTATAATGCTTACCGATGATGTCCAGCACCAATAATATTGTCAACTCGAAAATACCGTAGTAGTGTTCAGCACCTCTTGTATTAGGTATTATTTATTATACGCGTATTGCACGTATATCACGTGTACGACAATGCGTGGCGTCGATCCCGCTTCCTGATGTACGCACAGCAATTTGGACCAGATCGGACGCGCCACTCTGCCGTCACCAAATGCACTGGGAATATTAGTGTGCTGGCGACGATCGCTACCCGAAACGACCGTTCACGAACGGTGCGATCGGAACACCGGCGCGTGAATATGACAGCACGCTGTTCTAGACTAGCACCGCGCCCCGCCCGCCGCGTCACCCGCAGTCGTCGCCTAGCCTATTGGTAACCTAAACACCGCCGCCGTAGCCGCCGCGCCGCTGATATTACCGCGCGATATGGTTATTCTGACAAATATTGTGATTAGTAAATGTTGGGATTACAGTCACCCGAAGTCTGCGCGGTATTATACCGCGGTGGGGTACTCAATGGGGACGATATGGGTGATAAATCGTTTCTCAAAAAGGTCCCCAGAACCCCGATCTTTGTTGATTTTTTATGACCACTATTATTAAGTAATAATGTAAAGAAGAAAAAAAAACATATTTTAATTCTTTGCAATGTTTCATTTTGCCATTTTGTCTATATACCGTTTTAAGTAATATGTTCAGTAATTATTATAGTACAATACTAGTTTTAAGTACAAACCACATATTGTTATTAATTTTCCTCGCTACAACTAAAGCTAATTGTGGCGAGGTAAATTAATCAAAATACTTTAGTTTGTAATTTAATTAATAAAAAAAAAAAATATATGTATATATATATATATATATATATTATACTGTTTCATTATATACAATACAAAATGCAAAATATCAAGTATGTCTAGAGTGTAGCATGTCACATTATCAATGTTCGTTCGTTTATTGTGAATGTTAATAAAACCGTGTGCTATTGTGTATTATAATATTAGTTATGATTTTTTAACAAAATACTCATATCACCCACACATCCTAAAGAAAAGGTCCTAGATACGCCACTGTATTATAGTAAGCTTGTTATATAGGTACGCGTGTTCCCCAAACCTAAGGCAGAGGAGTGGCGGGGCGGAACGTGTAGGTAAAATCCCCGCGAAAAATCGACACTCGTGAGTAGATTGAAATCCGAAAACGTATTCGAATGTTGAAAACGTCGAAAAAAGTCGAGTCGATAAAATTTAATTAAATTTTTAAAAAAACAGAGTGCATTGTTAGTTTATTGAAATATATAAGAACGCGTCCTGTATGATAATAATAAAGTTACAGAAAAAATGTGTGCACATATTTGTTCAGTAGGTGAAATAATCGAAATCGAGAACCGGACGGAGGGGAAACGACTAGATTCCTTCGATCCCCCACCCCTCTCCCTTATTGACAGTTAATAATATTACACTTTACTACGGTGTGTTGTGTATAAGTGGCTGACGACTATAATAATAATAATCTGTTGTTAAACCGTAAGTCGGCGGCGGCTCGGCGAAAACAATAATAATATGTACAGATATAACGCGCAATAAGTGTGTCTATAATAATGATAATAATAATAATAATAACACATCTAATCTAATATTCCGTCTTGTGCGAAAAACCTTAGTAAAAAAATTCGTAATTTCCTCGCGACCGGCTGAATGACACGCGTGTTGCGTACCTGTGGGTCGATAAGAACAATTAAAAAATGTGTTTTTTTTTTTCCTGGCCGTCTTGCGTTATGCACACGAGCCACGCAAAATATTCGGTTAGGCACACTGGCCCTGGTTATTGGACAATACCGGCCCGACATTAGAAAATAACGTTTTTTATAATATGATCCGAAGGAGAATTTTACTATTATTTCGGTCGATTCCTCAGCGGCGTACGGTGTTAATAATGGTCTCGACCGGGTGAATATTTTCAGTGCACACAAGTCGCGTCCCGAAATTCCTTTTCCGCACGAATTGCTTCCCGACGATATTTAACCACCACACGAATTGCGTCCTAACATGAAAACATTATTTTCCCTCCCATTTTACACAGACTTCGGACTGTCAATATCAAATTATTACTATAGGTAGGTTAAAAATGTATGACCTTTGGTACCTCAGCTAGAATAAAATAGGAGTAGCGACTAGCTAATAGGTTGAAGTGTCTAAAAATGTATGTTTACGCTAATGGATAAGTCAAAAATGTTAACCCCCCCCCACGGATGTGACCAATTATCTGTCTATGGAGTCATTCAAAATAATTTAACAACTAAGTCAATTGTTTAGAAATTAATGTTCATTGAAGTTACTGAAATTCTAGTTTGTGTATAATAAGTGTCAAGTATTCTATCTGACATCTTATAATCTTCTTAATAACAATATTGAATGTTCAGATTTATTAAGTAATATTATCATTTATACGTATCATTGTTCGATTATAGAAATTCAAATTTATTTTATGTAAAAAAAAAAAATTTCCCCGTTTCTTTTTTTCCGAGAGCGCTTTTGCTATACAATTAAATTTGTAACGATGTCGATTTCTTATTTATGTCCCGCGAATGTTTTAAAACGAAAGTTTTGTTTATGTTTACAAACTAAACCCATTATTATACGTGTCATATTATTATGTTTCAGTACCTATTAATATAAGCTAAATTATTTTACTGTATGTTTGTTTTCTCTTCGATCTAGATTATTATTTTATATTCCTGTATTTAAAAGGATTGTCCTGTAAAAAATGTTAATAAATAAATAAACTCCAGCTGCTATGGATAATATTATTATAAACATAGTGATGATATTGTGTATATTATAGAGTAATAGATAAACTAGCGTACGTATTTCGTATTTTTTTTTATTTCGTAAATAAATAGTAGTTACATAAATATGATTTCGATGCGATAGTTGGCTATACCCCTAATAGTTGTTTATTAAAAAATGACATCGTTTTTAACGTTCGACTGGTTTCGATCCTCTTGCATTTTATTAATAATTACTATTGTATGGTTATCTACTGTGCATTCGTTTTCGGCGAGTAATCGTAATTCCGATATAATTAACAATAGTACTAAACAATCAGATAGTTTTTTGGCGTCTAACGAAAACTTAAAACATGAAGACAAATATTTGTGGGCAGTCGGAATTAAATTTGTGCCGAACCACAAGAAAAACTACTTTAAACTACCGGTTGGAACATTTTGCATGGGTAGTCTGTTAACAAAAACACACGTATTAACTGCTGCTCGTTGCAGTGCAAATAGAACATTGCGGAATGCTTTCGTAAGTACACTAATCAGTAATCAGTAATCATAATTCTATGTAAATAGACAGTACAGTATATGCCGCAGTAGACACTAAATATATTTCATTACCTACTTATGTCGGATTTTTGACGAAAATAGAAAATATTACACTGCATATTGTGTGTATAATTATATGAACAAAAGGTACCATCCACCAGGATTTTTGAATTGCGCGTCAATGTAGCGTCGAAGAGCAGTATTATTGATATCATTGGCTTCTAGCTGTGACTTCTGAGCACATATTTTGTTTATGTAGGTTCTCTATAACCTTCTTAGTTTTGAATTTTGTCGATGATTTTATAAAATGTTTTTCCTGGTTGGCTATTTTGAAATTAATCTAAAAGTAGAGCAATTTGATGAGCTTTTTGGAGAGGTTAGAGAGAATTTTTATTTCCGTTTAATGACTATTATCATACCAAAATATTTCTGGAAAACTTAAACTTGGATTTGCTTTTAATCGTCGACATTTCTTCGATATTCTCGGGACAAACTTTGTTATCACTATGCGTATCTGCAGTTTTTAAGTTAAAATTTTTTAGCACAAGTCATGTAAAATGTTGCACTTCTCTGCTAACCAAGATTCTGTCACTACAATTGAATAAGAAACTCCCACTCCAACCCCATCTTCCCCCCAAATGCACTTATTTTGGATCCATTACAAAATCGCTAACACAATAAAAACATATTTTACAAAAAACATCGAAACTAAGAAGTTATAGAGAATCTACAGAGATATGCTCAGAAAAAGTCATAAAAGCCGGTGATATCAATCCTACTGCTCTACGACGCTCCGTTGGCACGCATATAAAAATACCGATACTTTTTTTTATCATACCTCGAATATATATTTATTATAAAAAACGTTGTATTTAAATTTGTATAAATATCGAATATCGCCAACGCCATTTTGCTATTACTAATTCGACGCAAGGCCAATTATAAAATGCGTATAACAACGACTATTATATTATGTTTTGTTTTGTAGATTTGTATTGCATGCACTCACAATGTAATAATTAAAAATTTAAAAACATTTGGTTTATTTTACTCAAAGTCTGTATAAATGTCAACTTATCTATTTACTAATAAATTATTTATTTTAGATAAGAATGATTTTCATAATGATAACTGAAGTATAAATATGTATATACGAGTATATGAAAATTAAAAACTGACGATACAATTCATATTATAGAATTTATTTTTAATTTTAATACCTTGTTGAATCAATAGGGTATTTTTCTTAAAAAAAAATAAAATAATAAAATATCAAAATGGCCTAACGTCGAAATGGTAAAATCGCTTTACAACGAATCTATATTGGTTTTCGTTTGATTCAACAAGTAACATTTTTAGGTATTCTTAAAAAATTGTGCAGTATTCACTATAGCCAACGATAACATGGAAAATCAAAACAATGTAAGGAAGTCGTCCGGATTTATAATACATGAACATTATAGAAATGAGTATGATCAAGCACATAACATAATGATCGTAATTTTATCGAAACCGTTCGATGAAGTACAGAAATACCCTATATTATTTGGATGTCCTGAGATGTTTGCTGGCCATAATAAAAGGTCTAGTCCAGGGCTCAAACTTAAAAGTTTAGGATGTGGACAGATGGAGAGAATAAAACAAAACAAAACTTTAAATGGACAGGTGAACGATAAATCAATTCCGAGAAAAATTCAAATATTTGGCCTATACGGTGAAAATATTGGTTGCTCAGTATCTTCTCAAAGGTAAGTATATTAATTTGATATATTATAATATATGACAGATATTTTCGATTTTTCGAGTAGAATAGTTAATTTCTTAAAAATTGCAATTCCTACAATGAAAACGATCAACAAAGAAAACATTTCTAGAATAATAAAATAAAAAACAAAATTTGAAAAATATAGTTATTCGAATATAATTACCTATAAAAGATTATTACATGGATAATAAATAATATAAACAAAAACAACTAGAAATTATTTTTTTCTGCAGTGAAGTTATTGTAATCTAAATGAAATTATTAATTTTGCGTATTTTACATATAATCTACAAAAGATGGAAATTTGAAATCTGCAATAAACCAAACAGAAAGATGATATGTGAAGGAGATTACGGATCGCCGTTAATCTTCATAAATGAAAAAGGAAACGATACTCTAATCGGATTTGCCACTTTTATTTACAACCACAGTCCAAACTGTGATGAACCTTTGTGTGGGTGTAGAAATATGCAAGGGTCTCACTTGTTTCTTTATAAAATGAGACATTGGATTGTACAAAAGACTAAAGTAACGTTTAAAGATTGTTCTACGAACGTTACTAAAATAAAACATAAGCCATCTCAAATTAGAAAATTCCATACTCTTCATAATTCTCAAGCTACACATTTAGATCCTATTAAGTTACACTTACTCGTTATTTTATTTTATGAATTAAGCATATTTTTAACCGGTCGTCATCGTTTTATACAAATCTAACAATGTATTATGAATGAAATATATAAACAATGAAAATCATTAATTATATTATTGTACATACTTATAATTAATTTCATCATATAAGATAGTTTTAGGTATTTTAAAAATCAGTGTTAATTTTAAATTGATATCTAGGTAAGTATAGTCTTAATGAGTAAAATTGAATAATCCCAGAGATTTTCATTGTTTTTATCAAAAATGTAGGTACTAAAAATCGTCACACGCCGAATTTGTATATTGTTTTAATACATATAGGTAACGTCCATGAACTTTGTCTAGCAACGAAGTGGTACACAGTTCAAACTAATACCAATATTTTGCAAGTAATCAGCAAGAATTTGAAAATCCATTTCCAAAATTTGCAAGTAATCTGGTTCGAGCTTTGAAAAAACTTCTAGATAGCGCTAATATCAATATTTGACAATTTGGTGAAAATTTCAAGTCGCTTAAATTATTTTATAACTGAAATACAAAAAAAAAGAGCTGATAATGGGAAAGGGTGCGCCCACTTTTGTTGGTGGGTAGTTAGGAAGGTAAAATACATTAATTTATTTAATTTATATCTGTAATCAAAGATAAATCGTTTCTAACGATCAGCAACGGTAAGCATTATCAATATTTACGATTTTCGTCAAAATTTGGTTTTAAAACTTATAAAAAAAAAACTACACTACACTTAAATATTTATTTTTTTTTACCACGAGGTACGACTTATACTGAATCACCTATCAAATTTTCAAGCATTTCTGTTTAGTCTACAATGAAAATTAAAAATGGTCTATTTAATGGCACTAACTTGATAACATTTTTACTAAAAGCCACATAAGAAGTGGTTTCATTTCACCAAAAAAGTTGATTATTAGAACAAGATTTCTGGTAGAAAAGTTGTTTACAAACGCAAAAAAAAATCTTTTACTGCTTATAGGTGTGCCACTGTTTTAGGTAAAAAGTTAAGTAAACAGGGTACATAGAGTTACCTGTTTAAACAATGATAAATAAAACATTGTTAATGAATTACAATTCTGACCGATTTTCGGTTAAATATGTTTTAAAATTCATTGATTTTACCATTTAAACTCAAATTTGTTTTTTGACCACTAAATAACAACATATATTGTACTATTAAAAATTGTTAAATTTTCTTAAGTCATATAATTTTAATATGTGTATTGTATCAGATTATCGCTACCTACGATAGGTAACTTCACCCTTTATTACGAACAAGGAAATAAAGAAGAAAAACGAGTGCATTTCAAGTAAACAAACATTTCATTTGGATTAAATCAAACTGCAAAACTTTCTCAAAGTAGATAAATTCAATATGATGCTAAGTAAACTGTATACGAATGCAAAACAAGTTGTAATATGCAACAACTTTTATTACTTACTCAAATAAACTAGAAATCGAAACAATAAACTTACAAACTGGTATTGATTTCATTAACTTATTACAATTTATTGCAACCTTACATCAATTCATATACTTTGAAAAAACAGAATGAATTAAATTTATATCAATCATGTTTTGATCTTACATACTCGTTATTGAAAAGAGATATTCAAGAGTTACTGGAAATTTGTCAATGCAGTACATTTGTAAGCTCTTATATTCATAATTTTAATTTAACTGATCTATGCTGAGAAAAGAAATGTATTATACACGAAGTCTAACAATTTCATCATGAAAGATCAATTAATATGATACTTCCAAGATTTAACATCTATAACATTATCAACAATTTCCTTCCCATTTTATAGACTTAGGACTCGCTACTATCAACTGGTATGATTAAAAATGTATTATAGTGTTCTTAATTGTTTAAAAATATTGCTTAAATGTTTAAATATATTTTCTAGATTTATTATAATATGTATTAAATTATTTGTTATCATGTTATTCTTCGCATTATATTATCTGATTTGAAATATGCTTTTTGATATTGTATAGATATTATAGCGACACATACCTCCCCTAACTTTCAATAAGTTTTGAGGGGGTAAAGATCATAAAAAATACTGGAACTATGCCATCCATATGCTAATCCATTTACCCTATACTTCTACCCTTCTTTCGAAATATTAAGAATATGAGACAAAATTTATACTTGAATATCAGTTATTTTTTTATTTTTTTCATATAATAATAAATAGCATACAATTTTAAGTATAATATGAACTTTATAATTTAGTATTTTCTGTTTTTATATTCTGTAATTCAAAATATGTAGGTAGGTATAATATAATATTTTTAATTTTCATTTCAACATTCAGCTTGTGAAATAGATTTTTCAAAATAATATAGTGAAATCATTTATTTGATAACCTGGATATCCAGATAGTGAAATTCGTCCAGATTATGAATTTTGACGAAAAAACATTATATGAATATGCATTTTATAAAATAAATCTATACCTAATGTAATGTGTAATTATTATAAAAAAAAAATTTTTTTTTTATATATAGCAATAAATAATTATATTATGTCATAGAAAACTATACTTTTCTATATTGTTTTATGAACAAAAATATAACAATTATAGTCAAAAAATTATATTATTTAACATTTTATTTTTCATAAACCATGCTTATATTGTTTTATTAATAAAATAATTAATAGATTGATTAATTTATTATTTGGTATTTAATTTATTCAACTTAAATATTATAATTCTTTTTCTTTTTGCGTTATATATATATATATATATATATATATATATATATAATTTATAATATTTAACTATTTATGTGTAATTAAATCTGTGATTTGTAATATATGACTTAATATAATAATATAATGTAATATAGTTCCACTTAAAAGGAATAGATATAACAATATATTTAATATAATATTACTTCAATAAAAAAAAAACTTAAATAATAATTAATAAACTATACCTACATATTTTTCTTCCTTGTTTATTTTTACATGATGATTTATTATGACATCAAATGTTACATAGTATATTATTTTTAAAACAAGCACATCTACTTGATTGGCAAGGAGTTATTGCCTAACATGAACAAGATAAAAATTCTTGCCCTCCTGAAACTTTTTTAATCATTTATCGTACTAAAAATTCATTATTTATATCTTAACTTATGTTTTGATATCCGATGTGTTATTAACAAAATTGTATTTGATATCTCTCTCATATAATATAGATCACAAGTAAAACATTATTATCTTTATTGATATTGAAAAGTATTATTTGTTTTAGGTGAGCTTGTTTTAAAAATAATATGCTATGTAATATGCTCGATAATCAATGTCATAATCGATTGTCATATAAAAATAAATAATGAAGAAAAATATATAGGAATAGTTATCATTCAATTAAATATGTTTTTAATAAAATAAAAATATAAAAAATAGAGGTATAGTTCCTTTCATGATTATTTTATTTTATTTTTATTAATAGATAAGACTGTCATTTATAAAATACAATATACATATGGTTTATATTATTGGTTTTCAACTGGTGGATCGCGACCCATTTTTGGGTTGCGTAAGCTTAAAAATTGGGTCGCAATAAGTTTTCTTTTCAAAATAAAAATTAAGTTTATACAATTATATAAGGTATACAAATAGTTGTATAATTATTAAATTTAGAAAATTAATAAATGAAAATTATTGTAATATATTATGTATAAACAATATTATATAATTTATATTCAAAAATATAATAGTATAATTGGATTTCAAATCACAGTATATGTTTCATATACTGGTATGATTCTATGCAGTATGACATTAAATATAATAATTTACAAGTAAACCGGGCTAGTAATAAAATAAATGTATTATATTATTATCATTAAAGAGTCCTATAATCTACAAACATTATTGATGTTGTCGCTATGTTTAAAGATGAATAAATGTTTGTTGTGTTATTATTCTAGTCATGTTTACATAACCGTTAAAAAGTTTTTTTTATTTTTATTTATTCAGTTATAACAGTACTACTACAAAGTATTAAGTAGTTTTAGATTTTTTTTTTGTTTTTCTACAAACATTTTTTTGAATGTATACCTTATATGGGTCGCGAATAATGTACGCTTAAAAAAGTGGGTTGTAATTCCAAAAAGGTTGAAGACAACTGATTTATATTGTCTTTTTCATGAAATGGATGTCCTCATAATAAATTTAAGTCAAAATTCAAAATTCATGATCTGAATGAATTTCACTATCCGGATATCCAGTTCATGAAATGAGTAATTTCAATTTGTGGATACCACATATACATAATATTTTCTATGTTTTATAATTTTTGTTCTTCAAATATTAATATTATACATACAATACTTTTACTAAATAATTATTTTCAAATTGAGTATATATGTTTTCTTTGATTTTTAATTTTTATACTCAGTATTTATTTTAAAGGCTGTAAAAGTTGTTTCTGGATCTTCAGTGAATCTGGCCAGCTAGCCCCATCTGAATTATTTCATTCATTTTTTTCTACAATTTACATTCCACAGATTTTTTTCACTTGTCTTCAATCTTTTGTACATTTTGCAGTTTTTTATCTGAAAATATGTAAAATGTAAAAATTATAATACATAAATTACTTATTCATATTTAAAATTACTGTTCAGTCGGCTACATATCTTCCGTATCTTTATTTAATACTCAAATCATATACAATATTATGCTGTATAGTCGGGTGAACGAAAAGTAGCTGCTGGGGCGATATGATAACGAATTTTTTTCCGATAAACAGTGGTTATCAAACTGACATACGTAAAGCGCGATCGATATATAACATCTGGACGGTGCACGGTCAACCGGCACAATAAAATTACTAATAATTCAACATACACGTGCTTTGTTTTTATAATTTTGCGAAACTATGATAGAAACATGACAAAATATTTTGTCATAGATAGAAATACACCACCAGGAGTGTGCGCACCAGCGGCCACTTTTTGTTCTCCTGAGGATAAAAAACAAGTAAATATGAACTCAGCAGCTAATTATAAAACTCGAATCGGGATAAAAATATTAATCTGTAATCACAGATCACAGAAATCTATCTGTGCCACAGACATATAAAATACAAACACAGTCTATAATCATGCGTGGTACAACCAATTTGTAGATTGACTATCATAAATCGTGCTGTATACGAATATTGTAGAAAATGATAAGTCAAAAAAAATGTTTATTGATTATATTTATTTATTTGATTATTATCATTAAATATCAATTAAATAGGAAACTCCAAATTATCTAGAAAAATATCCATGGACGGATTTCATTCCATTCCCCATATCACCCCCCCCCCACCGCCACCCCCGTGAAAACAGCTATTTACATCAATGGATACCGATAATTTCCAAGTCTAGCTAATGTATCTACAGTTTTTTTCTAAATTAATATTTACTTCTTTTTTTATCTCCAATATTTATCACCATAAGATCATTTAACCTTTAATTGTCGCTCATTGAAATGCGTAAATATTATTTTACATTTTTGAGCGTTGAAAAACTTTTTATTTGACATCATTATAATTGGTAAAGTTTTTATTAATGAAATAATTTTCAACGTTTCCTTAAAAATGACCGTAAACAGTTCAACCTCGAAGTTTTTCAATTTTTGACTATATAAACTTATCTATATTAGTGTTCTGTAGGTATCTCTGATATGTCTGGTAGATTATAAAATACACAATACATTTATTGATTATTCAATTACTCGATAGAATGATATTTTGTTTATTGACTGTAAAATAGGTACCAATATTGTTAATATAAAAATATAATTTGATATTAATTATATAAAAATGGTACATTATTGTAGCAGGTCAATTGGACCTATTCTAAAAGTAAGGGGTGAAATCGCACAACCTGCGCCATGAACGTCTTCAAACTTTGACTGTGGGGGGGGGGGGCGAAATAATTAAATTTAATATTAACAATTGCTGAGAAAAAAAGACAACATATTTCGCACGATGGGTGTAACCACTGTTATACATGAGAAGTTGGGAAGGTAGGATATTGAGGGAAATTTGATGTATATCTGTACCTAAGCCAATTTAAGCATTGCCAACAAAAAACGATTTTGAGCGTTGCTCGTTAAATTGCTCATGGGCGTCTGAGTCAATTCCATGGAGGGGAGGGGTGGCCGCGAACAAATTTTACTTTCGAATACCACCGTTTTGCTCAACACAAAAACTTAAAACCTTTATGTCTGATGTCATTTCAACTTATATTAGCTTAGAAGATTGCAGATATATTGTACAAATGCAGTAAAACATTACAATTAGGAAGTTAAATTAATTTTGTTCACATTAAATAAATAATAATTAAAATAATAATAATAATAATAATTAATAAAAGTTAGATAATGAAGTCTAAAATAATTATATTTTAAGCATCGTTTAACAGGCGGTTCGATCAACAATATTCTCTATGTTTTAAGCCTCTGCTTAATTTTTTTTTTTTTACCACTTATTACGATTTTTAATAAACCTTTTGTTAAATTCTCAAGAATTTCTGTTTGGTCTAACAATTTTATTCACATACCGAATAAAAATGACGTATAAAACTCGCAAAATTAAATTATCTCTAAATTGGTCAAAAATTTTACCACGTCAAGAAAAGGCAATTATAATTTTCTCCAAATTTCAAGTCTACGAATATTTTTAACTGAATTACAACAAAAAACAAAATTGAAAATAATAAACGCATTATTTTTGTAAATTTTCCGTTTTTCTTACGTTTTATCCTGGGTTTTCCTGCTGGGAAAATCAAAAAATAACCTTCCTTAGTACCATCTAGTTAATATCACAATATTTTCTTTCAAAAAAAGTGCAACACTTACGTACTGAAATAAGATTTCTGGTAGAAATTTTTGTCACAGTGTATAAAAAAGAAAGAACATTGTAAATCCAATTAAATTAAATTAATCATTTCCAATTTTGATTCTAAAAATATATTATTTTATGATATCTTTACAAATTGATTGGTCCCACTTAGTTTTTCATAATTCCATTTCACACATTGAGAGAAAATTTTTCGAAACTTATAAATGATAAGTATTTCATTCTTGCTTTAATCAAACTATTTCTAAGATCCGTAATCATCTTTATGGCATTTGGAATCAATTGCATTTGTACTCATTCGTACTTAAGAATTATGGATATTTTTTATTATTTAGGTTATTACCAGAATATTGGTTATCAAACCGACATTTAAATTCATAATCACAAATATTATTTAAAGGATTATACCTACATAAATTACTTTAGGTTTTGGAAAGCTCATTAATGTTTGATATTTCTAAAATTGTTTCTTCATCAGACATATCTGATGTATTTGATGTATCATTCTAATGAACTATTCATTGTTAATTTAAATTATTCAGTAAGAAAAAAACTTACTTAAACAAATAAAATATATAATATTAATTAATCAGAAAAAAAATCCCCAAAACAACTTACACACATACTTGGGGATTTTTTTTCGGAATTCTATTAATTAATACAATACTAATTATTAATATTATATAATGTTTTCTATTATCACCACGTAAAACATTGATAACAAAATGTATTCGTTAAATTCGTTACACCGTGATAAATGCCAAGGCTTATAGATAATATCTATAAGCCTTAGATAAATCATAGACTTATTAATAATATATCTATGGGATAAATGGGCCTGTAATTTAACTCTTGATAAGGTACATTTTAATCAACAGATAAAATTTAAAATATGGTTTATGCAACAGAATTTATTTTTACTCTGGAGAAACGAGTTTATCTCTGTGTAAATATTTGGTGCAACCTGGAATTCAAATACAACTAGATAAAATATCCAAACAAGATTTCTGATAGACATTTTGTACACGGTGTGAAAGAAAAAAATTAACTATTTCACGATATCGAACTATCGTACTTACTTTTTTTCCCGGTTAACAGACAGCAGTGACAGCTCTGTGTTAACATTACTACATCGTACGTACTACTAATACATATAATTGAAACAGACAGCATTTTACAGTAGTAATTCATTGTACCTTGTCACCTATCGTTCATACGTTCAATAACAGAACTTTAACACTTTTCATTGGCACCCCTGTGGTCGTAGTGCGCCGGTGCGTGACCGCCTTTCGCACCTTGCACCCCCTCAGACAGAGCCCTGGATATTAGTTACAATTTGTAATAATAAAATATCTGAGTAATAATATTATATGGTGGTAATTGAGATTTGTAGAAGTGGTGTATAAACCCAAAAAAATCCTATAGAATTCAGCTGTCCTCTGTGAATTTTATTTTCCCGTGAATTACGTTTCCTACTGGAGATTTGTCCGTTATTTGTGCGCGTCTCCTATTAGGTTGGTAACAAATAGACGCGGTCGATTTTTACGTACCAGTTAATGGCTCAATTCCGGAGTAGGAAACTACGATTGTGGTACTACGAAAACTGTACATGATTTTACCAACCATGATTTCATTCGGCTATTAAATATATTATAATACGTTATACGTATATTACACTGTTATAATATTAAGAATAGGTATTTATACTTCCAAATAATAATATTGAGGTTTTTAAAGTATTTAATACATGTGTATGAAGTCTAGGTAACCTATACTGTCAAGTTTGACAGATTTCTTTATGATTTTAAACAATTCATTATTGAATTTATCTCCAAAATTACTATTTTACTACTCAGAAGAAAAAACATTACCCGAATCCTATATTAAAACTATTAATTACTGGTATTAATATATAAGCATTACTTTATTTACTTCACTCAAAATCTGAAATTAATTATAGGTAATTATGCTATCCATTTTCTTTTCAAAACTAAGTTTGATTTTGCATTAGAATACCATATTGTATATGTATTGGTTACATGCATTTTTACTGAAACATTATTCTATTTCAGACTTCAGTATATAAAGTTCAAAATTTATAGATTACAATCATTAACATAGTTAAAATCATCTTATCATAATACTGTGAAATACAACTATATAGATACAATCTAATTATCTGTTTATAATCGTGATATCACTTAAATATTGATTGCACCGCTAGCCGTAACTTTTAACTCCGGAATTAAATCATTAGTTGGTACGTCGTTTTTGTGTTCAGTTTTTATCGTTCTCGGTCAAAAGTGGACGACATGGCGTCAATGCGTCATATGTTCATAAAATCGTTGTAGTCACAGGCGACAACTACGGTGGGCTGTGGCAGGTGGCTACCGCGGTCACAAACTCCTAACGTCGTTTACATTTTACCGAATCATAGAACACTCCCAGCGTCCCATGCAGTTTTATGTTTAAGTGATTACTAGTAGAAGTACCTCGTATAGTAGGTACATTTGATTATTTTTGAAACCGTTTTTTTTTTTTCGTATTGTACAATGTTTGTCGATAATGTAGTTGTATTATAATATTAAATTATACATTTTTTTTTTTTTTTTAATATAATTGTTATTTATCTAATTTAAAAATGGCCATGAGATTCAAAAGTATTTTCTTGGACCCACAAACTTCACAGCCGACTTACAATAATAAAAATGAAGTTCTTTGCGAAGTATTGTTGGAAGGTAAGTAAAATTATTTGACAAGATTTATTATTTAATTTGATTAGAGAACAATTTATTATTGTTAACAAAATATTGTGCAAGTTAAATTACTTAATCTAAAGAAAGTAATACGTTGATATTAGGTTTTGAACAGGTGGAAGAATATTATTAATTTTGGTGTTTTTTTTATGATAACTTAAATTGTTTAGTTATATGTCAGATATTTACCTATTTTTCGTAACCACTTCTAAAATAATATACAATTTATTATTTTTATTAGGTATAATAGCATATTACTCATTATTTAAAGATTAAATTAATCAGTTTTTTTTATAAACAACCGAATCCTTCAATATTCTTAAAAATAAAAATTAATTTGAAATTATTTTAATTTAAAGGATACATAATTTCAATGCTATATTATATTATGTTAGTTTTGGTGAGATACCTGTTTTATATTTTTTATTTGAACTGAACTAGTAATAAAAATAGATGAAAATTTGATATGAGCTTTACAGTCAAGTTTCTGATTCAGTGTGTACATGAACACTCTTGGGTAGTCTATAACAATACTTATGTCATTATTAATGCAATTTGATTGATTAACAATTAGAAAATTGTACTCTATTTTGTTGTTAATTTGTATTCTGAATCTTCCAACAAGGCGAGAAAGAAGTCAGGACTATCTTTATCGTTAGGTCCCCAGCAAAAGTGATTGAGATGGTACTGTAAATTATTGTATTACACACAATCTCATTTGGTACTTCTGTAGTAGAATAAAACTGATGAAACAGCATCATAGTCATTACAATTCATAAATAATGTACAATATAATATAATGTATAACAAATCATAGTATACTTCAATTGTAATAAGAAATGAATACCATAAGGAAACTAAAATAGTCTGTAATAAGTTTTATAACAGTAGTTAAATGTTACAATATAATATTGTTATAGTGCATACCAAATTCATACTAAAATAACAAAAATAAATGTGAAAATGTTTATAAATCCTTTTCTTTTGTTAAGCATTTTGTCTACATAATATTATTACATATTTTGTTTCTTTATTATTTAATATATTGGCTATTGTATTAAATTGTAGAATATAAATACAATGCTGTTGAATCCAATAACTGTTACCCTTTATTCAAATTATCGAGAGTTTAAGATTGTCAGGAGGTTAGATTATCGCAAATGCATTTACTATATTAGTTATTTTATTAAGTTGTAACTTTAGTAATTTCAAAATTTAAAATATTGTCTTAGAATTTTGGAATGTTCAATTAGTTTTTAAATAGCAGTAAAATTAAATATTAGGTTTTAAGCAATTATACTTAATTTAATTAAGTACGTATATTTTAATAAAAATTTATTTCACAGATAGATCAACAGCTCTTGCCTATGTACCAGCAGCAACTATAAGATCAATTGGTATAATTTTACCAAAAAGAATTCGTCCTAAACCACAAGTACCTGATAATTCACAGGATCTACAGAATCGGTCTGACAACAAAAGTCCAAGTCCAGAAATAATAGAAATTATTGAGGAATTTGCATCTGATAATAATACAGGTATATCAGTTTTTAAACATTCCATGCAAATTGGTTCATATTATATTTGGAACAAGTCAAGTTTACCGGACACCTGTTATTTTCCATTTTTTTTTTTTTAAATATGTGATTTTCAACACTTTCGGAACTGTTTAAATTTTGCATGCTGTTCTATAAAAAAAGTGAATATAAAACAACTAGGTATCTAAGCAAAAACTATAATTACAATGAACTTCAAACTTCTACAACTTCTTAAATAATGGTTTCTGCTAAAAATTCAAACAGTTTTGAAAAAAAAATAAAAAAAAAAAATTTGAAAATAAAGGGTGTGCAATAAACTAGACTTGTACCATATACTATTTTATTGACAACACAATTTAGACACTAAAACAACAAAATAATATATGTATATGTTTTTTTAATTTTGTGATTTATTCTTGTAATTATAATCAAGTTACATTCACATACAATATTTCATTTAAACTTAGTACAGGATACTATAGACCCATTGTTAGTTCTAGATTTTGAGAGGAGGTATACTATTTTATTGGTTTTACGAAGACAATGATATACATGCTGTTTTTAAACTACCAATTCATTGTTTTATGCAAACACATGGTGACACTCCACTGCGCTATTGTGAAAACTAAAAGGCATTATCTGATTGATCAAATGAACTTATCTAGATCTTACTACTTCCATTCAGTGTTGAGAAAAACTTGTCTGGCCCACCCTTTAGTTGGTTTATTTTTACAAAAATTAAATTTTATAGTTCGATATTACATAAACTTTTTTTGTTTACATTTATTTATTTGTTTGTTTTTAAGATTATATTTGGTCTCCTTACCGGTCTACACCTGATGATCATAAAGCCACTAAAAAGTTCATTGAGATTCTTTCAAATGAGACATATGCCGAAAAACTAAAAGATAAAATAACTCCGAAGTTTAAAATTTGGCAACAGATAAGCAATGAAATGAAAAATGCTGGTTTTCCAGTAGCAGAAAATGAAAAGGAAGGTGGCAAAAAATGTGACCAGAAATGGAGAAACTTGGAAAATAAGTATGCTCTTTATAATGCAAGTTCAAAAAATGGACAGCTTGCAAGAAAAAAACCTCCATATTATGATATGATATATGCTATCAAAAATAAGAATTTTAAAAAATCAATTCGTACTTTAGCTGAAGAAAATCAAAATAGAACTTCACCGATAAACCATCAAAATTGTGAAACTGTTGTTTTGTCAAATGAACACTGCCCGGTAAACCAACAAATTTGTGAAACTGTTGTTTTGTCAAATGAACAATCACCGGTAAACCAACAAAATTGTGAAACTGTTGTTTTGTCAAATGAACAATCACCGGTAAACCAACAAAATTGTGAAACTGTTATTTTGTCAGATGAACAATCACCGGTAAACCAACAAAATTGTGAAACTGTTGTTTTGTCAAGTGAACAAACTAACAATACTCACTGTGAACCAAAAACTTCATCAAATTCAAAAGATTCTGCATTGAGTCCATCAGAGTTATTGCAGCGTATAACAGTTCACCATGAAGAAATCCTTGATATGCAAAAAAGACATTTTGAAGAGATGAAAGCAAATCTGAAAAAACAAGATGATCAAAGAGAGGAAATGTTAAGAATGTTTGCCTCATTAGTAGAAGAGTCAAAAAGAAAACGTAAAAGGTCCGAATCTGATTAATTTTATTTAATCTGTATTATGATGTCTTAACTTTTGAACAAGTTTTTAAAAAAATAAAGCTTTTACTTATGTTCACATATATATACATATATATATATATACATATATATACATATATATATATATATATACATATATATATATTTATTTTATTTTAATTATTAAAATTTATTCATGGTACCTAAATTAATTTGTTTTCTTTCAATTTGTAATTGGATATGGTGTAACATAGTGACCCACCAGTTTCTGGTTGGCTTTTGTCTTCAACTTTGGATTGCCATTCTGAAAGCATTAGTAACCAACTTTGACTGAGATTGTTATTGTAAACAAATATAAATTACTATAAACTAATTATAAGGATTTTATTTACAAATTAAACAGTTTTATTTTCTCACCAATACATAGGATATTTTGATAAGTTCCTCAGTGCCACGTATTTCAAATAAAATTATGATAGTCACTGCTGTATGTTTATTTGTTATTGCTACCTATTAATCATTTCAAATTGACAAAAAATAATTTGTTCCCCTAATTAAACAATTCAACAATATAATAAATTTATAAAAATTATATAAAGTGGTCGTATTACGTAAAAATAATTTATTTAAATAGGAGTGATTACTTAAAATGAGATTATTAGACGGAAATATAATTTATTTGGTTATTATTTATTATTTAAAATTTATTGATATAAGTGATATAAGATATTATTTTTATAATCGGTTTTAAAATGTTATTAAAATTGTTTTTCTTTTTTCATTGTTCAAGTTAATTTTTCTAAAACTAAATTAATATAAATGCTATTTTGGGTATTTAATATTTCAAAGTCTGTATAAATATCAAAACTTATATTATGGTTATTTTCTAAAACATGTTTAACAAAATTTGAATTAGAGACTTTTAATTTTATTTTAAAAATGTGTTATTTATATCTTATTTTAAAATTTCTATTTGTCTTACCTATATAAAATATATTAAAGTTACATTTAAGTTTATATAAACCAGCATTTTTAAAAGAAGGGGGATTTTTTGTGAAGTTATATTGTTTATGTTTGATTAAATTATTATTAGTCTAAAAGTGATTTTTACATTATTTATATTGTTCAGAATTTTAGTGAATTTGTTAGTTATATTTTTATATTTAATACTACAATAGTTAACAACATTATTGAGTTGTGTTCTATTTTTCTTTAATATGTTTATGATTTTTTTTATAATAGTATTTAAATTTATATTATTCCTATGTGCTATATTATAGATAATATTGAGTTTATGTTGTTAATTATGTTTATTTAATAGAATATGTCAAGACTATAGAATATTGAATTAAAAAATTATATTTTTTTGAGAATAAGGGTGATTAGAATCATGTGGTATTATAGCATCAATTTGTGTGGGTTTCCTATAAATACTAAAGTCAAATTTATTTTTATTATGGAAACTGTAAGATTTAAGAAATTTAATTTATTATTTATTTGTATTTCGAGTATAAATTGAATGTTTTTATTTATTTTGTTTAAGTAGTTAGCTAAATTTTCTGTTTGTCTATTTGAACATCTAAATAAAATGAAAGTGACTTCAACACATCCATAATATGCTTTTATATATGGATTGTATATTTTGCTGTTAACAATATTATTGGTTTCATAATTTTGCATGTAAATTTCAGATAAAAGAGCACTTAAAGGTCCATCTATAATTAACCCTGCTCTTTGGGAATATAAGATTTTATTAATCTTTTTACAATTTCATCAATATTTACCTAATATTAAAAAAAAATCAACATTAGCATATTTATATAACATATAACCAATTATAAATTATGAACAAAATATTTTAAATTATAAAATATTTTTTCCTTTATTTTTTGAAAAAATATCTATCACTTCATCTTTGCCAACATGTTAATCTTGGTGACAATGAATGATTGCTAATCCAAAGTCTTTCTTGTAACATGTTGCACCGTAGCCAAGCTTTTATTCTTTTATGAGCGGAAAAATATAAGCTATACTGACTGTAAAACAAGCTAATATCACAATGACTGCATTGTTGTAAACATTCCTTTATCAACCATAACTAACCCTTTCACACGGCATATTTATTTATATATTTATTAATTAATATAGGTACAATAATGAGTAGTATTTAATACTAATTAATCAAAGTATGGTATGATTAATAAAAAATATTGATATTATATATTGTCTGATTGGTTAGCTAAGACAAATAAATATTATAAAAATTAAAAAAATACTAACTACAGAACTATGAGTATTTTTAGATTTAGAATATTTTTTTATGACTAGTTTCGACAACAGATCATTGCTATGAAATTATATAAAGAGGTAAAAGAAATTGATATATGATTTTTTCTCTACATTTTCTTTTGCTATAACTATGATTTAACGAATGTTCAGTCTGGTCACAAAATAAATACCTATAGAAGTGTAGCAAGGTAAAATTTAAGATTTTACTCAGTAAAAATATATATAAACATATGCCACAGACTACAGTGCAAGGGTGCCTTATAAATTATACCTACCTAATATTTTATCTAAATATCTAAACAAATTATTCAAACAAAAATATATGGTCATATTTTAAATTTTTGATAAAGCAAAAATAAAAAGCTATCCTCTGATAATGGGGTCAGGTGCATCCCGTGTTACAGGAAGGTAGTTTATAGACGGGAATCAATGATTATCCATTGATAACAAAAAAACGATTCTAAGCGGAGTTCGGTAAATAGTGTTGCTTTGTATTCAATATATGTTATATTTTGGTGAAATAATTATATATGCATTAAACATTATCTTTAATAATATTTGTTTAATATTATGCCTATTTTCCCAGATTTTACCAAGTTTTTCCCATTTACTGGGAAAAATCAAAAATGACCTTCCTAAAGTACCATCTCGATTAGATTTTTTTTAGAAAGTGCTATCGCTGTAAATCCAAGCAAAATTTATTACTGCCAGAAAAGTTGTCCACAGAAAAAAATAAACATTATTGTAAAACCATGAGCTTTTTCGCTCTACTAAGAATCTAAAATTTGATGAAATGAAATTGACTATCGATTATCAAATACTCAAGACACTCAAGTAGACATAATACAAATAAAAATATATGTAAAAAAAATTTAGGAATATTTTGATTTTAATGATAACAGATTACGATAATATTATATCAATCGAAAAAACTAGTAAAAAGTCTCAATTATTATGGTATGTAATGGACATGGTAACATTTTTTTAAAAATTTATCTAACATAATTATTTGATTACGACAAAACACGACGTATTGTAAATTGTACGGCTGATGTACTATAATTGATTACAATATGGTCCAATGGGCGCGCATATAGTTGGTAATAAAACCATAGAACATTTTATTATGACGGTGTCAGGTGTGGTGATATCGTTATAGATTATCTTTCTGTCTCGTAATCTCATAAAAACCATTATTATATTTGATGTACACAAAGTTAAGATAATAATATACGTCCAATTATTATTCTACGTGCTTTCGTGTAGGTAGGTTCGTGTTGTTTATGTCATCGTTGCAATTAATTACGTACCTATTCATATTTTGCTAAATATCTAATTTATTGTATCGGTTTTAATTGTGGTTAATTAGTTCGTTTATCTTATGACTAGTGATGCGATGAACAAAAACGACCGAAATAGCTGGTAGTGTCAGGTAGGTAAGTGAATAGTTCCTATGCTAACCTTGTAGTTGTTTAATCGTACTTTTTAGTTACATTTTTATTACTTGGGTAATAGGTATGGGCTATTACTGTTGATCTTTGGGTGATACTTAAGTACCATTATTGTTCGACGTTCGTTTTGTGAAATTTAGAACAATCACCCTAGAGTTCAGTAGAGCACTTAAGATTATTCACGTGATTGGCTTGTTTCGCGTTCTCTTCTTTTCATTTTTTAACAAAGTATTATTTAATATTTAGTGTACAATAGTAATATCCAGACAATAAAAAAGTAATTAAAATACTAAAATTATTTTAAACACTTATTATTATTTGTAAATAGATGTATATTTAATCTTGAAAAATAATATTTTTTAAATAATTATAATACAAACAGATACAATATTTAAATCCAAATAATAAATCAATTGATAATAGGTAAGTTCATAGCTACAGGCTAATAATATACAATTAAACGATAGTTAAAAAAAGTTTATTGATTTTGTATGATCTGCAGCTATTTTGTTTTATAATTGTATTATATGTTAGTAACACGAATACTCAATGTAAACTGGACTTGTCCCGTAATTTATAATAAAATAAAATAAAATAATTAAATAATTATTATTTTTTATTTTGATCATAAAATCGATACAATGTGTAAGTTGTATATAAATTATAAAATAATTTTAATTAATGTAGAAAAAACATAAAAAAAAAAAAGATAAAATCTACTATTCATATATTATATATACCTAGGTACCTTTGGTTTTTTTCACACAAAATTAATGTATTTTTTAGCTGACTAGTCTACTATTGAATGGTGCAGTTAGTATTAAAAATGTTAAGACAGTGAACTAAAGTTAGTGTGTTATTTTTTATATTATAATTTTTAAATAAATGGAAATTAAAATTAAAAATAAACAAAGGTAACATCAAAATTGCTTTTCAAGTTTTTTTATACACACACACAAAAAAAAAGCCAAAACCATAATCAATGGAAATGTCCTAAAGCTCCTCCCAAAAATATTTTGCCAATTTTAGTACCAATTTGGATTTAAATAGTCCCAAATTAATACGCAAGTATAGTCTTTTGATAAATGAAATTTTGATAGGTAATCGCCAAAGAATAAAATATTACATGAAAGAACAAGCAAAAACATCTACAAAATTAACAGGTTAAATTTTTTCTGAAACAATAATGAATCAGGCGAAAGAGGTACTATACCAATTACCATATGATAGTTCAATAAAACAAACTAATTGATTTATTTTCCATTCCCCAATTAAACAGTTCCCTCAATAACTTTTCTAATTAAAAAAAAAAAATAATTTAATTAATAAATATTTTTTTTTTTTGAATAACTGGTTAAAAATAATACTTCAACAAAGACTTCAAAATTTCATAAATTATTTTATCCATTAGGTATTGATTATATACAATGAGTGTAAAAAGTAATCACACAACCTAAATTTTTAAATAAATATACATCTTTCTCCTTGACTTTATTTTTATTTTTTTAAACCAACTCTTATAAATTATTCTTTTAAGATTTTTAAATGTATTAAAAAAAAAACCATGACAGTAGTTATAATATCAATAATATTCGTATACTAAATAGTTTTATCAAAAGAAAATTATTTAATTATTTCATAGCCCTGTTTAGTACTTTGTAGGGTTGGACCTTATTATTGCCTCCAGTCTTCTAGACATGCAATCAATCATATGTGATTTCTGTTGTGATTTGATTCCATTGTTCCTTTCTTGATATATTGTGTTTATACATTTTTCTGTCCAAATGATCCCTTAAATTTTCTTGCAGTATGCTTGGGATCATTATCCTGTGTAAATACATAATGATCTTGGAAGCCCATTTTTTTTCAACACTAGTTGAAAGATTTGTCTTCACAAAGATGTATGAATACTTTTTATATTCACTGTATATCCATTTAAATTATTATTAATATTTAAATTATTTCATGTTGACATTAAAAAATTTGAAATATTGGTTTTTATAAACAATAGTTTAAACAATTTGTATAATTACCTATAAGAAAAAAAATGTTTTATTTTAGATACTAAATTGTTTTTGAATAATTTATGTTTATTTATTTTGTATATCAATTATAAATTATCTATTTATCATTTTAATTAATTTTCTAGAATTAAAATTTACTACTTTTATTAAAAGAATATAAAACTTATTATCATAATAAAAAAACATCACCTATTATATATGATATAAATATTTGTTTTAAGAAATTAAACATTTTAAGTTGTCTTGACTAGGCCTAACTATTTAAAGAATAATAACACAAATTAAACATCAAACCACATTTTTTTGTGGCATAGACATCATGTAGGTATTTTTTAATAGGTAAATATTAAATATATTAAATTTCATTATGAAAAATAGTAAAATGTATAATTTATGATTGTGTCCTCATTAGATAGTGATTCAAAAAACCTTTTATTTAAAATCAAATGTAAGATTGTAGTTTTTGTTTTGAATTTTATTTACCAGTATTTATTTTAAATATTTAGAGATATTATGAAACATTATTAGAGAAACAAAAGTCTAGAAGGTTTAGTTAGAAAAAAGGAAGTGTGGTGGTAGGTTATGAGAAAAAGAAAAAAAAGTTGTAGAGTAGGTAATAATAGAAGTGTATAAAATGTTGGGTTTTGTAGTAGGTGCTTATATTTTAAGACAAGGAAGATATACGAGAGTATGGAAATTTGAGTAAAAGATCATAAAAAAAAGGATTAGTAGTGAGACATCTTAGATATAGATCTAAGAATCCATTTGTTTAGTTTTATATCAGGAAAATAATGGGCGATTCATTTTAGTGAGTACACTCATTATCTCAAAAGGTATTTACTTTTTCCGAAATTTGTTTTCCAGAACATTTAAGAAAAGGGCTGTTCTAGAATTTTATATGTATATTATTTTTTGTCACTTTTATTTTTAAGGGTAAAACCACTACTTACTTTTGATTTTCAAATAGAAACTTATATTAAAAATTGCATAAATAGATGGAGTGTTAGTTGGAATAAATTTAAGTGTTGACATTATTGATTTCCGTCAATCCGTTAACGAGATATTTCACTTTTAAGTTTGGGTTGAAGGAGAGTAGTGGAGTATCATTACTACTCTCCTCCAACCTAAAATTAAAAGTGGAATATCTCATCAACGGTTTGACAGAAATAAAAAATTTCAACTCTCAAATTTATTTTAACTAATATTACTAACTAATTTAACTTTAATTTATTTGTGGACTTTTTAATATAGGTTGCCATGTGAAAATCAAAAGTAGGTAGTCGTTTAACTCCAAATATAAGGGTTGCAAAAAATAACATAGATATAAAATTGTAGAGTTGCTTGTTTTTGAAATGTTCTAGAAAACAAATTCCGAAAAAAGTTTATACTTTCCGAGATAATGAGTGTACTTATTTAAATAAATCATCTGGTAGATGATACAGCTAGTGTTTTGTGTGAGGAAGAGAGTAAAAATGTATAGAGAAGGAAAGTAAAATGCCTTTTATAGACTTCAATAAGGCATATGACAGAGTTCATAGAAAATGTCTGATGTAGGTGTTAACAAGAAAAGAAATAATGAAATAATATATTGGTTTGATAGAGGATATGAAGGTTCAAATACGAGTGTCAAAAGCATTTGTGAAATAATGGGAAAGATTAAGGGGTTAGAGTAGATGTTTATCAATATTCGTTTTGAGTCCTTATCTGTTTTCTGCTCTAATAATTATTGAAGTCCTAAATTTATTACAAGGCGAGGTACCATGGTGCTTATGTGTGCAGATGATATAGTTTTAATAGAAGAAGAATGCCTGGAAGAAGTTAACAATATGATTGTAGAATGGCAAGTAGCACTTTAAGGAAAGTGACTGATGATTAATTAAAACAAAAATATATTAAACGAAACGTATTTTAAATAAATTGTAAAACAGCCGAAAATAAATCATCTGAATTGAAAACAACTATAAGTACCATGCAGATAGTGATAAGAGATGATTAGATAAGGAAGATATGAGTGACTTCTATAGTAGATAAAATGACAGAAAATAGACAGAGATGGTTTGAGCATATCATGAGGAGAGAGGAATCTGAAGAAATAAGATTGGTAATGAAAAGGGGGGAAGAGGAAAAAATAAAACAGAAAAAGAGGTGGTTGGATACAATTGAGAATATGGAGACTGAGTATGTGAGGATGATGTGAGTGATCGGATGAACTGGAAGTTAAGTATGAGGGTACCCAACCCCAGATGTTGAAGAAGATTGGATCTTAGATTGTTTTATACTGCTTAAACTGACATACATTGGTGTCTTTATTTTATATATTAAAACATCTATTAGTTTATTTAGTTTAGTCAATGTTTAGATAGGTCACAGACTCACAGGTTATATTACTATTTCAAAATACATTTTTTTTAAATAATATATTTATAATATATTATAATTGTTTTTTTAATTTTACTTAATGATTATAATATAATTAAGTATTGTAGATTTTTATTAGACATGATAAATCAATATACCTGAAAAATATCACCTAATTATTAAAAAAATTGACAATACAACTAATTATTTTTTAAACAAAAAATTTTTTTTTATAAACTGTATTTTATATAATATTGTTTATTTCTTTTTAAAAATTATGACTATTTGGTTTTAGAAAACTAATACAGTAAGATAAGTTACTGATATGGCCGGTGGAACTAGTTTAGTGGTTCCTATAGTTTTGTGGGGTAAAACACCATTGACACATTGTATTTCATGTGTTTATTTATCACCAGATCAACGAACACTTGTGACTGGTTGTTATGATGGACAAATATGTCTTTGGACAGTGTCCCCAGAAACTTTAAAGGTTTGTGTGTATATGTTTGTTTATAATAACAATGTTAATATGTATCTTTAAATGATTTAATATTTATTATTAATAGATGACGCCCAGATGTTTGCTTGTGGGTCATACTGCTCCAGTTCTTTGCTTAGCACATGCCAGTATTATTGCTGATAATGCATTCTTTGTCAGTTCTTCGGAAAATGGGTAAGTATATTGTATAAAGTATATAAGTATAAAGTTGAATAGTTAATATTCACCTTAGTTCTTATTAAATCTAATATTAGAATATGCACCCATTAAATTAGTTTTTTATAAATAAAATTAGATCTGACACAAAAAAAAAATACTATTGGATAAAATTTTTATACTTATACAGCTTAAATAATAATGTTTGCAGCTTTGCAAAATAATATAATATTTTGAAAGTATATAAATATATACAATATACATATATATGTATATTTTTTTTTTCAATAATAATCATTTTGAATGTACAAAGAGATATAAAAATTCTATTATAAAAAAAAAAAACGTTTTTTGTTAGCAATGGTTTATTGTTGCTTACAGGTATACATTAAATTACTTATAACAATAGCTGTACCCAACCCCATTATTCTAGGATGTGTTTTTTTTCTTGTTGTGTTTATTATTAATTTATCATAACTAACTACTTATAATAATATTTTTATAAAGTGGTAATTTTAATTTAATAATTTATTTAAAATATACAAATTTAATATATGATATATATACAAAATTATGTATATTATCATATTAGACATTTTTAGATTAATAGTAATTTCAAGGCCATTAGTGTTTATTTATTTGATAATTTTTTAAATAAAAATCATATATCCTTATGTATATATAAAAAAGGCCTTTTAAATTCAAAGCAAATTTAAAAGAAAGTTTATGGTTTTACAAATATATTTATTTATTTTTTTTTTTTTCTTGTGGATAACTTCTTTGTCAGCAATTTTGCTCCAACTTATAATGATAGCAATGTTTCTAAAAGAAAATTACCCTAGAAAAGTACTTTAGAGAGGTCATGTCTCAAGATTTTCCAGTAAATTTGAAAAACCAAGAAAAACATGGAAAAACCTGGAAAAATGTAGGAAAACTGGGAAAATTGGTACAACATTAAACAAATATTATTAAAGAAAATATATAAAGCCTATTTAATTATTTCACTATAAAATGACATATATATTGTTAACGAAAAACATCACTCTGTTCAGAAACTTTTTTTGTTAGAGATGGTTTATCGTTACTTTCAGGTATACATTAAATTATCTATAACAGTGGCTGCACCTGTACTCATTATCATAGGATGTCTTTTATATAGAGAGATTATGGGAAAATGATTACAACAGTGTGCTTTTCCATGATCTTATTTTTAGTTTTTTAACTGTTTTTTAACCCAAAGAACCAGGTTTTCTTCATTATCTCGAATATTAATGAGAATTTCAAAAAATGACCTTTTTAAATTTCCATCCAGAGAATATTTTTTTCCGGAGAAGGTGCTATACCCGATAATTTGAGTAAACTTTCTGATAGGAAAAGTGTTCACATAAAAAAATAAATAAACATTATTGTAAAAGCAATACATTCCTTGTTTAGTATTTAAAAACAGTAAACAGAATAGATCCTCACACTCTGAATCTAAAAGAGCAGTATATAAATTAAATTTTTTTGTTTTAGTGAAATGAGTACTTGGGATATAGTGGATGGTAAATGCAAAGAAATTACCAAATCAATATACATCCACACAAATATTCAGGTGAGTAACATTTTTTTTTATATTTAATTAATTAATTTACTCTTTTAAATTTTGATGTTTTAAATTTATTTGTATAGGCTTATCATATGGTAGGCACTGAAGATATTCGTTTGTTCTGTAATGGTTATTATGCTGAAGTTGTTATAATGAATCCTTTTACACTAGAAATTATTTTTTCATTATCATCGCGAGTTAATCCTGATTGGATAAGTGCTTTATATGTATTGAAACCTCATACATGTAAAGGTAACTAATTAACAATAATAACTGTTTTTGCATAAATATGTATGAATTATATAAATATGAAGAATAATTTTGTATTATTTCTAAATTAAGATGATGTAGTGTTGGGATTGACTACAACTGGTACAGTGAAAGTGTGGACTTTGGAACAAAGAGATTATGGACCCACAGATGCCCCAGTATATGAAAATGAAAGTAAACAAATCAGATGTTTAAATGCTTTAACTATGGCGTGTTGTAGTCAACATCAAAGAACTGTGTTAATTGTGTGTTCCAAATGTTGGCAGGTTGTTAATTTATATCATTTAATAGTGAAACTGATAATTATAATATTTGCATTACATGATTTATTAAATTTAACTTATTTCATTTCTAGATTTATGATGCTGGTGACTTCTCAGCTTTGTGCACTGTTTATGCTCCTCGAGGGGAACGTTGGTTGGGAGGAGAATTTTTAGCTCCTGATAGAGTTCTTATATGGACAGATGATGGGAAAGGCTATCTATACAAATTACCTGCGAAGTAGATATTACACAATTTTAATGTTATATGTTTTCAATTATCTATTTATAAAATTTAATTAATTTTTGTATTCTTTTTTTTTATATCCTACAGTAGTATTGTAGAAAACAAAAATTTCCATAAGCAATCGGAAGATGGGGATGAACCATATTTGTATAGTATATTGTCTGTGACTTCAAACACGGTATTTTTAAAATTTAATTTTTATTGCTATTGAATTAAACCATATAGTTTACAAAGAGCTAAAATGTTAGGAGTTATTTTAAACTGAAAAAAATATTCTTTATATAAAAGATCAAAATAAAATTGTATGTAAATATACTATTTACACAACAATTTTCAAGATTAAAACACTCTAGAATTTTTTAATTACCTTGTTCATCAACAAGTACATATATTACAGCATACAATAATTATTATATTTTTTTTTCATGTTCTAGCATCTTTACTGTTCTCCAGCTATCAGGTTTTATGAGTCTCTTCAACATGGAAAAATTTTGATTAGAGGGGATTCAGAAGGAGCTGTAAATATATGGAAAATTCCTGAACTATCTCCTGCACAATTATCTTTTATAAAAGAAAATGATTCTCATAAAAAATTATCTGGTTAATATTTAAATTTTTATTGAATATATCAAGTGTATTATTATACTATTTAGGTTTTAATTCTGTTAAATATTAGGTATAGGTATTTATTTTTTATATTATATTATTATTTATAATAATTTACTAAACAACATATCTTAATACTGTTTTATAATATAGGTCTATCTCCATTTGTATCTACAAGTTTGTCTAAAGCATGGGAAACTATGAAACCTCATCCTGTTGGAATACTTAACCAATTGGTATGTTAATCATTATTTATCTGTGTGATTAACAATTTATTATAATTCAAGTATAAATAACTGCATTAGTTTTATTATGTACTTGATATTCACTTTTTCTATGAACAATTTCAGGATTGTGAAAATGTACCCAATATTAAGTTGACAGCTAGTATTTATTTGGCAGGTCAAAGTCGATTGGTAATTGGCCGCCAAGACGGTTCTATTGTTATCATTCCAGCTACTCAAACAGTTATGTTGCAATTATTGCATGGAAATCATCAACATTATAAAGGTTTTGTTAATATAAATAAATTAAGTAGATAATAAAAACTGACATTTTTTGTCATTGTTAAGTTGTACTAAACATCACCTTGATAAGTTATTTATCAGGGTGTTTTAACAACATACCATATGTTTAAAATATTTGAACTAAATCACTTATTTACTTATTTATTGATATAGATTGGCCTCCACATCAGATTTTAATGGGTCATAATGGTCGTGTAAATTGTTTATTATATCCACATCATATACATTCAAGATATGACAAATCCCATTTATTATCTGGAGGAGTAGATTTTGCTATTTGTTTATGGGATTTATATGCTGGAACACTCCTTCACAGATTTTGTGTTCATGCTGGGGAAATTACACAACTTTTAGTTCCACCAAATACGTGCGCTAATGTTGGTATTTTTATTTTTAGTTTTTTAATCATCAATTCAATTAATAATAGTTTTATTTTATTAAATTAATAGCCTAGAATATTAAAATGCATATGTTCAGTGGCCAGTGACCATTCTGTTACTTTATTAAGCTTGTCTGAACGAAAATGCATAGTTTTGGCATCCCGGCATTTATTTCCAGTTGTTACAATTAAATGGAGACCTTTAGATGATTTCATGATTGTTGGTTGTTCAGATGCTACTGTTTATGTCTGGCAAATGGAAACTGGTATTTGTTAAAATTATTTGTATTAAACTCTGAGTTAGTGTTTAGCTCTATACAATAAATATTTAGGTCATTTGGATCGTGTATTACATGGAATAAGTGGAGAACAAGTTTTATATGCATGTGATGAAAATACAACCATATCTAGTTCAGTAGATTCAGGACTTGCAAATCCTGCTGTACATTTTTTTAGAGGAATACGCCATCGTAATATTAGTGCCATTAAGCATGCAACTCAGGTTAGTAAATAAATTTAAAAACTTAATATTGTATTATTAAATTATTTGTTGAACAATTGTATGTGCAGAGAGGAATTCATCAATTACAACAATTGCATCATTCAACTCATGCAGATGGTATAGATAATAGCAAAACAAGGGCTTATCCATTAATGGTACAAGGACTCCGGACAAATCCTAATGATCCAGAATGCCATATACTATGTTTTGATATTGAAGCTCTTGTTGGTGAGTTTATTATATTGAATATTACTTATATAGTATATAAAATTATCATAACAAATTTAGATCTTCTCTATTATTAAAATAAATTATTTTCATTTTAGTGCAACTTTTGAGTGAAGAATATGGATTAATGTCACCAAAAACTATGGAAGCACAGGGTCTAATAAATGCAACAGAATATCAAAAAACAGCTGCATTAACTCAGTCTGTATCATCTGATGCCCATAAAAAGATTGCAGGTATAAGAAGTTGATAGTTTGGTTTTTTTAATAAATTATATATTTTCTGAAGACATTTTAAAGAACTGTGAACAGCAGTGGTAAATGGTGCACACAAAGAGGTGGGGGTTTGAGGATTCAACCCCCCCTCAGAAATATCTTTCTTTATTACATTTTTAAATCAAGTTTTACATTCAACAACATAATATCTTATACCACAAAATAAAATAAAATAAATTTCATTAAAAATCATTTATATTTAACAATAGATATAGTACTGACTTTTAAATATGTGCTATCTCATTAGAAAATTATTACAAATAAAACCCTGCAAAAAATTTCTGCAGTGTGCTACTGACTGTATATATATTTATTTTATTTTTTGGTATATCAATAATTTTGGTTTCTTAGTATTTGGTGATGATAAAATCTTTAGAAATAGACTCCCAAAGTAAAAATTTTAAATTTACAGTAATGTTCTTAAACAATTGTTTTCACTGATATACTTTGGTTCTTGATGAAAATACATAAGTGGAAAACAGATAAATTTATAATATGATAAAAAAATTTAAAAAAATTTTTTATTGACAATTAGAATTAAAATTAAAATTTATCATAAAGTTATAAAATAAAAAATATATTATAGAACATACTATAAAAATATGTTATTTTAAAAAGTTGTTTAAAAATGAAACCCTTCGTCTGAAATTTACTTCTCTCCAATAAATAAAAATATATATAAATTATTTTCAATTACTTTATGTGAGCATGCAATTTATTATGTTAAATAAAGTAGTAATACTTTATTATAACATCTATTTTGGAAAACTTTCAAAAATTTAAACTCTTATTTGATTAACCATGTTCAAAATATGTGTAATTTGTTGTTGAAACTGAATATGTAATTTAGATTATTAGGATTAAGTCTCTGAACAGATTATTTATCAACTAGATATTTTTTTAAATTTTCTTTAAATCTCTAAATATTAATAAAACCATTCTGTATTTTTTCTGTCTATTACTTATAATAATTTAAATTTACTTTTATGAAAGTATATTTCACACAATTTAGTACTTTACACTACATAATTACCCAAGATTCAATGCTGGGTAATAATAACGAGTTAAAAAGTCAATTTAATTTAAACTTTTTAAGTTAACTTGTTACTTTTGGGTTTCTGTTAACTTAACTACTTACTTAACTTAATTTTCTATTAATTAACATGATATCAATGAATTAAATTAGTTGTATAATTAATAAGTTAAGTTATTTTTAATTTTTTAGATTTAGATCGAAGTAAAATAATGTATTGGTTTTTTTTCTAATCAATTTTGTATTGAAAAATATTTTAGTTAATTTTTCCTGTGAATATTGTTTAAATTTTAAAATTTAAAATAACTTACCATAAATAAAATGATTGAAAATCAGTAATCAAAAACACAGTGATCAAAATAGACTCCTTTTATTATTTTTAAAAACTGACCTTAGTAGAAAATTGTGATCTTGTATCATTAATTAGAAGTGTTTTTATAAACTATTACTCTACAGTCCAAAGGTCATATTGATTTTGGTTTATGATTTACTTATTTTACTACTGAATATTTGGCTGCGTAGAACTGCTTCTCAATAAAACCTTTTAGGATGAATTGAGTCCCTTGAAATTTTAGTTATATTGCTAACTGAGTCCTGTTAAATTAAAAAAAAAATATCACAAATACACTTTTTATATTGGTAAAAATGTATTATAATATCAATAATTTAAATGTTACTTATGTATAATTAAATTAATAGAGGTTATAAAATTATATTTTTCATATTGGTAAAAATGTATGTAATAAACATTGTATATATACAAAAGGTGTTCAAATATTGGCTGCATATGAACTGTGATTATATTATCTGATGAAGGTCCTGAAAGATGATAATATGACCAATATCACGTAGTTATCTCTATATTGGTTATTTATTTATATAATCTCTATTTATTGGTATATTATGGTTAATTTTATATTTTACACAAAATAATCCTTGGACTCAATTAGTATATTTTGGTTTCCCAACCACCACTTAGTATATTACATTTTCCCATTCAGGTATTGAGATGAAATTAGTATACAACAGAATATTTCACGTAAAATAAGGGTGTGTATTTTCAAGTTTTATATGTAATAAATATATAATATTATTTTTTTAATATTTATATTACATTATATTATATTTATACTGATTTATAAATTATTATTCCAAACCTAAATTTTAATATATATATATATATTTATCAAATATATTCATATGCACATTGATAATATTATATCTATATTTATATTGCATTACAATACCATAAAATTATTGTGTATTCCAATAATATGTAAAATAAGTGAGCAATCGAGTTTGTATAATGCTACTTAGTAGATAGTAACCAATACTCCAGTAGGTACTATGTAGCCATAGTTTGTACCAGTACCTAATAATTACTATTACATATTTGGATATTAAAAAATTTAAAATTTAAAATAAAGTAATAGACATATGTTATACTTATTATTATAATATATATATTTAAAGAAAAAAAAGTAAATAATTTTCCCCCCAAAAAAACACAAAAACAAAAAAATCAAGCCCTATAGTTGCCAATAGTATCTGTATGTAAAGCTTGAATAAATAATACAACTTCAATACATTTTATCTTTTAATACATTATTATTTATTATTAACTGGATAGGTTTATGCCATACCTATCTAATTGGATATACCATATTAAATCCACTGCTATATTATTTAACTCTTTGATCTTTCAGACTTGGAATTAAATTTTTTTTTCATTTATTAATATTTAATAATGGGGATTTTTTCAAGTTTGAGTTTTCCCCAGTAGAAGAAATCAGGCATTTACCAAGTCAAACAAATATTATTGGGTAATATTAATTTTTGGGAAGAATTGTATGATTCATACTTGTTGATTACACTTTTATCTTGGGAGGAAAAAATATCTGATTTTCAAAACCATATTTTCAACTTAAAATTATACATTTACTGTCAAAAACAATCATAAATGTCATATCAATATTTTTCAAGGGTTTTATGGTGAAACTTAAAGTGATACAAGTTGTCATTAATTTTATGATTTTTGTATACTACATAATCTATGGATGCACATTGCACAATATGCACTTTTAATAACATATACCTATATTAAATGGTGATAAATAATACATAAAAGAATATCCTCCTTACGAACATTAGATTTGAAAGGGTTAAGCGAAGAAAAACTTCAATGCTCTCTAATATATAGAAAAACTGTATAAACATTAAACACTATACAGTTCTAATTTGGTAAATAATATAGAAGGCTGGTATTTAAAAAAAAAAAAAACCAAGTATAATTTAAATTATTAATAAGTTAAATAAATTGTATTCAGTTTAACTTATAATATTAAAATTACTAGAATTAAATTAACTTTTAACTTTTTTCATTTATGCCCAAGTTAAAAAAAGGCCTTCAACTTGCCCAGTTTTTTGCTAAGATTATTATTTATTTTTCTATGATAATCTAGGTTTTTAATTTGAGAACATATGATATTTTTATTTCAAAATCGGTATAGTTTATATTGTGATGTATTACATTCATATCATGTTATTTATTTTTGTTGTATATTAATAATGTTTAAATATCTTATGCTTGCTTACTTTGGGAAAAGACTTTTTTGGCAAAGTTAAAGATAAAGCAGGCGATATGGAACGCATTTTGAAAGAAAAAGATAAACATGGTAACTAAGCATGTCTGAAGTGTGCATGTTTTTATTATACACACATATAACAATTATTTAGAAATATTATTAGATTTGTTTAAACTAAATATGTAATACAATTGAATTAGTAATTTTAAAAGGCTTTGACCCTTTCTTCCTATGGTTATGACAGGCCAAATTTGGTATAGATTTGTTACTGCAATATGCATGTAGTTACATATAGTTTTGAGCAAAGAAATTATTGTTATTAATTGCAAGAATAAATGTGGGATTTGAAATATTTAAGTGGTAAAATGTCATGGTGTGTAGTGTAATGATTTAGATTTTGAAGTATATTATTATAGTTGTATTATTGTTTTTGAAGTTTTGTAGAAATTGTGCCGATTAATGATTTATGTTGTTTTTGAAATGACTAATTTAATTTTTCATAGTAAATTTATGAAAAGATTAGAATAATTGTGATGTAATTTTAATATTTATATAAAAATATAGATTTATTTGTATTAAAATAAGTTTATAAATTCTTAATATTTATCAAACTTTATAAAATAAACAAAATAAAGTAAAATTAAAATTTTAAATATTTAAATATTTTTTTTTTTTTTATCGATTTTTAATTACAGTTTAGATGTAAAATACTTAGATTTAATTCGCTTTATATTTGTCTGTATTATTTTTATTTAGAAAAATATTTTTCATACAATTTTTAATTTTTATATTCTGTGTTAACTAATAGTTTATATTTGTATATTTGTATAGGAATTTTACCTAAAAGAAAAGATGGTTCAGAAAATATATTATCAAAACTTCAGTCTGTAATAGATGGTTTTGATAGTAGCAAGTCTACTGATAAAGGTACTTATTGAGATATTAAACTATTGCATTATTTTTAATATATTTCATTGGTTATTAGTTGGAAAGGGTAGTCATAAGTGTCAAAATTAATAAAATGTATGTTATAAATTAATTATAATGGTTTTATTAGTATCATTAACAATGTGAAACTAATTAAGTAATATAGATAACTATTTTTATTTTAAAATAATATTTATTATGAATAATCATTTACACATAAATTAGGTTTTAAAACCTTTAATATTTGAATAAATAAAACAAATTTAAATTATGAAACTTATTTATTAATGATATGATCTACCATATTACCTAGTTAACATAACAATACAATTGTTCAACATATAAATACAAATTGTAATATTTTTATTTTTTAATATTATTATACCTTGCTTGTATGAACTATTATTATAATAGTAATTTACAATTGATCCCTAAATTACTATTTAACCTACTAGAGCATTAATAATACTATTTATATTAGACATGACAATATAAAACATACATTTTAACAAACAACAGTATATTAAATGGTTTGCTGAACTAAAAAGGTTAAGAACCACTTTTTAAAAGCAGTTGAACTTAAGTCATAAATGTAAAATACTATATTTAAACTTATAATGGTTTTAAAATTACAAATAACTTAAAGCCATAAGTAAACATTGAAGTAATCATATTTGAATTATTCTGATTTCTTATTGCAATCCTTTTTATAATCATTGCATATTTTTAATTATTATTTACTAAGAAATTATACATGTGTTTAATATTTATACAATTTTTATTAAATATAGGTTTAAATCTTAGTGGTGTAGTTTGTCGTAAAGTGTGTGGTGCAAATTTAACAATGGAAATTGCCCAGTTGTTGATGTCATTATTGTATGCATGGGGTTTGGATTTTGAAATAGACAAAATTTGTGAAAACAAACTTGGTTTATTACGTCCCATGATTCCAGTTTCATTTGGTGTTATATCAAAAGGCGGTAAGTTTACTCATCTAAAACAATAAAAAATAATGATTAATATTGTGCAAGGTAAACATTTTTAGGTTTTATGAGCTTATTGCTACCTACATGGCAAAGTAACATTGATCTTGAAGATAGTTTTGTGAAGACTGGTAAGAGTCCTCTGATGGATTTGCCTCCAGAAATGGTTCACTTGGAACTGTTGACTAGACTTTTTACAGCAAAAACTCATTGGGAAATTAGTACTACTGTTACAAGTCAACATTTATTAGCTATTGTGGCAATTGCTAATACTCTGATGTCAATGAGTGCCCCTTGTTTCCTTGAAAGTGCATTTTCAAGGTAGTATTATGTTTCTGAGCATATTTAAAAAAGATATATAAATAAATAATTAATATGTAGAAATAAATAAATAAATTAATGAATGCGGTGTCTGAAGTATTATGATATGTGTATAGTACAGGTTTTGAATTAAAAATTAATCATAAAGTCAAAAAGTAAAACAGGATTGAATATGAAAAAATGAAGGAATATATAGAAAAAAAAGTACACAAATTGGTCTTTTTATATAAAATTAATTTTTTTACTTATGTCTACACATAAATTATTTATTTATTTATTTAAGTGTATTAATTATTTAATAATTTTGTTTTTATTTTATAATTTAAAAAAAGACTGCTCAATTTTAATAGTTAAAGTAGGAAAAAGTTTATGCACAATGACTATATCACAGGGTGTAAAATAAATTCATATTTATATTCTCTTCATAATTTCAGTATATGCTTGTAATATTCTCTTAACATCAAAATATATACTTATTTACAAAAAAAATTTAATGAATAAAAATTAACAAAATCAATAACATTATTAAAGTAACTATAAACTGATTTTTATAGATTATTATCAGCATTTCATTAAATTGACTCTCAGCAGTTACAAAATATAAAAAATAATTGTTATTTTAATACACTTCGAATTCAAACCGACAACACGTTATCATTGAAAGAAAACATGTGATAATTTACGCGGCAACAAAATATTATCAATTATTCGGGTTATAGGTAGTTTGTTGTCCGATAATGATAACTACAGAAGTGGCCAAAAGTCGCGCGACAGTCGCCGTCTGACTGTTGGTATGTAATTACGACTGGTTTCCAACGCGCGACTGAACATTATCGTGGCGACCGGCGACAATATCGGTCCGAGAGTAGTGTATTGCAACTGTCGCGCGCGACCATTGATTTATTTCATTCATAATCTAGGTCTTGGTAGTGTATTTCGACTGTCCCGTACAGCAATATGGCTAAATTGCATTTTTCGGGAGAAGAAGAACAACTGATCGAAATGGTTTTTATTAATACGAAAAAATTTTAGAAATTTTGTTTAATTTCGTATTAAATGTCTATTTATTAAAATTTATAAATATCCTTCACTTTTTCTATCAAGAAAAAGAACATCAACTTTTTCTCTCTGATCGCATTGTGTTGTAATTAATAAATCATCATCCTCTTGCTCTTCTTCAAGAAGAAGTAGCATTATTTTATTATTATTATTAATAATTGTATTCATACTCATAGTAGTAAATATACAATTTAACTTTAAAATACTAGCCCTCACTGCACGAAAACCACAATGATACAGAATTTGACAGCTTTCTTTATGTCACCGGAGACAGGTCTAGGCGACCAGCTGTGCCTAGGAAACCATACCTTCAGTTACCATACCTAAGTTTCTCCCTCTACATGATGGTGGATCCACACAATACTTTCAGACATAAATGAAATAACCTTATTTATCCTACCTTTCCAACTTCTCACCTATAACAGTGGCCGCTCCCATTTCCAGTATTAGCTCTTTTGTTTCATTTTTACATGTAACATGAGTGCTAACTTTTAATATTTTCAAAAGCAATGTGTGTCTCAAAGGTTTAATTTTAATAAACAATACTAAAAATAATAATAATTTTTTAGTTTAAGTATTAATGATTAAAAATATGATTACTGTTAATATGTTATGTATATAATAAATAGAAAAAACAATAATTATAAACAGATATTCTATTTTTTTTTATATTTTAATTTAAAAAGTTCAATCGTTCATTGTTGTATTCAATATTCTTTAATTGTGCACATTTGAATTATTAAAAAAGATAATTTTAACAATGGTTACATATTCTACTTTACTTATTACATATAATTTATTTACTTGTTTTTTTAAATAATAAATAAGTTGTATTGAATGTCAATCCTATAATATTTAAATTATTAATTAATTTTTTTTTATTGTAGACAACTATCAGTAAAAAGCCGGTCAGAAGAAGGAAATGGTGAACCTAGCAGCTCTCAAAATGTTTTTATTAAACAGGGATGGGCAGAGTTAAAAACATTGCACTGTAAGTCATTACCTGAAAAAATTGCTAATCATGGTTCAAAGAGTTACAAACGTATTCAAATTGAAATGTTAGCCCATCGATGGCAACATCATTGTTTGGAGGTAATATTTTATAAAATTTACCATATATTTTGTTTTTATGAAAAATAACCTATTAAAATAAAACACCATTTAAAAAATAAAGGTACGGACAGCAGCTCAAGAATTATTATTAGCTGAATTAGAGCGAATTGGCCCTAAAGGACGCAAAACATTAGTTGAATTTTGGGTTCAGTATTTACCAGTAAGCAGCTCTAATAGTAACATCAAATCTACTACAATTAGCTCTAACAATTTAACCACGCTAAACACTAATGTAAGTAATATTTAGTTAATAGCCTCGTTTAGATGGAGATGATTTAGCAAAGTTTTGAAACTTGTCCTTCCATAACATGTAATATTAGAAAGGATAAAACAGAAAGAGAAAGGATGTATTATCTGGTATTTAAAAATTAATAAAATGACTCATGGTAGGACCGCCCAAGTTTTAGCCTGATAATAGATTATACATGGCAATACTTTGCTAATTCTAATTCAAATTATATGACAATTTATCATGTAAGAAAAAAACTGTCCATCTGAATGAAATTCAAACATGATTTTATAAATGGTGGAGTGTCTTCTAGTCATTTTAAAAATTAGACCACACTCTTTTGTTAATTTGGTTAATATTATTAGGTATATTTCGTTTATTTTTATGTAGATATATGTAGTCATGTAGACCTATAAACTGAAGGTACCTACATTATGTTATTTCTTATTTTTATTCTCATTACTCAAGTGACAAATAAAAATACACAAAACTACCTATTGTATTAATAATATATATTTGAAATGTTATAAACCTCGATTTTTAAGGTTGAACTGAACTTTCCTTAAAATTAAGAATCCAAACCGAATTTACACATTTTTATTTGAACCAGAACCAAACCACTTTTAAAATATTTTATCAAACTCGAACATTAAAAAATTAAAAAGATTAGGTTAGGTTAGGTTTTAAAATTGTAAAATTGTAAAATTATTATATTACGTGAAAAAAATAGAATTCTTCATTTTAGTAACAAGGCCACTCTGTCCCATCACAGAACATCTTATTGGTGACTGAGCAGAATCAGCATCAAATTATTTTCAAACCGAACTATTGGGTATTTGGTTTATTTAGATTATTTACAATTTTCAGGTTGATTTTCGAAATCGAGCAGTTTTTCACTTTTCTAATGTATATAGTTATATCTTGATATTATTATGTGTAGTTTGTATAGTACAAATGTAATGTTTCCTAAACTTTTTCGATTTATAGTTCCCTTTTTGAACTAAGGTTTTCTTAGGGCATCCTTGCAATTAGTTACAATCAAAAACCTAGTCTCGGTGTTTATCCCATTGTATAGCTAAAGGTAACCAAGGTTAAAAAAAACCGATAACTATGTATGAACAATTGTTGTTGGATATTTTTTTAATTTTAGTAAAAATGTTTTGTGAATCTAGACATTTTTTTTAAAATAAAGTACTATTGGACATGCACATATTTCAAGGTACAGTGTGAATAATTTAGCGCATTTTTACTAACCGAAAAAGGTGGTTATTTGAGAAAAAAAAGAACACTGGTCTTTGGCCTATTTTGACTCAGGTACTATCACTTGTAACTATTCAAAAAAGGTTAGACACACACTTTGGGAACCACCGGATTAATGCAAGACTATAGTATTAACTAATTGCTTAGTGAATAGTCAAATTTTTATTTAGCAATTGAACTACGTAAGAAAAATTTTTATTTTGTTAATGACAATATGTTAATAATATATTAATAAATTGACAGAAAATAACTATTTGATAAGAATACAATTTCTGATTACTGAAAAACAAAATAACACATAAAGAGTACATTTGTAAATACAAAACAAAAAAACCATTCAAAATTATTATTGATTGTAGTATAATAAAAAATGTACTCGTTTAGTTGCCAGTATTAATAAAAAATGTAGGATATTTGATCCCCATAAAAAAATTGCCATATTTTAGTGTCACAGCATTACTTATATGTTTGTATAATTTGTAATTTGTACCATAAAGTAGGTATATTATATTATAAATATTTTTTAATTTTTTAAATATCACCTAACCTAACTTAATTTTTCTGCTATCGCCACTGCAGATTGAAAGAAAAAAATTCTGCATTTAAACGCACATTCTATCACTGGTAATTGTCATTTGTTAAAAAATGCGGATTTTTAAAATAAATTACTTTATAATTTCCATTCTATTTACACACATTTTGAATACACAAGATGGACAAACACTTTAGAACTGCTAAATCATCTATGTCTAAACCATGCTAATGCTTCTAACAAATGCATGCACCACAATGATTATTATTTTGTGTTACAATTTTTCTTAAACATTTTTATTTAAAATAAACATATTAAATTGTGGATAAGATCATATTAACATGTTAATAAAAAACTGTAAAACCAATTTTATTGGTTTATAGGAAAATGTCGAATCAGCTGCTAATATTCAAGATGAAGATGATGATGAAGAAGAAGGTATCAATTAAATATTAAAAACATATTATTAGTATTTTGGTGGTTTATTCCTTTTTTCCCTCTCAATAGATTTATGTTTAAGAAAACCATCATCCATTAGTGAATTGCGCCGGAAGCAGACAACTGCTGTAATTTTGATGGGAGTGGTTGGAGCTGAATTTGGCCAAGAAGTTAGTGCTTCAGACAATGTTAGTACATCAAGCCGCCAGTCTTCTGGATCATCTCTAAGAAGGAAGAGTTCTATTGTTGAAGGATTTGGCATAGGAAATAATAACTTATCAAGGCTGACAAGTATGGCGATTTTAAGAAAACATAATATTTTTTAATTCTAACAATTATTGATAAGGATTAATATTCTATGTTGATGATATGTTATTAAAAATTTTATTAGGTTTGGCTTTGACACAATTGCTTTTAACGCCTTCCTCAACCAAGTTGCCTACTCACATGGCATTACGGAGAGCGGCTGTCGATTTAATTGGTCGTGGCTTTGCTGTGTGGGAACCATATTTTGATGTCAGCAAAGTATTATTAGGAATATTAGAATTGTGCTGTGACAGTGACAGATTAGTTCCAAGGTAATTTTTTGTGAATTAGTAAATAACTGGAAGACAATGTCTAGTTATTGACATATCAATTCACATTTTACACTATTTTGATTTACGTAGCATGTCTTATGGACTACCATTAACACCTGCTGCAGATTCATATAGAACTGCTCGACATGCATTGATATCAATAGCAAATGTTCGTCCTGCAGTGTTTATAACAACTATAGCCAGAGAAGTGGGTTCTGGTAAATTTAATGTGATTATGAAAATAATTGTATTTACATTTTTTATAGGTGGCCCGATACAATAGTATGCAACAAAATACACAGGCAATGAACACGGCTTTAAATAATTCAGTTTTGCATAGAGCAAAACCAGAAATTTTATCCATTGTGGAACATTTGATTGAGAAAATGCATGTTGAAATGACAGAATTATTAGTGGAGGTTATTCTGAAGATATTATATATTACAATTATAATTTTACTATAGTTATTAAATTCACACAACTTAAAAATAATATTATTCAAGGCTAAGTTTTTACTTTTCTATTTTAGAGATCTACTGGTTTTACTATGATGTGTTTTTGTATTTTTTTTTTCTGTCAACAACTTTTGTACCAAAAAATTGCTCCAAAGTAAGGTGTTACTTTTCTGAAAGGTAATTTTCTCCAATTGATGCAATGGGGAGGTCATTTTTTAAATTTTTTAAAGGGTTTTCAAAATAATTTGGAAAAACCCTAAAGAGAATTGTAGATTACTGCTACTGCTTTATATTTGTTCCTTTTAATACATGGCTACTGGCAGTTAAAGTAGTTTTCATAATAATTGGTAAATTAAAAAAAATATGAAAAAAAAAAGGTTTTTCAAATTATGGCACAATTTCAGTACTTCAAATTTTTACGGCTTATGTTTTTTATCATAAAACTTGATTTTACCCTAATAGAAATAAAGATCTATTTTGTTGTATTTTCAATTGGTTGACCAAGAAAGTCGGTTTTTGATTTTATTTTTGTAGTTCTTTTAATAATTGCGAAAAATCAAAAAAAAATTCAGAAAGTATACAAAAACAGTTCTTTTATTTTTATATTTTGTTTTTTTTAATGTAATTTAGTTTAAAATATTCATAGAAATTTAAAATCTTCACAGAAAACTTATATTTTCTTTTTCTACACTTGTAAAATGTTCAAAACTTTTGAGCTATTTATTGACATTTTAATTTTTAAAGGTTTATTTGGTAGGTACTCTGGACAAAATTATTATAAATACATAGAAATTATGTAAATTTAACAGGAGGTTCCTTAAATCCTACTTCGTGGTTTAAAAAGAATTGAGCTTTTAAAATCAAATTTTTATTAATATAGAGTTAAAAATTATATAGAACAAATCTAGTTACTGGTCCATGCAAACTGTTCATTTTTTTTTTTTTTTTGAACATAGGTTTATTATCAATTTGAGAATCTGAATTGAGCAGATTGATTTAATTTCAAAATTATAGCTTTTTGAAGTTCTTATATTATGCGGATATTATATGTTATGTTAAATAATATAATGTTGTCAATTTTTTTTATATCTGTAGTAGTCTAGTGATGGTATGTATCTGTTGTCATCTTAGAGATCACAAGTTTTTTAAACTCGTAATAGAGAAAAAACAAATGCATTTCATAAAATATAATTAAATGTAATGTAATATATTTTTTTTTTTATAAGAGTTACAAATTTTGACAAAATTCGTTAATATTATGGCCTTTCATAAAATGTGTAACTGAACTTTGCTCTGAATTATTTTTTGTTAACTATGGTTTATTGTTGATTACAGGTATAATTTAAATATCTTTATGTATCTCACTTTTCTAACTTCTCACTTACAACAATGGCTGTGCACCCATCTCAATATTTTTTTTTATTTTCTATATTTATTTTATTGTTATATTATTATTTATTATTATGTATAAAAACATTGGTTGGTGTTTTTTTTTTTTAGGTTATGGACATAATATTACACTGCATAGATCCTACACAATTGAAAGTTCGCCCTTTATCAGAGGTATCTCCAGCTATAAGCAAGTTTTCCCAAGTTTCTCATTGTTCTACCTCTAGACGTATTGCTGTGGGAACTAAAAATGGTCATATTGCATTATATGAATTAAGATCCTCCAAATGTCAAGTACTATATTATATGTTTATATATCTACAGTAGGAATATTACTTACACATTTGTTTCCCTAGACTATAAATGCACATGCTGCAGCTATCTCTGCATGTGCATTTTCGCCAGATGGAAAATTCCTTGTATCCTACAGTGCAGTAGAGAATAAATTATCATTTTGGCAAACTTCGACTGGCATGTTTGGTTTGGGTAATAGTCAAACTAAGTGCACAAAATCGTATAGCACCCAGATACAGGATGCCTCACGGTCCAGTCAACTGCGACAGATCAAATTACACTGGGCCTCCAACCGTAGTGTTCGGTTTTTGTCAGATGGTTTGGAAACTACATTTGTTATTTAAATTTCAATTGTAGACACAGGAAAATAAAAATAAAAACAATATATTTCATTTATAATTTAAAAAAAACACTAGGGCAAGAGCATTTTTTAAACAATTTTTAATGCTTGTTGCTGCTTTTGTAATCAATTTAGTTTTCAATGAAAAATTTAAAATATGCTAGTATATTATTCCAGGCTATATCATTAATGTTATAATAATTAACATTATATATTTGTAGTTCATTCAATTTTATAGGTCATACTTTTTAGTTATACAGAAAGTATTAAACTATTTTATATTTATATTATGATAAAATATCATACCTGTTTAGTCCACCAATTTTGTTTTGTTTTTAGAGTTTAAATTTTAAAATTTTTCACTTTTGTGAACTTTTTGTTTTTAAAAATGAATTTATGTATAATTTTGTTATAATAATTATTATTTTATTTATATGCAAATATTCAATGATATTTTAGTTTTTTTTTTTTTTTTTTTTTTTTTTTACATGGCTCTTTTTAGATCTCATTAATTTTTGTCTGGCATTAATTTTAAATTAATATAGTTTTAAATTTAAGTGATATAATTTATATATTTACCATTTCACATATTGTGAAACTTGTTATTAGATAATATTTATATTAATATATATATATATATATAAGTATACTTAAAATTTTAAACTCTTCAATAATGCCCAGTAATAAATTTAAAATAACTGTCAGGTTTTATTTAAAAACATTTCATTCTGGTACACAATTTTAAATTAATATAGTTTTAAATATAAGCGATATAATTTATATATTTACCTAAACATCATTTCACATATTATGAAACTTGTTATTAGATAATATTTATATTAATATATATATAAGTATACTTAAAATTTTAAACTCTTCAATAATGCCCAGTAATAAATTTAAAATAACTGTCCGGTTTTATTTAAAAAAATTTCATTCTGGTACACATCTTATTATGTAATTTATTTATAATAATCTATATTGGCAATACTAGAGTTAAATAATCTATGAATAACATTGATTTTTAAATTTATTTTCTACAGTACCTCTTTATGCAATTTAAATTTGTTAACTTAATTATTAATCTAACCTAATTTTACTTATAATTGGTAGAAAAGTTAAATAATTTTCAAAAAATGAATTTATTTCCAAATTAATAACAGTAATTTATTTCATAAATTTTAAAACTTATATTTATAATTAGCTTTTATATAACCAAAGTCTATTGGAAATAATTTTCTTTATAATGTATATAATATTTATTATCTTAATATTAGTATAATATAAAAAAACATATTAAGATAAAATTATTATTATTTAACTTTTATTAAATGTGTACAGAAGGGGTTAAATTTTGTTGTGATACTATAAAACCAATCACTTACAAATGAATATTTAAAATACGGCTGAAAATTTTCTTAGTGACTTAATAGGAGCAAGGACTCAAAATGGTTGAATACCAGTATTATGTTATCATTTAATTATGAGCTAGTTTGTAGTATTGGTGTTAGAAACTGATGTGATAAGTGAGCTTTATTAATATTTATGTTTATAGAAATAATAAGATTTATTTGAGAGAGACAAAGTATGTAAAAATGATAATCATATTATACAGGAGAGGTTAAATTTTGTTGTGATACTATGAAACCAATCATTTTTAAATGTTTAGTTAAAATAGGGCGGCTGAAAATGTTTTAGTGACTTAATAGGAGCAAGGACTCAAAATCGTTAAGTACAAGTATTATATTATCATTTAATTATGGACTAGTTTGTAGTATTGGTGTTAGAAACTGATGAGATAAGTGAGCTTTACTAATATTTATATTTAAGTAACTATGCGAATTATTTGAGAGAAGCAAAGTATGTAAAAATGATAATCATACTTACAATTTATTAATTAAATTATATTCAATTATTTTAATCATGCATTAATTTGAAAAATATCAAAAAAGTAGGAATTTTAAAGAATTTAGTTGTGTTCATTAAAGTGCAAATTGTTATAAAATAATAATCATTTATAAATTTTTTACCCAGTTATAGATTATATAGATATATTTTATAAAGTAAACAATTATAATTAATACTTAGTATAATATTTTCTCATAATACATTTTTTTTAAATTTATATTTTAAAATTATTATTTTTTTTGAAACTTAAGTCATAGTGAATAATTTAGTCAGTAATGATAGACATGCAATTTTTTTTGAATTGTTAATTTTTATGTTTTTATAAAATTATTTTTTTTATTGTAATGACAAAAATATGACTGGAACATTCAATTATTGATAAAAATTTTATTTAGATAATTATTATAGTACCCAAACACATGGCAATTGATACCAATCATTGCACACATGTTATTCCCTTTGCTTGATAAAAATTTACCAAAGTATCTACATAAATTATATTTTAGCATTAATTTTATTAAATAAGCCATTACCATTATGTTTAATATATTAATTACCTATGTTAAAATATTATTAATCCAAATAAATAATTGTAGTCTTTATTTTATATATTAACTATATTACCTGTATGTCAAATAATTATTTTTAAATTTATTTATAATAAGATCATATATTGTTAAAAATTCTTACTAAATAATATATTTTAGTCTACCAATATAGATATCCAACCAACGCTTATTTATTTAATATTAACTATATAACATTATATTACCAACATAATACTCATATTATTATAATAATTATAATATTGTTGTATGTTTTTAAATTTAGAATGTTAAATTTATGAACTAAAAATGAAACTTAAACATATAATTATTATGTATTTATAATATTATTATCTACACTTGTTATTCCATAATAAATCACTTTTAGAGTTTAATGTTTGAATGTATTTTATTTATTTTATATTTTATGCAATTGGTTTATCAATCTAAACCAATTTAAATAAAAGATTATGGTTATGATTTGACTATAAGTTGATCAGTCGTGAGAAGTCAGAAACTGGGAAAAATGTAATCCATTTTGTTTATTCAAGAATAATGTAAGTAAGTAATGGGTATTTTTTATTTTTTTATTTTTTAACCTTTGATAAAGCTATACAGTTTTAAAAATTTTAATTATTTTCGTTAATCTAAAATCCAAAAGGAGATAATTAATTTTTGATCAGTTTATTTAAAATAAATTGACTTCAGTGTTCCAAGGAGTAAGCTAATAAAAAACGAAACATTTTGTCACCTTATTATGTTAAAATATATTTAGATCTAGATTTTATTTTGAATTAAGTTTATATTTTTAGTGAATTTGAATTTTATTTAAAAGGTTATTCCTTCAAATTATTGATAATTATATTACTGGTCCAATAGGAATATAATATTAGACAAATTAAATATTAATTATTATCTATTTCATATCAACAATAAATTTGATTTTCGTTAATCAAGTAATGATGATATTTTATTTCTGAATTCAGGGCTATTTTTAGTTGTTACTTGTTTTATTTTATTTTTAAAATATATACATATATAAGCTTAGAGCTTTTTTAATTAAACAGATATAATAAGGTAGAAAGCAAAAATAAAAACAGTGACAATAAATTTGTAACTTAATATGAAAGAGATGTCTGCTTACAATGTGGTCATCACTTACCCATCAATAAAAATTTAATAAAAGATTCTTAAGCTGTTATTGGTTCTTATAATTCAAATAATAGGGTTATTGTAGGTAGAGTTGCATTAATTTCATAAATCAAATAAAATTAGACTAAAAATATGATTGAATCATATTAGATACCTACATAAACTAGACGTATTAAAAAAAAAAAACCAATTTATTATTTTATAAACTAAAACAATACAACAAAAATTACATTTATTTTTGTATGGATTATAAATTTATTATAAAAAGAACATATTTTAGATTCTGAGTGGAGCGAAGAATCTTAAACATAGATGTTTATTTTTTTTTTAATAAAACTAAAACAACTTTTCTACCAGAAGAATTTCTTAGATTTCTCAGTGTACTACCTTTTTTGAAATGAAATTGGTTTGGAGAGGTACTTTAAGGAAGTCATTTGATTAAAGTTTGGTTCTTGAGTTTAAAAAAAAATGTAATCAAAATATCCATTTTACATTTTCCCGCAATAATATGCGAAATTTCCGTTCAAGGAAATTTTTACACGCGTTTTATGGCTGTCGCAATATCATTTCATTATCAATAGACCGGTGTCAAAATTTCAAAGTATCGAAAAACGATAAATAGGTTAACGATTTGTATAGTTACCTTAAATATTAGTTATTAGTAAAATTTCGATTTTTGAATTTTTCGATCGCTTTTTTCGGTACTGTAGCTATATGATATGCAATTTGAAAAAACGGGAATGTATACAAAAAATATTACTAAAACATTACGATTTTTTTTTCTGTGCGCAACTTTTTAACCAGCAATTTTGCTCCAACTTTTAATGATAACAATGTTTCTAAAGGAAAATTTCATTAGGGAGGTACTTTCGAGTTTAGAGAGGTCACTTTTCTCAGGAGTTTTATTACCAAATTTGAAAAACCGGGAAAATATAAGAAATGTAGGTGTTACAGTTAAAATATATTACGACCTTCTTTTTTTTCTGTACGCAATTTTTCTACTAACAATTTTGCTCCAACTTATATTGATAGCAATATTTCTAAAAGTAAATTTTACTAGAGAGGTACTTTAGAGATGTAATTTTTTAATTTTCTCAAGAGTTTTCCCAGTAAATGTGAAAAACCGGAATAAAACATAGGAAAACGTAGGGAAACTGGGAACATCGATACAACATTAAACATTAAATATTACTAAAAAATACATATAAAGCCTATTTAATTATTTTGCTATAAAATGGCATACCTATATATATATATTGTTGACAAAGCATCACTATCAACTGAACTCCGTTCAAAATCGTTTTTTCTATGTGTAATGTCTGGGTCGCCGTGACTAGATAACTTAAAGAAAATTAACTTTTTCGGTAGAGTAAATATACTTTATTATTAAATAAAAAATTATAATTGAATGAACTAGAAGAAATATGTGCGGAATGTGCCACAGAATATATAATAATAATAAATCTTAAAAAATAACAAAAACATTAAGTATATATAATATTGCTGGTTACGATTTGGTTATGTCAAAGACTATGGTAACCCTAATATTGTGATTAATACAATTGCACTGTAGGTAAATAAATAATCCTGTGACCCGATATTTACCCCCTCCCCTTTCGTATTCAAAATTTAGTTCAATCAGGGAGCATTTAATTTACCACTAATAAGACCTTGGATGAATTTGATATCAAACCTTTTACGTCTAACAGACAATAGTCAATGACTTATTAGAGATCGTGGATTGTAATCGTGTTGTTGATGGAGGCAAATTAATAATTAACCAGCGAACCTCATAAAAAGTTTTTGGACACAGTCAATCTTCGGTAAATCGGCTTTCAGATATGGTGACCACGAATTAAGATAAGTAGGTATATAATATAGACGTACCTTAAGATGTTTTATATCTTAAGATTTTATAGACGATGACCATTATACTGAACCATACTAATTTATAGATCCCACCAGGATATTATATAAAGCGAAAAGACCATGAAGTCAACATGAGGACTAAACAATAAAGATGAAACAATAACAAAGCCTAAATCCTTAACTTGGGTTATTCGATTTAGATCTTACCATTAATATGATAGTTGAAATTAGTTAATGATTGAGATATATATAAAGAAAATGGTCTTGCATTTATCAAAGTTCAGAGATAGGTAAGCTAACTGTATGACACCGCATGGTGAAATCATTTAGTGTTTCTTGGAGCCTTAGACAATCATTTTGGTTTATATAGATAGAATAACTTGGTGTCATATCAGTGAATAAAAGTACTTGGAAAAAAGATACTGATTTGTACATAGTATTTATAAACATATTAAATAAGAGTGGGGATAAATTTCCGCCCTAAAGGAACGCAGATGGTACCAAGGAGTCAGAGGAAGAGCAATAATGATTTACGAATTGCCATCTATTGTATACATGATATATAAGACCTAAACCAAGATGAAAATGTTCATCCGCACTAATGCGATCGAGAATGTTGATTAAGGAAGGTTGTATAGTCAATTTCTCAGTGGCTTTAGCGAGATCAGTAAAAATAACACCAAACAGAACGTTGGCACTGAACGCTGCATGAATAAATGAAGAAAAGTCGATGAAGTTGGCTATTGTGGATAGCCTAGATATAAAACCTTGTTGGTTGGGGGATATAATAGACCGAAAGCCACGTCCAATTTGTTTATTTTTTTTCTTCTTTCATATGACATGTATTGGTGAAAAACTTGAAGGGCACATAATTAATTTTTAGGGGAGTAAAATTGAATTAATTTGTTTATGAACAAGTTGTTCAAAAAGTTTCCCAATGAAAGGTAGGCCTGAAATTGGATGTTAATTAAGACATTAAAGGGATAACCAGATTTGTAAATAGGGTGATTCGACTGATATATAGTGTATATTAGTGCATGTGGTGTGTATTATACATTTATACACCATAGAGCTACTGCTATATGTTGCACACGTCGTCTTGCTTACAAGACCATCCTCAAACCTGCTTTATCTGGTCATTTGTCCAGAAAAAAAAAAAAATTTCCTTTGAAAATCTAGCCTTACCCTAAAAACATAAAGGTGCCGGAAGATTTACAGCTTGCCAGGAGCCCAGCAAAACTGAGTATGGCCTTTCTTGCTCCCTCTATCTCTAAACTCTTTTTTAGATTCGGAACGCTGCGAAGAATGTATTGGTTTTACAATATTTTTTTCCATAAGCAACTTTACCTATCACAAATCTTGCGCCGATGAACCAAGTGCTACACTTGGTTCATCTTTCCTGAAAGGCAATTTTACTCGGTACCTTAAAAAGGTCATTTTTTGATTTTCCAAACGGTTTTCATAATGCTTGGGAAAATGTACGAAAATGATGATTTTATTATTTTGAATTTTGATTGTTGTTATATGTATATGTGTATATGTATTAAAAATTTTCAATAAGAGGTATCTGCTATAAATAAATAATATAATTATAAATGTAAATATATGTATTAAAAACAATAAAGAGGAATGTATTGATTTTACAATGGTGTTTAATTTTTTTTAAGTGAACACTTTTCTCTGGGTGGTACTTTAAAGAGATCATTTTTTGAAATGCTCATTAATATTCGAGATAATGAGGAAAACCTAGGTCTTTAGGTTAAAAAATATTGAAATATTTAAAAATAAGGTTGTCATTGGCAACCGTTTTTATTTATTTTTGTTATTTTTAAGTTTTTATTATTTTAATATTTTGAAAAAATGTTTGTTGACATGGAAACGCACACTGTTTTAATCATTTTACTATAATTTAACATAATACCATATATGGTGATATTTTTTTCATGAACCAGCAATTATCTCAGAGGATTTTAAGTAATTTGATTTCTGTTTTTTCTTATCATTATGGAATAGTTTAACTTTTAATTTTAAAACTATTTTTATACCTTAATTAAGTGCATACTTTTGATTTCCAAATAAGAACCTCCCATTTTGAACACAGATTTGAATAGAAAATATTTTTGTAGACATTTTGATAGGCATCACACTAATATTAGATTCACCTTTTTTGAGTTAAAATAGTTTAAAAATTAGACCGAAGAAGTAGAGAAAGGTAATAAATGGCCTATCTGTAATGTTAAATGAAAATCGGTACATTTTATCATCTCGATTAGACTTAAAAATTTAACGGACTTTAAAAATCAGTAAAATCCTGCTTAAATGGAATCTGATCACATTAGCCAAGCCTTGATTGATTATAAGTATAACACCTGATATTGTACACAAATATCAAATGAAAACGATTTAATTAATTGTCACTCATTTTGAGAGAGAAATAAACTAATAGGCATTCAAATAAAAAGCTAAAGTAGTGAAGTTTAAAAAATGAAATAGTAAACAGCTGTGAGAACGTGAAATAGTTATTTAAAATATTAAAAAGATACAAAATAATATGCAATCTGAAAAATTATTATTAAAATGAGAAAATCATTCGGAGCAAAATTGCTAGTAGAAAAGTTGTCCATTGAAAAATAAATAAACATCTTTGTAAAACCATATGCTTCTTCGCTTCACTCAGAATCTAAAATATATTGTTTAAGGCAATTATTTGATTGAATATAAGGTTTAACATTTAGATATTTAACCAAATGAGATTAAAATTAAATATTTTATATACTATGTTATTTTAATTTAATGTAAACTTATAATTTAACCAATTCAAAGATTTAAATTTAAATTTAATTTTTACATACCTAAGTACCTACTTGAAATATTATTTTGTTTAAAATGTATTATTGTTTAATTGACTTTGTTTATATTGTATAACTCATTATAATATTTATAATAATATAAGAATTTATTAGACAGTTTTGATAAAATATTTGTGTTTTGTTAATTGTAATTTTTTGAATAGAACAAGTTTTCTAGTAGAAAAGTATTTAACGAAGTAGGATTCTTGGGATAATTTTCAATTTATTACGCAACACACAACTAGACATACAAAATATGCATTTGCATTTATATTTCATTATTTTTAAATTTGTAAACTCGTTCTAAATGTTGGTGATTATAGAGTGAAGAGTTTATAGTAAGAGTGAATAACAGTCTAGTCTTGGAAAATTTTTAGCAAATATACTTTAATAATAAATATTTATTTTAGAAATAGTGTGTTTTAAGATATATTGATCAGTCTGTATAGTATTATCAAATCAAATTTTGTTGAAAAGAAAATGCTATGCAAAATCAGTGTTATTTATTTTAATAAAATGTCAACTTGATAGTATCATCAAATCACAGAATTATGCATAATCTTAAATTTTGATTAATTTATTATTATTGAGGATTGTTTTCATTAATGAATAATAAAATAGAGTAAAACCACATAATGTTAGGCTATCTCTAATACTACTATAATAGGAGAAAAAACTTATTAAATGTCAATTTGTATTTTATAATAAGGAATGACTGTGTTATATACATTTTATAAAGCTCATTAAAAATATCTAAATATTAATAATATTATCCTGGGAACATATTTTTAGGAATTGCTAGTTTGTGTTTTAAATAAAATGTTAGGATCCTCAGGAAAAAAAAAATGAACTTAAAAAAAAGCACCATTAACTAGTAAAAAAATTTTTACTGAAAATGTAGAAATATCATAAAACTAGTTATTAATTTGATATATTTAAATTCTAAATGGAACAAGGAATATTGGTTTTACAATGATGTCTATTTTTATTTTATTCTTTCTATGAACAACTGATTTACCAGAAATCATGCTCTGATTTTCAAATGAAGCACGTTTATTGAGAGAATATTTTATATAGTTGGTACATTGAGAAAACTTTTTTTGATTTACTAAGCAGTTTACAAAATAATTGAGAAAATTGGGAAAATTTACAAAATTTATTTTTTCAAATTGTGAATATTATGGCCTTTCAAAACATGTATAAATGAACTCTACTCAGAGTCGTATTTTATTAGCAATGATTTATCATTGCATACAGATAGACATTAAATTTCCTCTCTACCTTTCCAACTTCTTATCTATAACAGTGTCCCACCCATTGTGGAAAGTATGTTGGATTGTTTTTTAATTTAATTTATAAATCAATTTACTCGATAGATTAAATTACTAATTATCAAGCTCATCTGTCAATTATAAGATAATATTATGGACATTATTATCATTATTTGTAATGACCATTTAATGAACAATTATTTTGGACATTAACTATCAATGATATTCCAGGCAAATAATTTACACATAAATGTCTACTCATTGATGAATGGAATACCACTGATCTTTTTATTAGGATATCAAATAAAACAATAAATTTTCAAGTGTATAATACAATTGGAACTCAAATATTTTACGTAAAAGTAAAAATGAAAATTTAAATATTGTTTCATATAGTAGTGGTTGATTGGTGAACTACTGCTGTCCTCCATCTCTATAATAGTATGTATTTTGTTCTACTCTAAAGCAGCCGCTCCAGAAATAATTTCAATCAATTCTCTGGTGATTACAGCCTGTCTAGTACGGTTGAATGTTAAAGTCAGCTTGCTTATCATTTCACCTAAATAAAATTAATATATGAAAATTATATTCAACAATTGAAACATTATTTTAAATTTTTACTTTATATTTGTAAAGTTTTCTAAAATTAATATGCAAGTTATGTATATTGTACTATTAAACTTGGTATCTGTTTATTAGATTATTATGAATAAATTATAAATGATACCACTAAAATAGCTGAAAAAAATCTGTAATTACCGGCGTTCTTGCTAGCATTATCCATAGCTGTCATCCTTGAGGATTGTTCACTGCAAGCAGATTGTTTCATAGCATAGTATATTAGGGAAGCTATTGTAAACTCTTGGTACGATTCAATAACTCCTTCATCAATACTGTCATATGACTGTAGTTTGGGTGCAGCTAACATAGTTTTTGCACTCAATAGTGGCACTTCCTCAGTTTTGTAGGAGACTACAGACCTTTAAATACAATTAAAATTTACACCAAAACAACAATAATCATGAAATAGTGTAAAATAATTAATAAATCATTATTATGAAAATTATTACATACTTGAATTTGTTGTAAACAATTTTTCCACTGCCAAAATTTAACTGTACCAATTCATTAGCAACTTTTGATGCATCCAAAAACGTGGGTGGTTTACGACCTACCTCGTTAGCCACAACAGCAATATTTTTAGAATAAAGTCTGTAAAAACAAAATATATAATTTAAAAAAAATGAATGATAAATTTAGAACTGTTATCTAAGCTTTTTGACACTATTCAACACTTAGAGAACATTTGCTAACAGCATTTTTAGATTCAGAGTGAAGCGAAGAAGCTCACAGTTTTACAAAGTTATTTTTTTTTCTGTGGACAACTTTTCTATTAGCAATTTTGCTCAAACTTTTAATAATAGCAATTTTTCTAAAAGGAAATTTCCTAGAGAGGTACTTTAAAGAGGTCTTTTTTTTTTTAATTTTCTCAGCAAATGTGAAAAACTGGGAAAAGATATGGAAATTTATTACCTTACTATTTATCATAATACAAATACGATAAATGATGTTGATATATGTCCTGTTAGTGGAATTTATAATCCTTAATTATTCTTATTTTGCAGACAACAGACTAAATACAGTCCAAATAATTTACAATAATCTGTTACTGCGTAAATTATCACATGTTTTCCTCCAGTCACTGAAGTTCAGTGATAACAAATTGTATTGTTTTCATAGTCAAATAAAATTTTAAAAAATAATTTTTTTTTTTTTTATATTTTATGACTGTAGTGTTTTAATTTAATGAAACACCACTGAAACAAGGATCTAAAAAGATTAATTTATTATTATTTTAATATTGTTATTGATTTTGTTTATTATTGATTAAATTTGTTTTGCATATTTTAATAATATTTTTAGAGAACATTACAAACATATATTCAAAATTTTAAGAGAATTTTAAATCTGCGCTCTAATAATAAGTGAAAAAAATAGTTCAATAATATTTAATAGGACACAGATAGCACAAATAAATAGCATATCAATTGTTGATGTGCATTAGAACCATAAACCACTTCTGTAAACTGTGAAAACCTCATTAACTGGAGGAAAGAAAAATTAGTTATAACAAACTTTTTTTAGGTAAAATAATGTTTTACAACTTATGAGTACATTCAAATTATACATTAATATCTAGAACACCTAGAAATATGTGAATAAAATAAAATCAATGAGAATCCTATCACAAATTAAAACCTTTATAAATAATAAATAAAACAATTTTCTTACAAAGGTGTGTATTCTTATTATATTTTTATATTTTATCATCAAATTGAAATAAAACGACTAATAATAATGAAGTTAGACACTAATGAGAGTTGTTTTCAAATCCAGTGGTAATACAATATTTTTTAGAAAAAAATTAACCACTGGTTATAGTTTAAGTTACTCCATAAATATAATACAGATTATATTTACAGAATTACAATAAAAATTAAGACAAATGTTTAAATAAATTTTATTTTTAATTAAAGGACCATCCAACTGAACAAATTCTAGTACATATTAAGATGAATAAAAAGGTATCACTAAAATTTGTAACTATCTGTTCACTAGATACGCTGATTGCTTTTCATATTACTGATAAAAATAAATAAATGTCCTATAGCATTCTATACTACTTTCTTACTGATAATGGTTAATTTGTTCATAGTTTCCTAAAATTTCATCAAAATATGCGGAATATCAATGATTTTACCGTGTTGCATTTTTAAATCATTAACACAGAATATGGGTCATTCTATATCAACTAATAAGAATTTCAATCAAAATATAAATATAAATGCATGAGTCTTACTCGCTTATCTTTGTATAACTACAATACATATAGATTAAATTGAGAACACTCACGATAAACTGTGAAATAATAAACAAAGTTTATTCACAGTTGACTAGAGCATCACCATTATCATTTTGTTGTTACCATCTGAAATGTTTAATAATATAGAATATAGATGATATATTTTTTTTAAAAGTGTAATGGTCGTTAAATGATCGTGATAGTTATGTAAATGTAAAAACATTTTTAAAATACAGATAATTATGCTTAAGTTTTTTATGTGATCTGATTACACATTTTTAAACTAAAAATGTTAAGTTATAACAATATTGTATTTTGTTTTCTTATGAAGTATAAACATTAAAATTGTAAGTAATGTATCTATAAGCATTAAAAGTATGTCAAAATTTCAAACTGCATAATGGATAGTTAGGTAATAATAATTATAGATGATAAAATTACTATAGGAAAATTAATTATCACTAGCGTAATAGTCACAATAAATATAAATAATAAATAAAAAAAAAAAAATTGTACAAATAATATGAACTCAATTGTTAAATTTATAAATTTTAATTTAATTTCTTTTTTATGTCATTTTGGTTAGTTCAATAGTGTTGATGAAACCTAATTCTAATCAATTTGTAGAAAAAAATGTAAAATCATTTATCTTCCACAAATAGGAGTTGTATTGATTATTAACAGGAGTGGCCAGCGAGAAGAGCCTCGCGAGCCCCCCAATATATTAATAAATATGGAAGAGCCGAATTTTGGAACAACATATTCTTGCGAGTCTTTATACTCGACAATTAAAATAATAAAAACTTAACATCGCTCAATTTGAATGGATGATAATTTAATGGAATTGTTTAGGACTACTCTAAAAAAGTATAATCCTGACTTCAAAAAACTTATAGAAAAAAAAAAAAAAATGAACACGCAACAAATAATATATTATTTAATAATTAAAAATATTATATCAAAAACACTATATTTTTTTGTAAAAATGTTTTGTATCTTATGATAAAATGCAAGCTGCATGCGTCTCAAGAGTCGCAGTTTGGCCACCCCTGGATTATAATATTTAGATAGGTTTACCTATCTAAAACTTTTTCCAGACAATTCAAATATTTGCCAAATAATGTCATTCATTTTTAATAAAAATAAATATTTGTTTTATTTATGTTTTGTATAGCAACAAAATAATAATGATGGTGCTCTAATCAACTGTAAATAGACAAACCCGTAACAATATCTCACAATTATAACTATTGTTCAATGATTGGTTCATTTCTGTGTATTTGATTGTACAATATAACGCATAATAGTTAAGGACTTTTAGATAATTTTTAATTTGAATTTACATTAAAAGTTTTCCCCCTCCTTAAAAAGTACCTTAACTTCATTTATGTACAAAAAAATGTTTGTCAACTCTCTATGCTTAAAGAAATACTCTCTATACATAAAAGAAATTCAGAATATATATAAAAAAACCAATGTATTTTAAATTGGAAAACTTCACCTACATAGGAACATAAGTATTGCCATAGGATTATAAAGATCAAACAATTTTTAAAAATTAAACTAAGACGCCAACACAAAATTTTTTATTCTAATCCTAATATATATACAACATAATACAGCGCAGTCTCTATTTTTGGGGAAAATCTGACAAAAAATAATTTAAGCATATTTTTAACATTTAAAATATTTCACCTTAAACTCTGGTCCACTTACTCTGACATTAAATTCACGACTGATCATGTTAATATTAGCCGGTTGTAAATAATATACCTATTAATAATTTTTTAAATGCAATTTACCTCTGCAAAAGAGCACGAGACTTGTCACCCACACAGAATACTTGTGTTTGTACAGTATCTGGTAACTCAGTACTGAGTTCATTACGGATTGCCTTTGACACGTTTGTGTGGACTGCACCACAGAGACCACGATCGGATGTTATAGCAACAATAACTTTGCCATTATTGTTGTCTGCTGGTGCTTCAGCAGCGCCTGACTTTTCAAAGAATGCCTAAGGACATATATATTGAATACAAACGTTTAAGCTAATAAATAATACTGAAGTGTAATATGATAGGGTCTCTCCAAAAGGGAATATTATAGGTACCTACCTACATTTCATATCTTTAACAATATGCATTACCTTAACGCCATCACCATAGGGACGGGCTTGGCGCAATTCACGTTCGGCACGCGCATACTTGGCCGCCGACACCATCTTCATTGATTGCGTGATTTTCTGGATGTTCGTCACAGACTTCAAACGCATCTGAATCTGTTTGAGCGTGGCCATAGAACGGTTCGGCTGTTGAAGGGCGGCGCCTTTCCTGGAAACCGCACGACAAAGAAACATTATGAAACGATTAAACGAGACCCGGAAAGAGGACGGAAAAGAAAAAATTTCGTGTGAACAGACTGAACACACGAGAACAGGTCGTACGCGTGTAACGTGAACGTGGTGGTAATGTTAATATGATTATACTCACAGACAGACCAATTTCGTAGAGTTTGAAATCATCATCATGGCGGTGGACGCTGTGAGAAAATATTCACAGATGAAAATTGGGAAAATGGAACAGTGATGGCAGTGAATGTAGACGAAAGCGATAAATTGCCAAGTGCCGACGACCCAGAGAAAACCGTACGCAATGATATTGCAAGGCGAGGTCAAATAAAGGGTACGGAATCGGGTTATCTCTTGAAACTTATCAGCGTCAGGCGTCGCTCAATAGCAGCTGTTTTCCCGACCGAATAGTGACCGTACACCGTTCGCGGACGTTGCGCATCGATCGACTCCGTCGTGGCGTCATTCGCACACGGTCTGGCGGCCAAGCTTTGTACTACGGACTGCGGAACTCATCAGGCGTTCACAGAAATTTTTGGCGGCGCTAATCGTTAAATTCTTTAATCGATAATTGTTGGCCGTGACCCGTGTTTGTGATTTGACACCTACGTTCGTGTCCACCACTCGGTTTGTAAAAAAGTTTGTATTTGGATTTTTTTTCCGCCATCGTAATTTATAATAGGAGGAAGTATAATATTTTTATTAACTGACGGAATATCTACCTAATATTTTATAATAATATACAGGTTCCATGGTATATGTGATAGGCGAGACATGGCTGATATGATGGTTCCAGTTAAGAATCATTGACACCGACATTTCATATTTAGATACCTAATATAGAGCCACTGTAGAATTGCGGTGCACCTACAGCGAATACCGGTGAAACAGATCACAATAGGATCATAAGACCTCTAAAACTGCATTTGTTTATTTTAAAATGAAACGATTACCTAGTTGCACTAAACCATAGATAATATGATTATTATTAATCAGGTACCTATCATACTATTTTGCAGAATTTCGAACATTAAATTGCTAAACGGTTATATAGGTACCTATAAAACCTATAGTAAATGGTGATCACTATAAAGAACTATTAGGTAATACATATTTAAAAAGACTCAAAATATAAAAAATAAACAATTCATATAGGTATCTACAAATAATATTGTAGTTTCTGAGCAGTGTGGGGAATATGTTATTAAGGTGTGTAATTTGTTTGATATTTTGTTTCTTGTCTACAAACAACTGTGTCTGTAAACAACTTCTATCAGAAATTTTGATCCAATTAAGACTAATAAGAGAACCTTTTTATAGAATTTTAGATTCTGTTAGTGTATTGAGGAAGTAATTTTTTGTCCATTCAGGTACCTAGTTTACATAGGTAATAATGGAGAGAAACAGAATAGTTTACAGAATTAACTGTCATTATTTTCGATTTTGTTTATTTTTTGAAACATGGTTAAAAAAATTGTAAAGATATTTTTTTTATTACAAATGATGAACAAATGGGAGGCTAAAGTATACACTTGGCATACTACTTTATATCAAGCAATATATATCATAGATATCATAGATATCATCACCCTTCGCAATGGAATCATTTTAGTTTTTAATGGGGGAGAGGGGAAGGGAGGAATATATTTGAATAGTACATCAACAAAAAATAACCATTAGTAAATTAATTTAAATTTACATTTTCCTCTATGTATTACCATGTAAGGATAAATTAACCCAATTTATTTTTTTTTTTTGTACTTAAAAATGGATACTAAATTAATAAAGACTTACCAAGACTTATAAAGAAATTATTTCAGATTTTTTCGGAGGCACTAAATTAGTAAAGTGTGTTTTTTATATATAAATTAACAAAACAATTTTATAAACAAAATAAATAATACATACAATGTACTCATCTAATATCTGAATATTCTAATAAATATTAATTACACATAGGTATGATCAATTTTGGTTCTTTATTTAAGAATGTTATTACCTATGAATTAAACATTGATGATTAAATACCTTTAATCTATTCATCATCTTTGAAATAGTATAGTGATAACTGTCAATATTTTACAAGTAAACTTGTTATTTAAAATTTTAATGAAGATACATTTTATAATTCTTTTTTCCAATAATAATTATTAAAAAGGCAAAAAAAAAATTAATGTAAAATTAAAAACCAATACTTATAAATATAATATAGCCGCCACACACTTTTTAATTTCTTACTACACACCTAATATTTAATATTATACAAAGTGTATCATATTACACACAATTTTAGTCCCTGGGACAAATTATAATTCTGTGTACTTACCTACTTAACTTTATATTGCATTTTAAATGTTATTGAATATTTTGTCTATAACGTTAAGTAAAACAGATAATGTAATATATTGTTTGTTTTTTAATTGCTCAGAAAATACAGTTTAAAAATGAAAAATAATCATTTCATATTACATAATATTATATTGTATTTTAGAATTATATATTAAAAACATTATATTGATTATTCTATTTTGAGTGTAGGTATTTATTATATTGTATTTAAATTATGGTATTTAAAATGTTTAATATTATTGAGTAACTGTCATAATACCTAATATATTATGTATGGGGATGGTAAACTCTAACAAAAATTAGATAATCTCGTACATCAGTAAACTACCAGTATTAACACAACACATAGTGTGATCTAATAATAAATTTAAAATTTGTATTATTTCCTAAAGTATGAAAACATATATTTACTAATATAACAAATGTTTTGCAATAATCATAAGCTGTACCTATCCCAACCTTAAACAGTCTGCATAGAAGATTATACAATATTTTTTGGTAGATAAAAAGGGTCTGTGTGGACAAATTATGAGATTACACTATCTTTTAAATTAAAATGAAAAAGTAATTTGTGTAGGAGTTTATATGTAACCTGGTTGTACATGCTCATTTATATTTTTGAATAATACTACCCTGTTCAGATTACAGAAGGTTTAGGATTGACAATAACTTTGATTATATATTTAAATCAAATTATATTATTTAATAGTAAAGTACACTTAATTTTCTGACTTACAATGTGATATAATGATAGCTACAAAGAATTAAAATGTATCGTTAATTTCTGCTTAAAAAAATACAGCTTAGGTATGTATCTATATTTATTTGTAAATAATTGATATAACATTGCCAGTTTTGAACAAAATAATAATGTAGTGATTTCATTGTTGTATAACTACTTGAGAAATATTTAAAACTTGTTTATAGGAAGTTCTGTAGCTCTGAAAGTTGAAATTTATGTTTGGTTGCTTATTAAACTTTTTATTCCTTTATGGAATATACAATCTTTACACTGGGTTTTATATGATAGGAAAATACTAATGAAACATTGGTTTGTTTTTTTTTTCTCAACTATGGTACTTAATAATGATATGATATATTATACATTAGATACCTATTATATTCTCTATAGAAGTCTTAAGTTAATAAAAAAAAAAATTCATGATATATTTTAAACACTACCCAATGATTTTAAATACAATTAGGTTGGTATCTACTTAAATACCTACTAAATAAAATTGCCATCTAATTTTATTTTATTTTTAAGACTTATTGAGACTTTTTATTGAAGCTTGATATCACAGACCAATAAACTAATTATCTACACTCACTTCCCTTGTAAATACATTAAGTTAAATTAGGTACTTGGTAGCCCATCATCTATACTATCATTACTGATTTATAGTAGGTAACTTATTTATATTAAATGATATTATATCAATTATGCTTTTAGGTAGATAGATACCTACCTTCCAACAATCAAAAAAAGTAGAGTATATTATTAATATCATGATTAATATGATATAATATGTAGCTATGTATGCCATTATTATTACTAATGTTTAATATATTGTGTATAATGTAAATGCAAAGATTAATTTATTAAGTTTCCATTAAATTAAGATACTAATATTTTTCTGTTAAATTATTATTGATTATATGCAAGTAGGTAATAATGGTTTTAAAAAATGTTTTTGCTTTATATTGATTAATGATTATATTTTAATGAATACATTTTTTTCTAAATCAAAAAAGTATCATATTGTTTAAATTTTGATTAATTAAGCCTCTAGGTATATGTGCCTACCCTACCTATTCAACTTCCCACTTATAACAGTGGCACACTTTGTCAGCAGTATTAGTTATTTTTTTTTCATTAAATTTAACAAATTTTAAATAATTAATTCACAGTTATTTGAAAATTAATATGGGTACCTCTAAAAAATTACAGATGAATATGTTTATTTTTTCCATCTCTGGAGATTGTTTTTGATATAGTGAAGAAAATACATAGGTATATATAATATATGTCTCATTATGATATTTGATGGTTTTACTAGAATTTTTATTAGAGTAAAATTTATTGTCCAATAATTATTATTAAGTTGATTTTATTGTGTAAAAAAGTATATTTTAATGTATTTAAAAACCTATATTGACATTCTAAAGGTACAATTTTGTAATATTTGTACTAAAATACAACAATGAAATATATTTTTATAAAACTGGTACTCACCTAAGTGGACACTTTTTTTAAATAACATGAGCCTATAATCTATATTCTTAACATTTTCCGTGTTCTAATGAAAGTTAGTAATATTTATGTAGGTAGCTAATAGCGTTTTTCATAACTCTGAGGTCACCTTTGAGATGATTAACAAATAGTATTAAGTATTTATGATGATTTGCATAATTCATAGCTATTATTGTGATTAATTTTCGCTATATAAATACAACAGAAGCCATTTATTAGGAAGACAGATAATTGATACAATCACATTCTTGAAACAAAATGTATGACCAGTTGTATATTAAAACCAATCGTTTTTAGAAACAATCGGTTAATTGATACGTTTCACTGCGGTCTCAAAGAATTCCTAATAAGCGGTTTCTACTGTACTTACAACATTAATTATTTTAGATTTATTTTATCATTTTTTACTGTTAATATATTTAAGATAAGTATACACTTTTCAGCTTTTAAAATTATAGTTAGTTATATTTATTATTTGTATATATTATATTAATAAATTATAGTAGGTAGATAATTAATTTTAATGATGGATTTAGATTTTAATTAAGCACCTACCTAATACCTTAATACTTATCTATATAGTATTCACTTACAAAATTTAATCATACAATGCACAAATAGTATGTTTGAGATAGGCTATTATTGCAGTAATTATTTCTTTATTTTCTTCAAAAAATCAAATTTAATTCGTGATTTTTTTATCAGCTTCGTTGCTATACATGTATTAAAATGGGTACTTATGGTATCATCAGTGCTCGAATTGAGGGAAAAAATAAAGACAGACGCTGGTCTGGGGAGTTTAAAAACAATCGAAAATAGTTAATGCATATTAATGTCATAAACTTTGCCCGGTTTTCACAATTATTCAGAAAACTATATGGAATATTAAAAAGCGACTTCAAAATACACAATACATACATGTTCTAAAAACGACGTCTGAAAATAATATGCTAATATACACTAGAATTTCAATGCAAACATTTTGGTAGAAAAAACGAGCTGATACTGTTGATGGGTATGCCACTCTGTTGTAGATGGAAACTTGGGAAAGATATGGAATAGAGTTATTAAAACGGCTGCTAAATTACACATTGTCTACATCACCATTAGCTCTACTGCTACCACAATTATATATTGTGTCGTAATATCAAAAATTAAAATACTCATGAATAGCTTAAAAGCCATCAAAATATTTTTTAAATTTTACCACGCCAATAAAAACGAATATAAGTATTCTTTAAAAATTTCAGATGTCTACGAGTATATTTTTACCGGAACACAATAACAAAAATAAATAAAACTGTATATTTTTCGTTTAGCGTAAATATTCAAAGATTTTTCCAATTTTTATGAAAACTACAATCAAAATCAAAAAATCAATTAGATTCAAAATACAACAATAAAGGTCTTTTGTCGGTTTTTGATTGGAGCAAAATTCCTGGGAGAAAAGTTGTTAACGGACAGAATGTTTCTTTCATTTCAGACTGTAGGTATCTATCTATAATATTTATAATACGAGTATATGATATACACAATATTGGTTAGATTATATCTAGGATTCAAAGGGTGTTTCAAATATTTACGTATTGGCAATTTGAATGACATTTTTGAAAAAAAAAAATGAAAATCGCTCTACTTAATACATCTAGGTACCCAAAACTGTTCAAATTCATTTTCGTATAAATTTGCCAAGGATCGGCCGGATTCTTATCACTAGTACCTACAAACAAGTAATTTGTTCAAAACCACGTCCGGGTAAAATAGTAAAATATTCTTCAATGTGATTTGAGAATAATCTAATTTTAATTTTTACTCATTATGATTATTAAATACAATAACGTTACGTGGAGTACCTATAATATACCTACATATATTGGTTTTAAATTTATTTGAATGTCGGTAGGCAAGTTAAAAAGTGAACATATTTACCGTTACAAGAAAAAAAAAATAATAACTTTTTTTTATAAATATTTAGTTAAATGGATAATGGTAATGTATTATTCTCTGGATGGAGTATCTAAAGGTTTTCAATTTTCAGCATTTCTTGTTTAATAACGCTAAATTATACTCATTCCGAGTTAAAACAATTGTATGACACAAGGTTTATACCGATATTCAAAGACATACGCGTGCGATATGTCCATGTATATTATATATTCTAGTGCAGACCATTTCTTCATAAAATCCACTTTTCTCAGTGGCGGATTTAGCGTTTTGGCGCGCCCATATACTAAATCACTCTGGCACCTACCCTCCCGCCCTTTCAAACTACTAAGGATATTTTATGAACTCTTCTCTGTTTTATGTTATTATAGCTGAACTATTGTTTATTTAATAAAATAATAAAGTAAAAACAAAATTATTAAAATTGTTAATACTTGTAAATAAATATATAAATAAAAAAAAACGGACATATTTCGCACGTGGAAATCAGGAAGTCGGGAAGGTAGGATATAGACGGGAATTTAACATATATCCGTAAGCAACTATAAACCATTGTTTACGAAAAAACGATTCTGAGCGAAGTTTAATTGATAGTGATGCTTTGTCAACAATATATATGTCATTTTATAGTAAATAAATAATTAAATAGGCTTTATATATTTTCTTCAATAAAATTTGTTCAATGTTGTATCAATATTCCTAATTTTCCTACGTTTTTCACATTTGCTGGAAAAACTCTTGGAAAAATCAAATAATGACTTCTTTAAAGTATCTCTCTAGTGAAATTCCCTTTTAGAAATATTGCTGTAATTAAAAATTGGACCAAAATTGCTGGTAGAAAAGTTGTTCACAGGAAAAAAATAGTAAGATTACATTTATTATACTGCGTAAATTTTCCCGTTTTTTTTTTTTTTTGGTTTTTCGCATTTGATGAGAAAAATTTTGAGGAAATCGAAAAATTACCTACTAGAAGTATTTCCCCACGCCGATTTCTTTTCAGAAAAAGTGCTACACGTAGGAATCCGAGTAAGTCTTCTGGTAGAAAGTTGCGCACATATAAAAAATAAAAATAAACGTTTTTGTAATACCATAACCTTCTTCGCTTCACTTAGAATCTAAAATAAAATAAATAAATGAATGAATGCGTCGTCTGTTGTTTATTTGTTTATAAAATAATAAATTAGGCATCTACCTACATAAGGAACGATGGGTGTTATAGTTGATGACTATCTACAGTACTACATCACTATAATACTTGTATAATATGTATGTGATAAAATTTAAATTTAAATTTAATTTAAAGAAGGAAAGAATTAAAGTCAGACAAAAGATCCAAAAGTACAAAATTGTTGTGCTATTTTCAAAAGCGTGCCCACTGGGAGGTTAAATAAAATAATGAATTAAAGTACTAAATTACCATTTAAACTGTCATCCAGTCCAGACGAATAATCTGCAGCCTGCAGGCTACTCCCGTCGTAACTCGTCAAGTGCTAACATTCAAATAAATTTAAATGTGAGAAAAAGGTTTATTTTATTGCTATTTTTGGAAATAATATTATCAGTAATTAAAACACGATGATCGCGCGCGGTCGCCGGTCGTAACTCGTAGACACTGTTGTGGTGATCTAGATGCTGACATGCGGGTAGTGGTATAATGAAAAAAGGAACAGTATAATTGATATTTTATTCCGAAAATAACAAATATCTGTTATATTTTTAGAAAATACCTATATTCGGATGTTCCTAATATGTACAAACTATACCTATTACTAACAATGATTATACTACACATGAAGTACTTTCAAATTTTATTAATAATTGTAATATTCTTATTAGGTGCATATTATTATAACTTTTACAATTATTTTTATTTGTGTTTATATTATAAATATTAAAAAAAATGTAATGAAATAAATTTATCTAATAACTCTTAATTCTAAAAAAAATAAAGCCGCTTCTCCCCGAAAAAATACGCCCAAGGCTATAGCCTATTTAGCATGCCCTTGAATCCGCCACTGTCTTTCCTATCAGAAAAAAAGAAAACAAAGAAACGTTCACTAGTATAGAAAGACCCAATATCAAAATGTGTATTAGTCCTTTTCTGCATAAATATTTTTTTCGAAAAAAAATATATGTATAGATTTGTAGTTAAGGTGACATGGAAAAATACTTTGTCGACGACCTTTTTCGACCCTAAAAAGCTCAAAGTTTAAATGTGTGCCATTTATGGCGCAACGCGCACCAAAACTATATTTGTGCAGGACTTCATGCATTAAATTACTCAACAGTATTATGTGCCATATTATACGGAATATATGCAGTTATAAAACAAAACTAAAATAATTTCACAATATTATATTTATTTAATTATTTGTTAATTTGTGTATCACATTTGACTGTTTTCATCTATTTAATACGCAACTTTACCGCTAGATAAAAGTATCTTGTATCAAAATTATTTAGTTTTTTGTGCCGAATCCAGCCACGTAAGAAGTATTGGAACCGAATAATTTGTCAGCGAAATAATCGACACAAATAAATTTGTGCCGTTTTTGGTACAATATGCGGAAAGGATTAGATAGGTCGATAGGTGTATGTATATATATTTACATTTTACGAATATAATTAACTGATATTTTTTATACGAAACGGACAAAATCTCTGTCTAAAGGATTCATACGAACACGGAAAATCTCTTTGAAATTGCCGCGCCACCGCACCCTCTGTTAATAAA